TTAGCTTAGTTAGCCTTAGCCTTAAGTAGCTTTATATATTATATAAGTTTATTAATAAGGTTTTAGGTAATAGCTAAATTATTATTGTTACGTTTTAGCTTAGTGTAGATTTATTTGTAGACTTTGTTAGTAATAGTTACTTTTTTATTAGTGTCTAGTTTGAGTTCTAGTAAAAGGTAGTCTTTTATAGTTTAATCCTTAGTAAGTTCTTTAGCTAGGCTTTTAGGTCTAACTAAAGCATTAGAAGAGCTAAGGGTAGGTAACTTAGCTAAGGTACAAGAAGATATATCTATTATGTTTTATTATTTATTAGTATTAAGGTTAACTTACTAAATAAAAGCAATTAAAGTATTATAGTCAGATATTTAATAATAGGGTTTATATTAATAAGCGTTAAAGTTAATACTAAGAATAGTAGTTATATATTTTATAAGTTATTAAGCTAAATCTAAGCTTTAAAAGGTATAGTAATTAATTATATAATTAATAAGGTTATAATACTAGTAATATTACTAATAAAAAATATTAAGAGTTATATAAAAATAAATTATAAGTTAATTACTAAAAAGCTATAAAAGTCTAATCTTAGGTTTACTTAAGTTTATTTTATATATAAGTCCTAATTACCCTTCAGCGTAATCTAGTAATTATTACCATAGGTATTCTATAATCACTTATAGATCTATTTTATAAGCGCTTATATATACTAAGCTATGATCGCTTATAGATTCTCCACTTAACTAATCATTATTTTTATCTTATCTCTATATAACTTATACCATAGTTCTTCTATACCCAAATAAGACCTACTTATTCTTTATACTTATATCCTACTTAGCCGCCAGTTCCCTAGTAAGGTGTACCCTGGTCAGTTATGTTTGTTTCTAACAGGTCATAACATTTAGGTCCTAAAAGCCTTAGCTATTTAGGTATAAGTTAAATAGTATTAATATCTTTAACTTAAAATCTAAATAAAAAATAACTATTTTTAGGTTAAAAGGGATAAAGCTAGTTTATTTAAAGTTAACTTATATATTTTTTTTACTTATTAAAATAAAAAAAGTTACTTTAAAAGTAAAAAAAAAGTTATTTTTAATAATATATATAATTTATATTTATATTATTTTTTTAATTTTTTATTATATAATACCTTTAATAAACTAAAATAATTAATATTAAAAAGCTAAAGCTTATATAATAAATAAATAAATATATAAAAAATAATAATATTATATTTCTTATAGTAATTATTAAATTTAATAAACTTATAGTTATTATAGTTATTAAAAATTAAAAGCTATTTAATACCTTTTATATAAAACTTTATATACTTTTTAAAATATTATAACTAATTTAAGCTAATTTTATTTATAGTTTATTTATTTTTATTAAAATAAATATACTATTAAAATAAGAATTAGCTATTAGTATACTATAAAAAGAAATAATATTTGTTTTTAATAATAATATATAAAAGTAATATTTAGCTATTTATATATATACTTTAAATAATAGAAATCTATTTATAATTACTAAGCTACTTTATATAAAGCCTTTTATAATAATTAGAAGTTATAATAACTTTTATATATAATAGTATTTTTATTAAAAAGCTTATTTTATTAAAATTATAAATATTATTATTATAAATTTTATATTTTATAATTATATTTTATATAAAAATAAACTAAACCTATATAACTATAAAATTTTTAGCTAATACTTTTTAATAGTTAATTTTATATTAAAAATACGTCTTTAGTTCTAGTTAATATTATATAAAGTTCTTTACTTATTAAAGTCTAATATATATTATATTACATTTATTAAAGAAATAATTAGCTATATTTTATATATTATTAAGTTATAATAAAAATCCTTAATTAATTAAGTTAATAACTAATTTAAAAATTACCATTTTTTTTAGTTTACTTATCTTTATTAATTTTATATAAGTCTTAACTATAATATAGTAATTATTTAGTATATTAATATTAAAGTATTATTCTTAGGACGTTATAAATAAAAGCTACTTTTTATATAAATAGTTTTAAGTCTTTTTTAATAGTTTTAATTATAAAGATAATATAACTTTTATTTAAAAAAGAACTTATTATTATATATAAAAGAATATTAATATAAAGTTAAAGTTTAAGAAAAAAAGAGAAAGTAGGCCACTTACTATAATAGGCTACTTACTATATATATACATTATATAAAATATAATTATAAAGTATAAAATACTTAATAATAAATATAATTTTAATAAGACTAGGTTTTTAGTAAGAATATTATTATATATAAAAGTTATTATAACGTTTAACTATAAAAGAAAACCTTAAATAAAGTAGCTTAGTAATTAGAAATAGGTTCTTATTATTTAAGGAATATATATAAATAGCTAAGTAATACCTTTATATGTTACTATAAAAAGCAAATATTACTTTTTTTTAATATATTAATAGCTAATTCTTAATTAAATAGTATATTTACTTAAGTAAAAATAAATAAACTATAAATAAGACTAGCTTAGATTATTTTAATTATTTTAAGTAGTATATAAAGTTTTATATTAAGGCTTCTTATTACTTTTTAATCCTTAATAGTTATAATAACTATAAATTAATTAGCTTTAATAAATACTTTAAGAAATAAAATATTATTACTTTATATAACTAACGTACCTGCATAGTGAGCGACGCAACAGAGTGAGCGACGCACTTCCTTATCGCATAGAAAACCCCTAGTTTTTAACTATTTTTTAAAAATCCATTTTTAGCTTAAAAAGTAGAGGGTCTTTTTTATTGGTAACCGATAAGAGTTATATTATAGAAAATAATATTATAGAAATTATATATAGAGCCTTATACTTAGATCTCTTATCTTAAAGCTCGATAAGCTAGCTTACATAATCTAGTATAATAAGTAGAGATAGATTTTCTATAGTTTTATTTTCTATAATATAACTCTTATCAGGTACTAATAAAAAAGACCCTCTACTTTTAAGGCTAAAATGGATTTTTAAAAAATAGTTAAAAACTAGGGGTTTTCTATGCGATAAGGAAGTGCGTCGCTCACTCTGTTGCGTCGCTTACTATGCAGGTACGTTATATATTTTTATTTATTATACAAGCTTTAGCCTCTTAATATTAAATGGTTTAGCTTATTAAAGTACTTATATAATAAAGAAATCAAAAAGATTACAACGTAATTAACTTCTAGGCTAGAGGTATTAGTAAGTTAGCTTATAGGCTTACTATTAACAAGGCTAAGAACCATAAGCTTTATACAGAGATAGAGGTACTAAGTAAGCGCTAAAGGGTAAAAAAGACCTAACTACGTCTTAGAGGGTCACTTAATACTGTTAAAGTAGAGGTATTATAAGTAGAAAAGGGTAGTGTTAATACTAAAGGAGAAAATAACCCTTAGAAGAAGGGTTATATAGAAGGTGCTAAACTACGCGTATAATAATATAGTAATTACAGAAAGACTAGATATAACGTATAAACCTATAAAATAGTTTAGGATAGTAATAAGGAAAAAGGTAATAAGTAGTTTTAATTAATTTTATATGTTATAGTTTAATTGACTTATATAAAAGGTAGTAAGGTAAAAAAAAGTGTATAGCTTACTATAATACGTAGCTTACTATATATGTACGTTATAAGGCTTATAAATAATAAAAAGGTATTTTTTAATATATACTTATTTTATAACTTTACCTTTAGCTTTTTAAAGTACTACTTTTCTAAAGTATATTAAGTTATTTAATATATTAGTTATAAAGTATTATTTTTTAAATATTATAAATAAAAGTAACCTTTTATATAAATAATTTTTACCTTTTTTAATAGCTTTAAGTATAAAAAGAATATAGCTTTTATTTACAGTAAAACTTATTATTATATATAAAGTAAAGCTAAAAAAAAGAAGGTGTAAAAGAAAAAAAAGCAGATAATTTACTATAATAAATAACTTATTATATATATACGTTATATATAATCTACTATATATATATATAACGTATTTATATAGTAAGTTACTAGTTATAGTAAGTTACTACTCTTCTTATTACTAAAAAAAACCCCTTTTTAACTATTTATTAAAAATTAAAATTAGCTTAAAAAGAGTATAGTTTTATATAATAAGCTATAATAAGAGTTATATTTCTAAAAATAAATAATATAAAAAATAGTATTTTACCTTAACCCTTAGATCTTTAGTAATCCTTTTATTTAAAGGCCTAGATAAGAGTTATAAGGGTTAAGGCTAGATAAAAATCTCTATAATATTCATTCTTAAGTTTAACTTTTATTATAGCTTAAAACATAAAGCTAAACTCCTTTTAAGCTAAAATTCAAATTTTTAAAAAATAGTTTAAAAAGGCTTTTTTTTAGTAATAAAGAGAGTAGTAACTTACTATAACTAGTAACTTACTATATAAGTACAGTATATTAGAACTATGTTTTATAATATATATTTAATTTTACTTATGTGTTTTATTTTATACGTAACTATTACTTAGTTAAAGTATATTACTATTTAAATAACTTAAAACTAAAACTTAAATACTAAGTATAATTATATATATTTTACTATATAACTATAGCTTATACTAAACTATAATAAGCTATAATATAGTTAGTACTTTTAATAAGATTATAACTAGGAATAAATCACTTACTTCAATTAGCTTCTCAGTAAGCAGAAAGCATTTCCTGTCTTGGTCTTGACTAAAGTTAAAGGAGCATGAGCGCCATAGTCCACTGAAGCCCATATCCTCGAGAATGTCATTCAGCACCGTTGTGGATTCTAATGCCGAGCTGAATTTTGGATTTGAGGTGAGCGCATAGAGAAGGGCCTGCGCAGATTCCAATGTAGACGAATTTTGACAATGTAGGAGAACATCGTCTAGGATAGAGACTATTGGGCCACAACTGTAACAATGTTAGTGACCCATATTGCGTGTGGTTTTTAACGAAAACGCCAAACAAGGCAGCTTACAGGTGCATAATGACGGCTGGTCTAGCTGTTGCGAGCTCTGTCAACCATCGGAGTGTCCGATTCTGTAGCGCATCCTCCAGATACTGGAAATCGATCAGTTCGATAGCCGTGTTCAGGAGGAGGTCTTTGTCCTTCATGCCACCGAGATCCTCGTATCGTTGCGTCCCAGCGACATCCCCCAAAAGTAAAGGGTTGATTCCAGCAAGCCATAGACTATCCCTGAGCTCATCGCTCCCAACAGTCCGGGCAAGGATCAGGGCCATGTAAGGCGATCGAGAAATGTCATCCGACGGCTTGCCAGTGTCTCCTGGAGGACTGCCAGCCATGTCTAAGAAAGCCGACAGTACTCTGGTGGCGTTGGTTTTGGTTGTGGTGTCGGCAAGGCCCCGGGCGAGACAGGCACAGACCGCGAAGTGGAAGTTCTCTACCGTGAAGTGAATGCCGTAAGCGTCATCTAGAGGCAGCGCAGCCTCTTCGAGCTGGACCCGACCCTGAAGGAGTAGAGGTCCCATCTTGTCCCCCCTCAAGTCCCCCACAGTACTAATGTTAGTCATAACTGCCTCCAAGAACTGGGCCGTGCAATTGAACAGCGCCGGAGGGACCAGTCGCAAAAGTGAAATTGCCAACCAGAAGAGTTGCAGCCCGTATCGAGATGCCGAGGGTAGTTTAGCCATCATTTTGGACAAGGATGTGACAATGGAGATGAGCATGTCACTGTTGGTATCCTCACCCAAGCGACCTACACTGTTCCGCAAAGCGACGAGTACTTGATAGAGTAGATCGTCATCCACTTCTTCCCGCGCTAGGCACCCCATGACGGCAAAAGCTCGAGGCTGGATGGCTGGGTTGTTTTGGAAAGCAGTACTGGCGACCAGACTCATCCACCGAGACCTCCAGGCGTTGGAGATGTCGACTGAAGGTGCTGCGACCGAGCAGACCTCAAATAGGACGGCGGCCAGGTTCTCAGTGGCAGTAAGCGAAGGGCCAGCTTCTTGTGTTGTTGACATGGAAGCGCCGTCGCGCAAGAAAGGAGGTGGTGCTGAGAAGATTTCGCTTCTGGGCTCGCTGAGGAAATCCAAGCTCCCCCTGAGCTTGTTGAATCGAGTGTCGTCAAGGTTGAAGGAAGTACAAGCTGCGTGGACAGTGTTTACAAGGAGTCTGTGCACAAGCAAGCGTACCTCTGGAGCGCCCGTGTTTGCCAAGATGGTGACGATGTGGAAGATCTCAGGCAGATATAGCTGAGACTGAACGCCGTTGTCGAAAGACAGTGACAGACAAAAGTGTAGCAAGACGCAGATCTCGGCCCAGACAGCATTGTCGGGCAAATACTTTGTGGGTCGAAGAGAAGAACGATTCAACGCCTTGCGCAATCGAGAAATCACCTTGCCCCGCAACGTGATGCTGCCCATACCTGAAACGATGGAAGATAAGCCTTCCATGGGCTCTTCAGAGAAGCCAAAGCTCAATGCTGCCCTCATGAGCTCCTCGAGAAAAATGTCAAGTATTGTTTCGTCCTGATAAATGGCGGGCCAGACGACTTGCTCCAGCGTGTATGTCAGGCCGTGGTCCGACATGGCCACATCTATGAGTTTCCGGAACAGGGCAGCAACTTTCTCCTTGCCCTTTTCGGCGTCGGGCTCGTTTGCCAGAACGGCCGTTCGTAAGCCCTGCAGCCATGGTGCCATGTACGCGAGACTAAGAGGTTTTTGCTCCTCTGTAAAGGTTTCCCAGCCAACAAAGAACTCGGTTAAGAAGTCAAACGTCAGCTGTGGTTCAGACGTTGCGAGTTGTCGGCTAATCTTGATGATGAAATGAGAAGGGTCCATCGGAACAGACACGTCTGCATATGAGCAATTAGCAGGTAATTCATTAAGAATGGGGTTTGTCTAGGTCGAGATGGGGCCCCAAGAACGTGACTAGACCAGGACACCATACCTTTGGTGCACATCAAATTCGAAGCTGCGCCGAACTTGAAAGCCTTGCATAGGGCCCCGAGGAGGTTGTACGACGAAAGCCTCAGCACATGATCGGAGCTTGACAGGTTCGTCAAGGCAAGGTTGAGTAGAGTACCTGGCACATCTTGCGGACGAATCAATCGCTCGTAGGCCTTGTGTGCTCTTGTGTCCTTGCCATACTTGGCCTTTGCACCGCGAATTGTCTGGAGCACGTCGATCTTTTTGGGGCTGGTGAAGTACATGACAATCTTGCCGTTGTCTGCACGTAGGCCAAAAGCCGAGTCGTCCTCTGTCTGAATTGAAGTTGGCGCTTCTTCCACCTCGCCGAGTCTGAAGATGTCGTTGACGGTAGTGCTCAGCCTGTATCCTGGGAAGACTTCCTGTTTCTTGGTCGTAGTGACCTGTACAAACTGGCTGCCAACCTTAATGACCACTTCAATTTTACCCTTTGTCTTGGACAGTCGAGTAATTGGCTGGAACACATAACGGGTATCTGTGACAACACTGATTGTCTCTTTGGGGAGATGCAGCTGGCTGAGATGGAAATGAGCTTGTAAATCCTGTAGACTGCCGATCAAATGATAGTCGACGTTCTTAGGATTGAAAACACTATTGTCGCTCTTTGCAGAGACTCGGAGAAGCCTCCGAAAACATTTCCTATTTGTGAATCAGCGACTGCTACTACTGCTGACAGCAGGTGGTTCTTGGCGCTTCTGATGACTGCTTACCTGAATGCGCTGTTCATGTTGTAGACATAGATCCTGACAAGATTCTTGGACAGCTCGACGGGTGTGAGTTGTTCGAGTTTCTTGAAAAGATCGTCTTGGGGTTCGTTCTGCCCATTGTAACATGTGGCGTCGATGAGGAGACCAAAGGGTTTATGCCACAGACGACTTGCAATCTACATACAGTCAATATATAGACGTTGACTTGCGCAAAGTGGGACATTGGTTGCAATGATGAAATTGTACGGGCAACGGAAATATTCTTCAGTGTGACCAGGCAATAATGAACCATGGCCCACTAGGGATTCAAACCGTACCTTCAGGTAGCAGTACAAGAGTGTGTCGTAATCTATGCTCTCAGCATCAATGTGTCGCAGAATGATGCAAATAATGGAGAGAGAATCCTATCAAAAACTGTTAATAGCTTGTTGCAAGAGGGGCACGACGCCACAGCAATTGAGTAGTTTCGTACCTTGCTCTCACCACCGTCGTAGACGGCCCTAGCCGTGATGAAGGATTCGGTGCTGCGGAAGGCGTTTCGAAGCATGAAGTTCTGAAATCGCGAGTACGAGGGCGGGGTGTTTGTCGATATTTGTGGTCTGTTCCAGGTCACAGCCAAAGGCGGCGGTCCCAAATTCGTGATGAGGTTCCGAAGTGGTTCAAGAACAGGCGACCGACCCCTAGATACCTCGGCGGGCGACCGGACAAAATCCCTTCGCTCTTGGGTCACGAGTCTTTGCCGCATATGGTCCCAGTGGTCATACAAGAACCTGTGCAAAGCGACGCAAGAGCCAAAGTCGAACGATTCTGTGGTGGGCGGAGTTTCCAGATTCTCAGGATGCACCTACAGCACGATTAGTGTATGTGAAGGAGGTCAATGTTGTAGGTTAGACGGACGAAAACACATACAGATATCTCGCGCAAAAAAGTGGTAACACGATAGATGTTTTGGGTGAGAAAGTCGTTTAAAGGGAACATGTATGGCTCCTTGGCCCCGAACAGCACGTTATTTGCCAGGTTTTGGATAACCTTGGCAATCAGGAGAAGACCCCGACGCATTTCTTTGGAAGGTATCGTCGTGACCAGACCCTCAACCTCAGGCGCAACAATGGCCGGGCAGAAGAACCTGAGAAACACGAAGGCTCCCACAGCTGTGTACTTGGCTTCTTGAAACCGCGGAAGTACGGCGGTAGAAATCTAAGAGCGTGGTGTTAGATGGCAAGCTCTATCAACGGGGTGACCCGCAAATGCAAGAAGACGTACAATGTTGCAGATCTTTCGGAATGAGGCCGGCATGCTGGAGGACGACGCACAAATGTCGTCAATGAATACCTTGGCGACAATACGCAGTTGGAGAGCATTCTTCTGCAGCTCATCCGTAGAGCTGACTCTGGCTGGGTCCAATTCAAGATCCAAATCCTTGGAGGTGAGCATTAGCCTTTCGACAACCTTCTGAAGAGTGGCCTTCAGGTACGGTTGCCCCTTCCATTTGGCATAAACGGAAAGCATCTTGGTTGCCACGCAAGTACGCCGCAAAATCTCGGATTCGTTGTCTGTATGCCCCGATGAGCATGATTAATTGCTGACTTCGCATTGTGTATCAGGGTCTGACCGGCTTACCTGTTTCCTCGATCTCTTGCTTGATGAGGACTTCTAGCAGCTCGAAGCTGAGACCGCGGTGCTCAAAGATGGTAAGTAGAGAGACGGTCAGCTCATCAACCTCGCTACTTGGACACACAGCACTCATGGCGGCCACAAGGGTCATGTCCTTGGTGAGGAGCTAGGCACCGTGTTAGATCTTTCGCCAGCTGCTCTCACATCAACCAAAACGTTTTACGTACCTCAAGCAACTCGTCATATTTCTCACTGACGGCAGCATCTGTCAAGTTGCTAAACTCTGTGCCTTGGATGAGTATATTGTACAGGACTTTAACAAAGGCCGTCCTGATCTCGACGTTGTCGTGGTAACCAATGTTCAAGGAGTGCTTCAGGCCGACGTCGATGTTGGCGCTGAGCAGGTTCGAGAGTATAGTGATGGCAAATTCTGACGAAGACCCGCCTTCGTCTCGGCTCGAGATGCCTGCCATGAGTTCGTTTCTGCCACCCTCGGGAGACTCGTGGTTGAGCAACGATAGAAAACGGTTAAAGTAGGTGTGGAACATCTGCGACTTGAGCTCGCTTGTGCCAGCATCGGTCTGTCCCTCGCCGGGCTGCAGCGGGAGGCGGAACGTAAGCTCGGCCAGCGATTTTAGACATGCTTTGTCGAGGTCCTTTTGCACCCTCACAACCTCGTCGAGACGACCGCCCGAGCTGCTGGTAGTCGAGTCGAGGCGCGGAGATCGAGGGCGAGCAATCCAACCGAAGATGTACTCGAGGAGCTGATTTCTGATCCGGACGTCGTCTCTAAGATTCAGATGCTCTTTCCTTTTCGTGACAGCCTCACACAGCTGGCACACCTTGATTTTGACCCGTAGGGTGTTGGTGCTGTCGCTAACGCCGTCGAGGAACTTGGCGAAGTTGAGAGCGAGAGCACCGAGGTGTATAGCTGAGGCGGCACCGAGGTCTGAAGGACTCTCGAGTCGCTCCACGAGCGCCTTCAAGAGAGAAATAGCCTGTTCGGCAAAGATGATTTCGACATCCTGTGCCTTGTCGCTGGGTGCCAAAGCGCCAGTGAACAGGACCTCCAGTTCGGACTCGAGAGCCTTAAAGAGTGACTGATAGAGCGTGGATGAAACCTCACTCGAAAGTACCTCTCGGGTGGCCTCTCTGATCCTGACGCTTGCACAGCCTAGAAGCTGGATGCTGAGCTTCAGATATCTGCCCAACAGAGGCTCTTCATGGTTTTCTGAAGGGAGCCTGTCAATCCATCTCAACCCGCTGAGAGCGGGCTCCTCAAGGATGATTGCCTGGTTTGCGGTGCAGATGCCCCCTAGGGACGCTAGAAAGCCCGAGTAATTTCGCCATTCAGTCAGGGTCCTGTCATCCACAGCATCAACTGGCGCCATAGAGACTTCTCTCGAAAGGAGAAGCCACCTCTCGAAGCCGTATTCCCAGGCCGAGAGAATGCCGCTCGTGGGATACTGCAACCGGCGGAGCAGGCCACGAACCCTCTTCTGGAATGCTACGAGCCCGGTGAACCGGAATGCTCGAGAAGCGATTTCCCCGTAAACCTCGCCGTTGCGAAGAAGTGTGGCAAATCCTTTAGCAGCATCCGAGGCAATATCGACAAGGTTGTTTTCCTCATAGAAAAGCCCTATACACGCTGTCACTGTCTGGCAAGTGTCGACGTCGGCAGAACACAAGGAGACGAGAAGAGTCGTCTCAAGTCTAGATGAAGCTCCCTCGATTTCGGGAACACCATCGGGCATGTCTGAGAGCTCCTGAGAGCGAAGAAAGGTCTCGTCAGTTTTGTAAACCGGTTGATACGCGCCGGCGTCAAGCTATATCAGCAACAACTTACACGCAGTGATGCCAGCAAGAACTTGCGGGCCTCCAGGTATTCATGAATAGCCTTGATTTCTGGTCCGTCTCCGTCAGAAGTTACATCGTTGCACATGTTCAGCAGAACCAGCGAGCTACACGGATTCATGTTAGCTTAGCACTGCAAGTTGGACAAGCGTGAATAGGTTCAATCGTCATACCTGCGTCTCCAAAACTCTCTCTTGAGCGCTGCTGAGCTCAGCCTGCCGCGGGAGCGGATGATATCTAGTATGGAATCATCGGAGAAGAGCCGTTTCGCAACGCCTGTGGCAAGTCTTCGGATGGTAGGGTTGGCGGATACGACGCACGACAGAAAGGAGAGGAAGACATCCTCATCGACCGCGACAGCAATAGATTCTCCCTGTCCATCGCCATCGAAAAGAGACCGAGGCGACGCATCCAAGAACTTGAGAACATCACATGCCATGTTTGTAAACGAGTGAAGGTTCGAGTCACGACGCGGCAGCGCAAGAGCCACGGTAGTGGATTCTGCAGGTGAATCTGCAACGACCTATCATCCTAGTCACTACACTGATCTGTATAACCGGGGCTACAAGAAAACGAGTTTCCCCAGCTCGAGAGGGAGAGTGAGAGGGGAAGCGATCTCTCGTCTGACATACCTTAAGCTGAGTACGCATAAACGGCCCTGCCACGGCAAACAGTTGCTCATAAATATGCGAGTCGCTCTGGCGCGCAAAGTAACGGCAACCTTGCACGACGGCCGTCTTGAAGGCCAGTGGTGAAGATAGATTGAGGTACGACTGGTTGAGCGAGCCGACACAGCTGTCCAGGCTTAGTTCAGCCAAGCTCACAAAAGCTGCTGTCATCATGTCTTGATCAAACAAGGACGAGTCATTGCCCCGGCGAAAGACGGCCTCGCGAACCTCATCTTGTACATCCATGGCGTAGCTCACCAGCGCCGCGTCATCTTCTGCAACGAAGTGGCGTGATGCCCTAAGTAAAGACACCAAAGAGTAGGCGGCTTGCTCGTTCTTGTTCCTGAGGGCCTTCCTGAGGTTGTCCAAGAAACCGACCTTCTTGGCCATACTACTGCTTTTGGCCTCTCGGAGATTACTAGCCACTTCGAACACGTCGGGTAGTAGGAAGAGCAGAGTGGTTTGCAAGGGATACAGCATTCCCTTCTTGCGACCGTTATCAACCACGGTTTGTGTCATGTCAAACAAGGTATCAGCGCCGCCGTCAAGCCGCTTGTGTAAAGTGTGTTGCTGCACGAACTCATGGGGATATCGGTCGAGCCACCTAGTAATGAGTAAAGGGGCAACAACGGCTACCGTGTTCTGGAAGGACTTTCGAAAATGCAAAAAGCTGGAACATATCTCCTGAATGATAAGACCGAGCTTTTGAGCATCGACCCAGAAGAAGGACAATATCTTGAGCACCGCTAGGGAGGCCTTGTCGTCGTCCGGTGTAGCGGCCGACTGACCAGGGGCAGCTTGCACAACAGCTGCGGTACGGACAGTGTACACAACGTTTCTGAAGTAGTCGAAGGAACAGGACCAAGTCGAGGCTGTAACGTACTCGACAATGACCCTTACGCAAGGCTCTAAAACGGCGACTTGAGTAGTGGGTAGAACGTCATCGTCTTCGGACGCATCAGTATCACCGGGAAGGGGCGAGGCAAGACCGCTCGCGGAGCGGGCTACGGTGTCGGTGTGTCTCGGTGTATCATCGAGAATGGTGGAGGAGGGCAGGACGTAGCCCTCAGGGATGGGCTCAACAAGCCACTTAACCAAGTCGAAAACGCGATTGACAAGAGCCTCGTCCAACGGCTCTGGAACGACGGTAGGAGTCGCACGGCGGGGGTCGGCACCGACAGCAGGTTGGCGAAAGCCTTGGGCCTTGACATGGTCCCAATGGGCGGTACAACAGTCGGCAGCCAAGGCAAGTACGTAAACCTCGGAAAGAAGAACATGTGGTGGATGTGCAAGTGGGGGGAAGCCCTTGTAGTTTCGAATTATATCTTCGAGGAGAGCGACGAGGGAATCGAGCACAAAGGCGAGAGCAGAAGTGCTAATCTTGACCAGGGTGGACCTCGTGATGAGGACAATATCGTCCTGCTGAAGCTCCTGTCCGTGGGTTCCTGTCCTGTGGGGAAGCTGGCGGAGGAGAAAAAAGCCAGCGTCAGCGACAAGTCCAAAGCAAAAGAGGTCAACGTTGGGGTGACTTACCCTAGTGGCGAGCCTATCGACCAGGCAGCCGACGAGACCAGCATCGCCGTTCATTTCTGCGCTCCAGATCAATAGAGCTCATGACCGCACGCGCGCGCCCAGTATGCCAGTCTCCGTCCTCGAGCTCGGAGCGGGAATTGGTCACGATACCGCGGAAGGTGCTGTGTGTAGATGGAAGAGGGGAAGGACGGGCCGGTACGAGGCAGAGGATGAAGGCAAAGGCGACAGATGGCGGGTGTAGGAGATGGGTGAAGCGTCCGGTAGCTGTAGCAGGGGTGGTCGTGGGTTTCGAAATAGCCCAATTGACTTGTTACGGGAGCCAACAAGCTGTGGGTGGCGTACGGAACGGGATTGGGCACGGTAATGGAACCGGACTTGGACAGTAATGCTGTATCGGTCGGTGTTGATGTGCGAGGTGTGCCAGGTGGAGGAGTTGAAGGAAGCTGGAGCCAAGCTGTGGACGAATAGTGCGCCCTTGTAGCGAATGTACGCAAACGGTCGGCCGCGGTCGAGACTTTGGGGTGTTGGGCAAGGTAGAGGAGGAGGGCTGAAAGTTGTGTCTTGCTTGTCCTTGTCTGATTGATTAGCTGATTTGCAGGTCTACTTAACCTTAGGGAGAGAGAGAAGGCGGCGGTTGGACATAGGAATTTCAGAGGTTCCAAAGACCAAGGACATGTATGTAGATGTCGGTAGGTAGTCACTGCGACTTAGGTATCGGGGGAGGGAAGCATACCCTGTTCAGCAGTGTGCAGTATCCCGCCTTAGGGATATTGACTATCTTGAGAACCCTACCTTACAGTAGGTAACTCGAGGTAAGCAGTAATACGTAGTAAATGCTCTGTAGTGAACAGTGATGGTGAGGCAGGTGATGGGAGATGGGGGGCGGGGACGGGATGCCAAGGGTTCTCCAAAATGCTGAGATGCACTGCGACAGCGACCGACACCAAAGCAGATACATGCTCCCGTCTGCAAGGTACCTTGCATTGAGGTCCCTTATCTAATGAGCCCCGCCCCACGGCAAAGGCCAGCTAACTGCTTTCGGCATCCTGAGGGAGGTGGCATCTGAGGGCTGAGGGGATGGTGACTTGCTATGACAAGCTGTCCGTGCGCCCGAGCGCGCCAAAGCCATTCCCGAAAACGCGCTTAGCGAGTTGGACTTGCGAACTGTTGGCCGGAGGTGGGGGGGGAGGATGCTTACCAAACAGCGAAACTACGCTTTCTGGCTGCGCATAAATATACATTAGGTGTGCAGACTTAGGGATACCTAAGCAGGCACCTCCTTCAGATCCTCTTCAGGAGGGGTCCAGCTTCGACCAGAGCTGCTGGCCTTGCTCGGACTTGGCCGATGCTTCCTGGACGAGCCATCGGAGTGGAAACATCTCTAGTCCGCAATCGCTTGTATAGGTACTCAACCCCAGAGAACACATGCAGGTAGTATCTTGCTTTACACACCTCGTCATTAGTCAACAGTACTCACAGCATCTCAAAAACACATCAACCCGTGCTGCTATCAGCTGCTATAACCTGTTTAACAATCATTATACACACAGAGCGTAGCACAGTCTAAATATTAGCGCCCGTAACACATCAGGCCATTTGTTTTTAACGGCGTATATCCACCCACGCCCGCCTGCACTAATTATACATGACATACCGACCAATACTCTTAGGATTCTTATTACCTTCTCCTTCTACTCTGCCACGTGAGAAAGGCACTTCTTAGGTCGTATATAAGCATCGTCTCTGCTTAGACACACAGCATGATCCTTTCATCTATCGGTAGTTGTTGCGTCCGCCGCCATATCTCCCACCACCACCACCACCACCACCACCACCACCTCCTCCTCCTCCTCCTCCTCCTCCTCCTCCTCCTCCGCCGTAGCTGCCGCCCCGACCTCCGCCGTAGCCACCTCGACTCTGGTAGCCACCCCGATCTCCTCGTTGGCCTCCGTCGGCATGGCCGGAGTAAGAATTGGACCCGGATGGCGGTGGCCCATAGTTCTGATGCTGGCCGTAGCCGCCTCCGCGGTACGACGCGTTTGGTCCCCGCCCATCGTTTCCATACCCTGCGGGCGGCGGCGGCGGCGGAAGACCCATACCGAATCCAGGGTGCCCTGGCGGCGGAGGGTGCCAGGACGACTGAATTGGCGGTGGCCCAGGCGGCTGGTATCCATGCTGCCCATGTCCATGAGTGCCGTTGCCTGAGTACGACGGCGGTCCGCGGTCTTGGCGCCCATGTCCGCCGCGGCCGCCGGGAGCGTAGCTAAAGTTGCCTCGACGACCACCGTCGTGGTGTCCGCCGCGCTGGAAAGGAACGCCGCCGTAGCCCCGTCCGGACCGGTTCGATTTTCCTTTGAGTGTCTCAATGTCGTTGCGGTCCAAGGCCGGAGCCGGAAGCTTGACACCCCGAAGCAGCATGGATTTGTGGGGATGCGAGCTCGATGGGAATGTGTACCAAACCCTGCCTCAAATGTCAGTCTTCAAATCAATCAATATAATGCATTTGCGGACTTGGCATACCTGAGAGACCTGTCGTAGTCGAGGTTGGGCATTCCTCCGCGATCCAAAGGATATACTAACTCCCCGTGAGGCAAATAATCCGGGATCTTCTCGACGTTACCAGCCAGCCCGTCGCTGGTCCGCGGATTGAGCTTCAGCGTGGGTGCCCCCTGTTTTTTGGAGTAAAAGCTGGTCGTGATCTCGTCATAAAGCTCGTGGTGGGCATCTGACAGAAGTAGCACATCCCTGCCAACACCGTTTCGTGCCTGGTCTGCCGCACTCAGCAAGGGATACTTCTTTTCAACAGCGGCCAACAACCTCGGCATCTCGATGAAAGGCAGAAGTGCCACTCCCTGCCACGCCATCTTCTTTCCATTAAGATCGATCTCGAACTCGGTCGGATAGAAGTCAATGACTTCGCTATCTTCGTTCAACATCAGGTCATGGAAAACCTCGGGCAGCGCATTGCGAGAGGCGGCTGGCATCACACTCATGAGCTGCTCAAACGGCTTCGAGATGCGGCCCTTTTCAAACTGGACATCCATCTTGTCAAGATCGACAAAGTCCGCGGCAAATGGAGCATAGTGGTACGGGTAGTACCACTCCCAAGACGGACAACCCTGGAAGTAGTACAAAAGAACCCAAGACAGGCCCTCAACGTAGGCTCTTGCAACTTTGTGCCGAAACTCATGGTCGTTGCGGTCAACGTGAAACTTCTGCTCGTAGTATCGATCGGCATAGCCCTCCTCCCACATCCTAACATGGTCTACTGCAGCTTCTTCGGCAGCAGATGGCGTGCTTGGGCCCGTCGCACTCGCGGGAGTCGAGTCGGTCTGCGTCGCCGTGTCCTCGGCCTTTCGTTTGCCAAGCACGGACTTCTGGTCCGGAGTGCTAGGGGCCTCTTCGCTCGCTTTCTCGCTAGCGTCGACTTCTTGACCAGGCTCCGTCTTGGACATCAAGCCTTTGAGTTGATCACGAATGGCGCTTGCGGCGCTTTTGTTGGCAGTGTTCGCGTTCATATTAGACGAGCGGCCAACTACCATGTCGTGTGTAATGCCATTCGGACCTCCCGCAGCCGGGAACAAGGTCAAGCCCGCTGCCGCATTGTCGACTTGTTTTGGTTTGGCAAATCTGGGGTTGCGCTCTTCCTGAAGCTTTCTCCGTTTGAAGCTAGCCTCTCTCCGATCTTCGGTCTCCTTCCTTCTCTTGAAGATAGCGTCCTCTTGCTTCGCCAAACCATTCAGAATCAGCTGCGCCCGGCCCAGGTCGACGTGGCCATCCTTCACCACATAGCCGCCCATGAAGGGTAAGTTGTCCTTCCAAATAGCTGTCAGGGTGTCGATTCCATTCTCTCGAATTTCAAGTGCTGGCAAGTGAGGCAAAAAGTCGTTACCCACGAAACAGCACATAAAGACCCAGTCATCAATGGCTCTCTCCAGGTCGAAGCGGAAGGGCAAGCCTGGAACATTGAGCTCCGCGGCCAAATACTCGCGGAGGATAGAGACGTGAAGCCAGATGAAGGGCTTGAGAGCGAGACTCTTCTCCTGCTCGTCGAATTCACCAACCTTCTCTTTGGCTTGTCCGCGACAGGCACGAGCCTCGTGTCCCTTCTGTCCACACAGCTTGCACATCTTCGCTTTGCTATCTTGGAAAAAGACATCCTCACGCAGAACTCGGAAATGGGGCTCGTGGGTGGCTAGGCCGAGCATGATCAAATCGGCATCGAGACCGTAGATGACGTGGCGGGTGTTCGGGTCATAGTCTGGAGAAATGCGCTGAGACCGCACAAAGTTCATGATTTTGTGCTCGCCCTCTCCGGGGACTGTTGCATCCGAAATGATGATTTTAAGCCTAGCCCAGGCCGGATCCGTGTTGAGCTTGTATGCGCACCAGTATCGCAAACTCGCCGCCAGAATGTCCATGAATGGAGTACCGGGAGTAATAGAATTCGAGTCGAAGGCCTTCTTCGTGACGCTTTCCAAGCTGTCATCGGAGACGGCACCAACATTCTGCTGCTTCAACAGTTTGAGAAGCTCTTGCTTGTCCTCCTCTTTCTCCTGAGCTTCCTGCGCGGATCGGAATCGACGAGACCGTTGTTGGTTCATCTTGGCACGGGGGCGACACCGTCTGCGTCACTTAAGATTAGTTACGATGCCAGCAGGTGACAGCAATATGCTGCGAAACGGGATAATAAGAAGTCAACTAACCGACAGCAATCATGAGCAGCTTTCGCGGACGGACCATGTTAACAACACGGTCGGTGTATCTGAAGACCTCCAGCATCATCTCCTCCTCGTCCTTGGGAGCCGGACGGTCCTCGGGATGGGAACAAGGATGGACGATACCGTTCATGTCGAGGTACAAATTGTCGAGTTCCTCGCCATTGGGGTTGGGCCCAGTAGTGTCGACTGGAATCTCAGAGCCATCCTCAATCTTGACGGGCTGCTCCTCGATAACAGGCGAGATGATCTTAGGGTATTTGTTGGACAGCCATCGAAAAGCGGCTGGAATACCCATCTCGGCGGTTGTTAAAGGATTGTACCTAGAGAGGGGATTGTGTGACGGCTATGGGATGGCTTCTCAGAGCGTCTCGTCGGTGGAGTGTGGAAGGCGAGGCGAGCCGGGAGCTCTTGTGTCGCAGTAGGCAGATGTTGCAACGGGCCTTTGGCGCATGGATGCTTTGGTCCTGTCACTCCAAGTTTTGCTCTGCTGTAGTGCTCAGGTAGCGAACAATCGAAGTCGCAGTGTCTAGTTGCGATCGCTGGTCGAGATGGGAGTCGAAGACAAATTGTTGCTTGAAAGGGAACGGAGGCTTCGTAAACGCGACAAGATGACGAAAGTAGGCAGAAGCGAACTGTGCCTTGCGCGCGAGGTCGAATCGCAGCAGAAGGCACGCGACAGTATTGCGCAGACCTCTGTCCTGTAGAAAGGGGAAGGGTAAATCTCCTGCTGAATGCGGTTCTGGATAGAATCTTCGACCGATGTTGTCAAGTCTGGTAGGTTTGCGTCTGCTCGCAATACCTAAGATCCAAGGTGATGAATTTCGCAAAACGCCAGTCCAGCAAGGGTGCGATATGATAAAGAATTCCCCCAAACCCGACCTCGAGTTCTCCATTGCCCATTGTCCCCATAATTGTGCGTCAAAACACTGTGCAGAAAAACCGTGTTACAATAACTGTAATAGGTCCTCTTAAGAGCCATAAAGCAGAAAATTCCAAGAGAACCCACCTGTATTTGTACTGTGAGGACCCGGTTTTGCGTCAAGGTACCAAAGAGGCTCCGCTGGGCAGCGATCAACGGAGAGGTACAGTGCATTTATTCAGAGGCCATTGGCGACGTAGTGCCTACCTAACCTGCCCTGTACCTATCTGGACATTTTTGGGGCCAACCTTACCTAGGCACTTACCTAACTGATTGATGAGTATGCTATTAACCATCATCTTATCGCAGTGGTGCAGGGAGCAGACCGGATTGGTGCATATTCAGCTCCTGTAGCCCGTAATCGTTGTGCGCAGCTTGTCACAGTAGCTTACCCGTGGACACCTTTCAATATGCGACACGGATTAAAGCTCTCGGCCAACATTTGGCGAGCCCTGTTCGGTCGGATCTTCTGATCTGGCCCATCTACAACTAATTGCCCCCCCTCTCTACAGTCTCTGCCTCTTTTCTCCTCACCCTCGCCCATACCATTGCTGTGAATTCCAATGGCTGGCGCTTGACGAAACAGCATGTTTTCCATTTCCACTGCTCCGGCGAAGCAGTCGGTCGGTGAGACCATCACGGTTCTGAGCGGCCGCCTGAGTTCGGCCACCCTGCTCGAGGATCGCCGTGCTGCTATACTCGGCTTGCGTAGCTTTGCCAAAGACTTCCCTGCCTCTGTCGCTTCTGGAGCTCTTCGCAGTCTTATAGGCAGCCTGAGCAAGGATGCCGAAGATGTCGACACCGTCAAGGTGGTCCTTGAGACCTTACTAATGCTTTTCAGCCCCAACGAAGATAGCCCAGAAGCTTCGGAGGAGATTGCTTTATGGTTGGCTGACGAATTTACCCAGCGTCAGGAGAACATCACTCTCCTGCTCGACTTCCTCGACTCGACCGACTTTTACTCGAGACTCTACTCCCTGCAGCTCCTCGCCGCCATCCTGTCTGCCCGAACTGAGCGAACTGAAGAGTGCGTCTTCACAGCCCCTCTCGGCATTTCTCGTCTAGTAGCTGTCCTCGACGATAACCGTGAAGCTGTGAGAAACGAAGCCATCACCCTCCTCACCTTCCTTACTCCTTCTTCGACCGACATCCAAAAGCTAGTTGCCTTCGAAAACGCCTTTGACCGACTCTTCAACATCATATCCTCGGAAGGCTCCCTGTCCGAGGGCGACCGCGTTGTGGAGGACTGTCTGATTCTTGTCGCAAACTTGCTTAGGAGGAACCCCTCCAACCAGTCCCTCTTCCGCGAGTCGGGTGGTATCCGTCGTTTGGCCGTCTTGCTGGAAGGTGCTGAAAAGGCCCAGCGGGAAGACGTGGAGGTTGCTGCTTGGGCGCAGACCCAACGTAACCGGAACATTTATGCACTGTTGGCTGTGGTTCGTCTGTTTCTAGTAGCAGGGGCCGTGGGAACGCCGCAAAACCAGCTTGCCTTCTGGCAACACGGCTTGTTGTACCACGCTCTCCAACTGGCCTTCAGCCACGTAGCCCAGCTTCCAATTAAGGCAGAGGTTGGTTATCTCTCCCACCGATTTATATTTTTGCTGTTATGTTAAGATTGCGACTGCAGGCTCTAGTAACCTGCGCCGACATCATCAGGGGCAATCCTAGTCTTCAGGAGGGATTCGCCCAGCTCCAGGTCCCGTCGCCCCTCGAATCTCCTTCGCCGGCCGAAGCTGGCCAAACAAATGGCGTCGTCAAAGTCTACGTGATCGATGGCCTCTTGGACCTTGCGCTCGGCGTGCAGGACTTGGAAGCCTTCGATCTGCGTTTAGCAGCATGCGACTGCCTCAAGGCGTACTTTTACAACCACGCCGACATTCGCCTGCACTTTCTGCGAAGGGCCATTGAGGGACATGACACCGGAGCCGATGAGACTGCAAACGTGCTGACAGTGCTGCTGCGGCCCTCGTCCGACGCCGCAGTGGCTAACCCCTATCGCAGCTGGTTCGCTGCAACTATCATGCTACATCTCGTTTTTGATAATCCCGAGGCAAAGAGCATGGCCATGGCTGTCACCGAAGGCGATGCGAAAAATGGAGAGGAAGTCGTCACAAGCATTCAAACCATCGCTGCCCATCTAATTTCCGGGCTGAACCGGGAGCAAGATAGTCGGGTTGTGGTAGGGTATCTGATGCTTCTCCTTGGCTGGCTGTTCGAAGACTTGGACGCCGTCAACGACTTTTTGGGAGAGGGGACCAATACTCAGAGCCTTATTCAAGCAGTGAACCATCCGTACCCATCTGGTGACATTGTCCAGGGACTCTGCGCCATGCTTCTGGGTGTGCTGTACGAGTTCTCGACCAAGGACTCGCCTATCCCCGGGCTGACCTTCACAATATTCTCGTCTCGCGTATGGGACGTGAACGGTATATTGACAAGCTGTCCAAGTTGAGAAGCGATCCGCTTGTTAGGGACTTTGAAGTGATACCTCAAAAACTGAGTAACTCGGGCTTAGGCAAGCTGCCTGACGTCTACTTTGATGCTACATTTGTCGACTTCTTCAAGGATAACTACAGCCGCATTCTCCGCGGCATAGACCGAGATCCTGGGCTGGAAATATCCGTAGTCTCGAACGGCGTTCAGAAGGGTGTTTCCCGGGAACTCGTCGACTCTCTTCGAACACAGTTGACGGAAAAGGACCAGGCTTTGCAAGCAGCGCAAGTCAGTCTTGAGACGATTAGTCGGCAACTTGGGCAGGAGCAAGCTGATCACCGGCGGACTCGAGAAACAACTGCCGTAGAGTTAGCGAGAATAAAGCAGGTGAACGAGGGGATGCAAAGACAGCACGATGCAGAGCTACGGTGAGTAATGCCCTCTCTCTATAATACCACTAGCTGCTAACTCCTAGGTCAGGAACCTGCAGAATCGAATTGCATCTCTGCAAGAGGAACATCAAAAGCAGGATGAGCAGACCCGAAGAAGGACAGAATCACAAATCGCAACACTCGAACAGCAGCACAAGAAGCAGTTGGAGGAAGCTCAACGGAAGGCAGACACTCATATCACAGCTCTCGAACAACAGCACAAGAGGCAATTGGACGACGTCCAGAGGAATGCAGCCTTTCAGATTACAGCCCTGGAAAAAGAGCTCAAGAAACAGGCCGACCTAGCCCAACAGACCGCCAAGGCACAAGCAGCCTCGCAACAGGAGGAGCATCGCAAGCAGTTAGAGCAAGCGCGCAAAACGGCCGAGTCAGATGCTGATCGTGTCCGCCACCGGGCAGAGGCTGACATGGCAGATCTCAAGGCTACGATCAGCCGACTCGAGGTCGATCTTATGAAGGTGAGCAGGCAACATAGGCTTGAGCCATACACATAATGCTAACTTCATACAGGCCAAGAAGACAAAGGCGCAGGAGATCCAAGGCGTTCGGGAAGAGTTGGAGAAAAAGGCACAAGAACAGGAGATCCTCGTCGCCAAATCTGAGGCACGTGTAAAGCAACTTGAAAACGAACTGCGTGAGAATCAGAAGAAGGCAGCCCATGTAAGAACAATTCTCCAGGACCTCGGTTAACATAGGAGCCACTACTGACACGGGGTCCATTAGGGCGACATAGCCATCAAGAAGGCCGAGGAAGACAAAAAGGCAACGCAAAACGAGCTTGATGATTTACTCATGGTGTTTGGCGACCTCGAAGAAAAAGTCGCCAAATATAAGGTCAGTTAACCCCGTCTGGTCGTTGGTTTGGAGTTTGAATTAACGCAGTGCTTGTACAGGCAAAGCTCGAAGAACTTGGAGAGACCGTCTCTGATGGGGAAGACGAGGATGAAGGCAGTGACGAGGAGGAAGAGAACGACGAAGACGATGAAGACGATGAGGCGAAGAGCGAGGAGGTAAATAACTCCAAAACATAGACGGCCTTTTGCGCAGGAAGCCGTCTGTACATATAAGCACGTGAATCACGACTGCCATTTTCCGTCACATATCGAGCCTAGTCCATTGGACTAATGTTAGGGCGTTGCATGAGTTGAAACCAGGCAGTACGTATTCTATGAAGCTGTGCCGACCGCTGTCATAGCCCAGGCAAGTGGTCGACCAATCCCCTCTTCCAAGGGTCTTCCTCTGTACAGAGCATAGACTCGTATATATCCAAGGTGGCAGATTGCTGCGCAGGCTTGTACCATAATACTAGGCTAGCATCTGCGATTGACAATCGGCACAGCACACGTATCTGAATCGTGGTCTCTTCATTTCATCGTACGATGAGATAGGTATGGTAAAATTGCCACGACAAGCCCCCAAAAGCGGCATATCATTTCGTGACAATAACACGGGCCAGTTCTGTTCTGATGTTCTCCCAAGGTTTCCATAACGGATCTTGTATCATTCCTTGTTTTCAACAGCAGATTCTCGCCAAGGGGAGCAGCATTTCTATCTTAGCCTCCATAGCTGCGTCTTCGTCTCCTGGGTGGGTGCGGTCCACGTGTTGCTGATGGTCAGCGCACGGGGGTTGTTCTCAGGCGCCTTAAAGACGACGCGACCAGAGACCTCAGCACCAGCCTTGACATCATTGTTCTCTTCAAGATACTTGCTCATCAGGAAACCCTGCTTCCAGTGGGTGTCAGGGCCTGAGGGTCCGGTGGTGAAGGCTACCTCGCCGGGCCGGGTCACGCTCGTCTCGCCAGCCTTGACCTGCAAGCCCGCCGGAATCGTGTCCTTGCGAGAAGTGGTGAAGAAAATGTCGAACCAGATTAGGAAGCCGTCAAGTGACGGAATATCCCTGGACAGCGTCGATTTCCACTGGGCCTCGAAGTCGAGGTCCTCGATCTTGACGGTGTGCAGGTCAATGTACGAAATCTGCGATGGGGTGCCGCAGATGCAATTCTCGGGCATGATCTCGATGCGGGCCTCGTCGTAGATGCCGGCCTTCATCGATTTCATGTCAAAGCCGTAGACGTCGTCCCAGAAGGTGACGAAGTCGGTGATATACTCGGGGTCTGAAACGGGGGCCATCCATATAGTCGAGATGCTCGGGGCGATGAGGCCATCGGGCTTCAGAAAGCGGTCCCTGGCGATGAGGACACTGTTCATCATAGCCTCGTAGAGCAGGCAATAGCCCATCCACTCGCTGATGATGATGTCGACCTGGTCGACCGGGAGGCTGATGTCCTCGACCCTCCCTCTGATGCAGGTGACCTTATCGGCAAGCCCGTTGGTAAAGACGTTCTCCCGAGCCTTGTCGATGATGTCGGACTTGTCAACGGCAAAGACCTGCTTCGCGCCGGCCTTGGCGCAGAACATACTCAGAATGCCTGTGGCGCAGTGTTTAGTTAGCCGGTGCATGGTCCATTTGATGCTGGCTCGGACAAGCACTCACCAGTGCCGCAACCAATGTCGAGGACGACCTTGTCCTTGAAGAGAGACTTGTTGTTGTAGACAAAGTCGCGGTAAGAGTCAGTTCGGACCTTGTCCTTGAGCATGGTCTCGTGAATGTCTAAGGGATGGTCAGTAGACCGGCCAGTGCGAACAGAAGGCAAGAGGCGAGCAAAAAGTACCGTTGGCGGCGTAAGACTCCCAGTAGTATTGAGATTCGTCCTTCCGAACACCCTTGTCGTCAACGTCGCGCGACTTCTCGCCCTGAGTGGCAACAATAGTGTCGTCTCCCCAGCGCTGGTCAAGGGTCTGCTCGACAGCGGCGCGGTAGCTGGCGAACTGTGACTTGAGCTTTTCCAGCTCCTCCTCGAGCTGAGCTTCCCGCGAAGAAGATTGGGCGGCTTGCTGAGTGGCCTCTGGTGATTCATTGTCCAGATCCAGCTCTGTGAGAGCCATGATCAAAGCATCATCCTCAATAACGGGCTTCATAAGATGATCATCGGCAATGTCTTCGGCGGAGATGGCTTCGGGCAGGGCAGCACCGTCGTGGATACGTTGGCGAACTGATGGAGAGCATTAGCGCTCCTTTTTGCCTGGGTTTTGGCGATGTGGCCCAATGCTTGATGCTTGATGACGTGGAGGAGGAACCTACTAAAATTGACAAGCTTGACCGTGCCAAAGAAGTCGAGGCCGAGACGGCGACGGACAGCGAGGAGGTCAAAATTGTGCTTCTCCCGACAGTGCTGCAGCATAGCGTTCATGTTGGGAAAGACGGAGTCGTCGAGGAGGGAGATGAAGGCCACAGTCTCCTCCTCTTCGGGCTCGGCGTCTTCCCAGTCGGACCCCTCCGATGAGACATCGGATTCGGCGAGGTCTTTGTTCTTGAGGTTGTCCTCGACCATGGTGATGATCAAAGGTGGTGTCTATGTTGGTCCTTTTCCTGGCTCAAACTGTCAGACGTTTTTGCAGTGGGGCTGTTAGTAAAAAACATAGGATCCGATGCTCACCTATTTCCACCTGATTCAAGTGTGATTCTTGGTGTTCGATTCTGTAGCTGGGCTGGGCATCTCACGTTCAAACTACAGACCTTGTGAGTGAGCGGGTGAGTGACAGTAGAATGAATGTGAGATGGATATTTTTTCGCCTCCAAGCAGTGTGGGACTGTGCTGGGGCCCCAGGCAATGTCTGGATGGCGCGGGTGCAAATGCAGGCAAGTGCCTGGCCTGACTTGTTGATTTAAAGGTGGGATTTTTTCCTATTTTTTTTCTTAGTCTTTCTTCCTACTTTCTCCTACCTTAGCGCCGACCTTATCCGACGAGAAAAGGGACACGGCCCAACTCAGTCTAAGGCGTGTTTGTATTTTTGTCTGAGGGCCGCACGGCTATCGTAAATCCCCTTGACGGAAGAGCGTTTTCTTTCTGTTGTGCCCCTCACAGAATTGCCCCTCTTACCCTTTTTGTGCGCTGGAGGGATCTCTAACACAGGCATGCGTTTTCTGCGGCCGTTTATCAGGGACCAATGGACTTTGAACAAGGAGCCGCACTTTCTCCGGCTACGCAACACTGAATGTGATAGAGGCATCTTCCCTGCATTAGCTACATGACCCAGAAGTTGGTCGATACCATTTTCTGACTGGCGACGGAACCCTTTGTTATAAACCACCAACCCCGTCATCACTGTCACCAAGCTAAACTCCAACTTCTTAGCTCTCGCTCATGTGTCAACTTTCTTACAAAGCGTCCTCGAAACTTCAACTGACATCAACCAAGCACAAAAGCATACACCCGTCCCACTCATCTGTTTCTCCCTGGCACGCTCTTAGGTCCAAGACGTCTCTATTGCACCGTCATCTACTACCAGAACACTGGCTTACAAGGCTCACTCTCAGACGTTGCCGGGCATTGCAACTTAATTATCCACGCCCTTGGATGTTGGTCCTAGTAGTGTGGCACGCCGATGCTCTGCAGGATGAGGTTGACGATACTGAGAAACCCCTCGCCAAGGATGAATCCCTACATACCAGATGCATTAGTCGCGAGTCTCACTCTGCGCAAATTTCAGCTGCACTTACTGAAGCTAATACAATCAACGGCGTGCTCGACTGGCCTCGGCTTGTGATCCAATACCAGCTGAGCATACCACCAACCGTCCTCGCCAAAGTGAAGGATGGTACGTTGTACATTCCTGTTACTGGGTCAGTGATAATACATCGCTTCTGTAGCCCTGCAAATACTCACCAACCGCCACAGCAATGCCTCCTGGCACCAACGACCGCCACACCTTACCGGCCGCCAATGTTCTGGCAATAGTCGTCATGGCGAAGATTATGCCAAACCCAAGAGCCCACTCTCGAGCCATAGGTGGCAAGCCCTTACCCGTGACCAGCCTGGCTGTGAATATCCACACATATCCAGTAGGGACCTGGAAAAGATCACCAGGAATAGTGTAGACCCTGTAACGTAACAGTCAGTGGCTTCCGCACAGAAAGACAAGCCTGCAAGTACAGACGATGGCCGATACTCACGCTGTGTATAACTGGTACACAAAGGCACTGACAATGGCGCCTGCTGTTGCTCCGATGACCTGGCCCCAGAATTGGGCTTTAGGTGCGGCCCCGAGGAGATGGCCCGTCTTGAGATCTTGCATAAGATCACCCGCTTGTAGGGCACCCTAAACACGTTAGCTTGCATCACAGAAACGCCATCGATAAGATGTACATACTGCTTCTGACTATCGTAAAGGTTAGCAAACGGCTCACACAACGAGTCAGGGGTGCCGTCGATGAGAACTTACCACGGCGCCTGCCACCAGGTTGATCAACACACTCGACTGGTGCGACTGAGGAATGATGAGAGCAAAGAAGAGCTGTGCAAGTTTGCTAATCCCAGACACGGGGTTAAGGTCTGTCTCGCCAAGTGCTCGGACGCCCATGATGCTGAGCAGAAGCGCCATGAGAACAGCGACGATTGTCGCGTAAAGCGGGACAAGGTCACCAAAGACGATGTGGATGGTCGTGATGCACAGCAGTATAGACAAGATGAGGCCGACTAACACAAGCTTGTTGCTGATTTGCTGCTCCAATGGCGCGTCTGCCTCCTCTACCCGAGGGTCGTTGTTCGTCGACACCGACGCTCTGCGAATAGTGGCCGGCCTTTGTGCTGCCCCAGGCAAAAGTCTGGAGGTGCTGGTTGCTTCTCCGTCTTCGTCCGTGTTCAGGGCCGAGTAACCGTGACTCGAACGGCGTCGAGTGCCCAGGTATCGCTGCCCTTGGTCCATAACTTGTTGCCAAAGCCCCTTGAATCCTTCATTGCCAACCCGGCGTGCTAGGGGTCGGAAGGCGATGTAGCCAAGGCTGACGATGGCGTCGGAAAGCATGATGGCGAGAGAAATCCATACAATCCAGCCCTTACTACCAGTCTCCCAGTCGTCGATAGAGCCTGGCGCCCATCCCTGGTACTTGGCCAAGGGGGACAGCACTCCCCATCCGATGATGGCGCCAAGGAGCATGTGCAAAGTCGTTTCGGGACCCATAATGATGCCCTGGCCAATGTATGCTGGGCTCGGATTCAAGGTCCACAACCAAACACCGGCAGCCTTGGTACCGAAGATGGGGATGTTCCGCAGAGCCGGTACGAAGTACGAGCACAACGTGTAGAACCCCGAGACCCCGAAGCATACAAGCAGCAGCCTCATGTTTCGCGCCCAATCGTCTGGAGATCCGCTTTCCGGATCATTGATTCTGGCGTTCTCGGGATCCGCGATGCTTGCAGTGCGGCCATGACCGGACTCTGGCGCCGGGTCCGATTTGGCATCTTGGTCAGGAACCAAACTCGCGAAGCCGCCCGACACGGCGTCAGGACCAGCTCTGCGTGTCTGACCATGAAGAACCCCAATGAGCACTGCAGTGCTGAAACCGCTGGGGAAACGCAACTTCTCACGGATGATAACCTGCCGTCGGCTGGTGTCGTTGTTTAGAATGGAACTTGCTCGATGAGGGTTCTGTGACCAACTTACAGAGGGACAGCAAAGACAACGCCAAAGTAGCAGAGGCCCAGTGACCAGAGAACAAGCTTCCAAAGAGGAATGTTGAGGGGCCCCTGCTCCTGGGGGGCTAGGAGGTAGTTCATTGCAGGAATCTGATGGAATTGTCAGCCATCCACCTGGTACGTTCATCTCCCATCTTGCTGCAGGCAGCAAGGGGAGGGGAGTAGATAGAGAGGCCTACCACACCAACGAACCCGCAGCCAAGCGGCATGATGGCCATGCTTCCTGCCACGGTCTGAACGAGCACGTTCTCGACAGGACTGAAGGGAAATCGCAGGTGGCGAGAAAGCGCTTTGAAAATGCCGAAGCCCATCAGACTGGCCGGCATAGTCATGGAGCTCACCCATCCTGTTTGGAGGCCAAAATACATGTTGGAGAAGCAGATGACCAGGCCGACCAAAAGTCCCACCAGGATGCCGCGAAGAGTAAAGCTGTGACCGTGGATAACGGGCCCTTGCCCGAGGGCATTCCCAGTGTTGGTGTCGTGTGCATGTGTAGTGCTGGGCCCAACGACAGCACGGTTATCGTTTTCGTCGTCATCGTCGCGGTAACCTCGATCAGGAGCCATGTTTACTTTGACGGTAGCTGCCAGCGCTGCGATGAAAGGAATCAACGAGGTTGTGCAAGTATTGCAAGCCCAATATCGGTTCCTCAATAGAGAAAAGAGGAGTGACGAGCGTTACGGCCCCGCTCTGTGACGGATCGATGCGATAACAACGGCGTGCTGACCAACCCGACTTCTGAATCGCTTCTCAGCCGGCGACTATGTGTATGAGAATACCTGCAACAGATGAGAGTAGCCGTAACACAGAGTACATAGAAAGCGGTGTGTTGTCCCTTACACACAAGTAAGGTGATACACACAAAGGAATGTCGTGCTCGATGAAATAGGAAGTTGCACAGTCAATTACATAAGACGGAAGAGTGTTGGCGAAGGCATGTAGCTGCGATACGGGATCCGTAATGGAATCCTTATCTCTGGGATACCCATGCCGATGCCAAATGGGAATGTTTTTTTTCACAAGTCGCGCGTCTCACTGTCAGTGTGTGGAGGCAGGCACAACTGCTTAGATCCCCTTCATCCATGCAGCCAACACTAACCCGAGTCCGGTTCCGGCCCGGACGGAGCTGGCAAATACATAAGCAACACACCAGACGATGACGTACTAAATAGCCGCCAAATTACCCATGCTTAGTAATCACACTGTATGCACGTTTTCCACTTCTTACCAAGGACCTTTTCCCAATTAACAATGCCTGGTAAATCACAAAAGCCAGCTTTCGTAGTATGTTACCCAAACTGTAAGGCCAATACCTCATGATCTTGATGCATAGGGATCGTACAATGCTGCTACTGTCTGCCAAGCATGAGCCGCTGATAAGCGAGCTGCCCTCTTTCCACTCTCCCCTCTAGAACCCGAAGCTATCGAGGAGCGAGCTCGAGTCCGGTTCTTGGAAAACCGTCGGAGTTGACTGCTTTCCCGATCCGCCTGATCTCATACCGGCGTGAAGACTCGACATGGGCAAGTCAGCTACCACCAGTGAACTACGTCGGCGCAGCATCTTCAGCGGATTGACCTCGCCACCTAGGCCATCAGTCATGCTCAATACTGGTTTCAGGAACTCCCAGTTGCGAACTGTAAGCTTGTCAGCCTTGGCTTTCGACCTAAACGCAGCCATATGGCGCTTACCTAGGTCCAACCCGAGAAGATCGCAACCCATACGGTCGTAGAGCTTGGCGCTGTGGAGGACGAATTCCCACTCGACGCGCGGAGTGACCTTCGACGCCCCGCGAAGTGTTTGAAGCGTCTTCTGTCGTAATTGCGAGTACAGCACCACCAATGCAGGGTCATCCGTGAGGAAAAGTTTCGACCTCATGTCAGGGGCACACGGCGTTTCCACTAGGGTGTAAACAGGGGACTGCAATGAAGGGCGCGTGTTAGAAGATAGCGCCGACTATTTACCCTGATTCGATGTTGGGGGCAACTTACAATGAGAGCCCTAACCGCCATATCCTTACGGTTCAACATCCAGAAAGCCCATGACGCGAGCCAGCGGTTGCCCTCCTTGGCTGCCACAGCGAGCACCTCCTCTTCCAAGAGCTTTCTCAGTACCGGACCCTGGTCACCTTCATACACCCGTGCAATCGCCACGGCAAGTTGGAGGTCCTTGAGCTGGTTCAAACAGACGTTGACAGCATCCTGCAAATGATCAGCGAGCAGAAAGAACGCTGCCGCATATTCTGCGCGCCCAAAACGTTAGCGTTGGGAAGATGAGTTGATTTGTTTCTAACTTACCAAACCGTCGTTTGCTGAGCAGGGCGTAAGCATTTTTCAGAGCTGTTGTCCGCCACTTGGGCTCTTCAAAGTTGTTGGCCAACAACTTCTGAGTTGCCCCTTGCTCTCTGTTCCAGTGAGCCATACGCCAGAGCCCCTGGAGGACTGTCTTTTTCTTGAGGGCCAAGTAGTAGATGCTACAATCGACTGGGTTTTTCATCTCGCTCTTAGTGTATTCGTTGCGAGCCACGTTCTCAAATTGCGTACGCTGCGAGTAACGTGAGCCTGCTGTGTACCAGTCACTGGCCAAGGAAATGCTGCACCTACCAAAGCGTTGCGGTCACTAAGCCACATGAACATACCGCTCTCTCGTGCATCCTCCCAGCGCACGGTGCCGTGACACTGTTTGGTAACAAAATCAGTGAGGATATCTTGGCTGGTTGAGTGATAAGCCCAGTTGATCTCTCGCCAGGACATCTGGATCTCGCTCGTCCGGCCCTTGCGAAGGCCATGCTGGCGAAAGAAGAGCATGAAACGAGCCCCGTTCTCATCGAGTGACCTGCGTTGTTTTTCCACTACTCCAACACATTCGACAATATCTGCTAGTTGTATCTGCTCATGGCCCGACAGCTGCCGAAGGCCGACCTTGGTCAAACGTCCGTTGATGGCATGAGCAGTTTCCTCGCCGAACGTTTCGTCGGCCTCGTCATTAGATGCTTGAAAGCTAAAGTGAGAGCCCAGTTGAGTTTCTGATGCCTGTGATCCCTAAGAGTGATGTCAGCAATAGCTTCATCCTTTGGTTGCAATAGCACTGGAGAAAAATTGAAGGGGGAAAAAGGGGGGAACAGGAGCATCTACCTCATCCATGTAAAAGACTGCCGGGTCTAAACCCAGATAGTCATCCACCGTTTCGCCGGCAATGAGGAACTTGAGCGTTTTATGCAAAGCCATGAGTACGTTCCGCACTACAGTGCTTTTACCGGCAAGGATGCATTGACTCAAGAATTGGGGATGGAAAACCGGTAGCGGACCATTAAACCTCTGGACGGCTTCAAATATATCCCAGACGCCGTTCTTCCTGTGTGGGAGTTGTAGGCTGTTGATTAGAGAGCTAGACAGGTCGTAATCCCTCCCATGAACGAACATCTGATTGCCGGAGCCGATAACGAGATGCCCGTCCCCCAACCACGTGGAATCGCCTATTGGATGAGGTGTGAACTCACGAATACTGATCTCTCGCACTGCAGCCCAGGCCGGTCCCTTGTTCAGGTAGTCAAACCGCATCTGGCAGAGCAAGACTACCTTGGACTGAAAGCCTACAGCAAGTATCGATTGCGAGTCCGGCGTTGACGTCCAGTCAAGGTCCTGAATGGTATTGTGCGTACCGTAATCCTGTGTGAACTCGAGCCGAGCGCCGCCAATGTCCCAGATGGAAAGTTGCGACCTGCTTGAATCGACGAGCGCAGCTTTCTTGAGAGTGCTGCCGCTAACGAGAGCCGGCTCGGAAAGACCTGTCTCTGCCGAAGATGTGGAAAGCCAGCCGACGTGATTTCCCGTTTTGTCAACTTTTGCTGTCCAGAAATCCACTCGGCCGGTATGCGTGTAGGATATGGCAATATCCCTGGCAAAGACGTCCAGAAAGCCCGACGTTACCGGCGCAGATCCAGCCGGATCAACGGGTAGCATATACGCGATTCCTTCAGCGTCCCTCAATTTGAACCTACAAAATTCTCTGATCGATGTCTCGTCCCGACCATTGGTGTGAGCCTTAGCACGCTGGTGAGAGTACCGAGGTAAATTGACCTCCCAGACAAGTCCTTCCTGCTCCGAGGTAATCGTAGCAACCTGTGCAACGGCATATTCCTCCACCTTTTGTCGAGGCAGAATCAAAAGACAAAGTGGCTTCCCTGAGATTTCATATGGCTGACGCTCCAACAGCATTGCCTTCTGTGGCCGACAATCCCATAGAGAGATGGTGTTATGCTCCAGGAACATGACGAAGCGACCTTTGCGTAGGACGCAAATGCGATGAATGTGGGCGCTCCCCGGAATGACGCTCTGCCGCAAGAGACTAGTCATGTTGTTCTCTGCATGTGTCCAGACAATGCTTTCCCCCTCCTCTGTTCTAGACACAACAGCTCTACCACTGAAGTTTCTAACCATTTTCTTGATGGGGGCCGAATGACCGGACCAAATGCAGCGCCGAGCAAGGCGGCCCTCCTTGTTAACGGTGTCGAGGCAGTCCACTAAATCTACTTCATAGACTTGAATCTGGCCATCAAAATCATGGAATAACACATGCAGCCGCCCGGTTTGTCGGTTGCAATAACTCTGTACTTGAATGTACTGATCAGGCCGGAAGTCAAGTAGATGCGACTTGAATTTTGCGACCTTGACAGCGGCCTTGGACTTGTTCGGTTTAGAACCGACGTCCTCGAAAGCGTATATGGTCATGTCCCCTGTGCTATCGGAAGCAACACAGAGCTCGGGGCTCTTGTTTGCCAGGGCTATCAAGTTCTCGAGGGCGGCGTCGTGCTTCCCTTCCTGAACTGGACGACGTTGAACTGTCAGCTCCGTGGCAGCTGAGACCTCTCTCCCGTCAATGACAAAGGCAAGCGATGGTACTACGGCAATGGCAGATCTGAGACTCTGTTCCTGGAGAGACGAGGCCAAGTCGATGGCTCCCCAGAGATTCATGTGCCCCGAGGAATGCGTATCTGCGCCAGTCCAAACGCGGACCACATTATCGACGCATATGGTATAGAGAGCATTTTCGACGGTTTGCTCAGTGTGGAAAGGCTTTCGCCATCGGAGGCTGATCACTACGTCCGGGTGGCGTAAATAAGCCAGGTCGAAGCGCACATCCTCGGCTCCATACGTCAACCGGCGCCAAACTTTGACAAGGCAATCCTGTAGGCCAACCGATGCTATGTATGCCGAGTCGTAGGAGAGCTCTGCGAGCTTCAGGGGGTTCGGGACAGGTTTGTTCCATAGTTGTGCTGGCTCGTCGGTGGTCAAGTATAGGTAGAGAGCGGAATGGGCTACGAGGAGCTCTTCGGTGCCACCCCAGCTTAGCGAGATGCCACCGGCAGCATTTTGAAGATCGGGAATCGGAAAGGATGATTGAAGACCCCACTGGAACGCAGAGACGTTGTTAGCTGCTGTATAAAGCGTGGTGGAGAGCAATGGAGACAGGATAGGAGCCGCGGCTCCAACATACCTTTAGCGCATCTTCCGACTGTCCAAATGGCTTGTAAACTCTCACGACGGAGTCGGTACATGTGGAAATCTTCCCCGAGGATTCGTCGAAGGCTACGGCCTGCAGGTGGCTCGGGTCGTCGTCGTAGATGGTCTGGACGATGGTGTCGGAATCACCAAGGATGGTGACTGCGCTGCCGGTTATGTATATCTGCGCGGCCAGTCAACGCCATACGCAACGACAACAACGGTGGAAGGAGCGAGAGCAAAGTCGCAGCTGCTCACATTGAAGTGTCTCGAGTCCCAAAAGCCCGATGCAAGAGCTTGGAGCCCAGACCTTGGCCTGCCTGGGAGCACTGCTCTCATCCTACTAGCAGGAGAACCGCAGCAGCATTGCTCAGATGGGTGGGAGGGCGCGAAGGTCGGGGGAACGCAGTGTCAGTTCGGATATCGTCGAAGCAATTGGATTGAGGGGTAGTTTGAAGCTCTTAAGGTGAGATGAGGAGTAAACCGAGCTATGCAAAAGGTGGATGTAAGTGGGAGGGTCGATGAAAATCAGTTAAGTTGAGGTAGCTCAAGTAGCGTGAGGTGCATCAACTTGGACTTTGGGGGTATTTAGGCGATACGTACCTGCCTGCTGCTAAGGTGCAGAACTTCTGATGACGGGGGTCAGGGCGGCGTGTCGCAACCCAACGCCCGTGATAAGATAAAGCCCCCCCCGTACCTCAGCTGTCTAAACAATGACGCTAGGATGCATGGGTGAAAGTACTTTATATGCTCTAGTACTAGACGAGGTACTTCAAAGTCATAAGAGCCTCTAGAGCTTCTATCACGGTAGTCTTACAGAAACATAAAGACATCATCTAGCGATGTTTAAATGCGGCAATACATCTTATGTAGTTGAGAGACTTATGCATTGCGTCTTTGAGCTAGCCTACTGAAGGTATCAACGTCTTACCAAGCTACTTGAATGTTCATCATCAGCACCGACACTGCCAAACAGCGAATAACCTCCTTTTCCAGCCTCTACCAATGTGTGCTGCAAAGGCAGCCTGGCTATACTCGCTAGTAGTTTCCAATAAGAGAAGAAAAGTAAGAAAAAAATTAATCCACAAGACCATATCATACAATCCATGCTCATTGAGGGCCATTACCCGTTACTTCGTTCACAAAGAGCACAAATCGTCTATCACTCTCCTTTTCCAGACGCCTCCGGCCTACTCTCATTGGTGGCCCGTCGCGTGTCTGCCACGGAGAGCCTCTGCGCCTGTGCAAAAGAAAGCCTGCTCAGCTGGCCTGTGGGGGCTGTAGGCACGCTCCTGTTGTATCGTTCCCGGAGCTCTCGCTCGAACGGTGTCGGTAGCGGCGCGAATGGTGTCATAGACGGCAGCCTGACAGAAGAAGCCATGCCCGTCCATCGCGTCGGCGTGTCCATGACGACTCCATCGACGTCGGGTCCGGAGCCGCCCCCGTCATGGTCCTCCTCTTCGACCGCTGGACCAACCTCTTGAGTCCGAGAACCCCTGAGCGATAAGCCGCCCGCTCGCTCATGAACTATCCTCGAAAGTGGCAGCGACCCGTGACTGAGCCCGAGCCCAGCACCTCTCCGCGAGTTCGCAAAGCTGGTCCGAGTGGTCGTTGAATGTTGCGACGTAGCCAGATCTATGTCTCCCTTCCAATGAAGCAGCAGCCGCCGTACTGCTTTTTTGCTGTTCCTTTCTCGGACATCGAGTGCAACATATTCGCGGCTTTTGAGCTGTAGCAAGGTCGACTGCCACTGACTCCAATAACGCGACTTGAGTGTCACTCCCCAGGCTTGCTTAGCGCGATCTTGTGTCCCTGCGTGATCTTGAGACATGCTCTGCCACTCATCAACCCAGGCGGCTGTCAAAAGCCTGCGTGCACCCCAGTCGTTGTTGCTCTCGTCTCGCCATTTATCCAACATGCAAACAAGACGAGCTCGATTCATCACGCTATGATGTTGGGTCGTCCCCCAGCTAATATTGCCATGAGCACGAGTAGCAGTCTTCCATCGATTGAGGTAGCCCTTGGTGAAGGTAGCCTTGACGTGTTGCCTACATCGCGCATATGCTTTCCGAGTGCTGGACCTCCAGGATGCCTTTGAACGCCATGTCATCAACGCATCTGTAATACTGACGTAGAAACAGCCACGCTTCGCCCACATGTTGAGGCTTCTATTGTGATTAACGTCGGCATGCCATGACTCCAGAGCCTTCTGAGCGCCCTGATGCACCGCAAAATGACGCGAAGTTGTGCTGGTCTTGGCAACTGCCAAAGTTTGTCGTTGCCAGTTGTCTAAGACCTTTGTCTTCAGCATGCGATCCGATACTTTTCCGAGGTAGTTCCCGCTTCGGAGGGTTCGAGGCAGTACTCGACCAGTCTGAGGGTCGACAGTGCTTCCACCGCCATAAACGGTAGCTTGGCGAAGGGCCGGCGGTGCTTGACAAGCGCTTTGCCATCTGGACAAGGAGCTACGAATGAGCTTCACTCCCATCTTGGCCCTGAAGACCTCGACCCGTGTGTCCAAATGCCACTGACTCAAGGAATCGCGGACGACGTTAAATCGACGAAACGATGCGACATTTTTATGATGTGATACAGCCAGACGGTGCCACGTCTTGAAGGCCTGCGACAGCTCGTACCTCTGATGTAGGGCATCCAAACGTCCCTGTAACCTTTGTGAAATGGCGCAGGCCGACTGCCAGTGTTGCAAATAGCTGCGTATGGAACGGGGCGGTTGTTGAGGTCCATTGGAAGCCGGGCAAGAAGCAAACCACTGTGCGAGAACGTTCTGAGCAGTTTTGCGTTGAGCATGAGCTGAGGCGTAGTGCTCCATCACATTATCGTCATTGGCGTGTCTAAGCCAGAGGGCCATGAGACGTGACGTAAAAACACGGCGGCCTTTGAACCTGGTCTCAGCTGTCACGAGCTCCCACGAATCGAAGTGACGCATTCGTAGGATGTGTCTCCTGGCCACGGCTGTTCGTTCAAGCTTGTCCTGAGCATGCTGTTTCCAGTGGGATATTCCTTTGAGGAGTAACAAGTACCCGGCTGCTTTTCTCGATTGTCGTTCCAATAGAGCATATCGCGCCTCCGCTTCCGGCTCTTCCTCTGGCTCTAAGTCGATTACCTGTTCTTCCACGTGATGTTCGGCCTGGCTATTAGAGGGTTTTTTTGGTGGCTGCTCTTGCTCGGCAGGTTGTTCGGCAGGTCGGTATGTAACAGGCTCCCGAACAGCAACCTCAGGTTCAAGAGGCTGTTGAACATCAATTTTGTTGCCGTCCGGCGCTTTCACCTCAGGCCCATTCTCGACTTGGGCAACTTCGGGTCTATCTTGAATCGGTTCAGTGGTGCTATCGGGGGGTAGCAGCCAATTTACTGTCCGCACAGGCTTGGACCGAACGGGGAGCGCGGGCACCTCCTTCTTGTTCTTCGCGGGACGATGGTTGAGAGCCTCAACAGGCTGGACCGTGGTGTCGCTAGCGCCACGTTGCTCATTGGTACCAGCGATTGACTGGTGACTTTGGTGTGTTTGCTCCGTGTCTCCTGCCGTAGAGGGCGTATAGTTTTGTGCTGATTTGATTTGTCTAGCGGGCTTTACATCCAAGTGGTTTGGTCCCGCATCCGCGCGCGTTAGCCTTGGGGGAGATGCGGAATCGTCCAAATGGTATGCCTCGTACGGCTGTGAATGAGGCAAGGAGGCCATCTCTTCCCGTTGGGCTGGGTGGAAGACTGGGTGCTCTTTATCAGCATCAGATGGTTCGTCTTCGGACGAGTGAGAGTTATGATCGGTCGCCGTGAGAACCGGAGACGGCTGGAAAGACTCTTCGTGACTAGGGCCGTCGTGGTAGTCTGGTCCGTCGCCATGGTCTGAGAGCACCCTGGAGCCGTCGCTGCGACTGTCGAATTCGAGCCCGATACCCATCCTCGACAAGACAGCACGAAGTTTTTCCATGAGAGATCCATCGCCGCGTTCGCCGCCGATCCGGAAGACGAGGCGCGAAATATGGTGGTCTTCCTCCGGGTCGACGCCGTAGAGCGGTAGGACGGCGTCGTAGGCCTGGAACAGTGCGTTTGTTGCCAACCGTTCCCCCTCGGGAAGGAGTTCGAGATTCTCTTGCGCGGCTGTGACGACATCATGCAGAATAGCGATTTCTAGGAGGGTTCGTCAGTCGCATTACGCTTGCGATTTTGGTAGTTTGCAGGACACGAGTATAGGCCAAAGCGCACTCACCTTCGTCACTGTAGTAGGAGTCGGAGCTTTGGACAGACACGAAGCTGGATATGCCGTCACGAGGAGCCAGCGCTGGGCGATGCGGCAGCGACGGCATGTGAACTGGAGCCGAGCTGGGAGCATAATAAGATGGCGGTAATATGGTTTGTTGTAGTAATGGTAGTAGTAGTGGTGGTGGTAGCTGGTTTTGCGATTGCAGCTGCAGTCGCGTCGCTGAGGGTCGAATCCAAGGTTAGGACAGAGGTATCGTAAGCCAAAGATGCTAAATACATTTGACCGCGACAAAAGCGAATCGTTGGTAAAAGTAAGAGGGAGAGAGGGAGAGGCGCGAACAGGCCCAAGGCGAACTGCGATAGGCTTTGTGTTTTTTTTTGTTTTTTTAATGGGATGGACGGATGCTGCTCAGTCGTGTCGCGACAGCCGCAAAAAAGTGATGTAGGGATGGGAGTAATGACAGTGGATCGGGCGTGGTGCTGTTGAGCCTGCCATGTCCACCGCGTGCAGGTAGGTTGCAAAATGAGTGCAACTTGGCCGGCAACGAGGGCAAGGACGAATGTCGAACCAAGAAGGGTCGATGGGATGAGGTTTCGAGGTCAAAGACGGCGGACGGGGTCAACCCAGGTCAGATATTCTTAGCGCCAAGTATTCGCACAGCTCCCCCCCGACCTCCCGTTTTCTTACCTTGCACCACCTAAGCACAGTTTCTGTTTATTTCGCGTCCACACTTCTCGCTGAGCGGTGGAAAGACCAGCCCCTGTGGGTACGCTGTTGTTGGCTGGGCTGCACTTTAATCCTGGAGTCGCGACGGGAATCTGATTCGCCAACGAGCTGTACCCTGTGTCAAAATGGCCCACGGTGCTTACCCTGTAGACATAGAGCCCCGCCTCGAGCTGCCTTTACAACCACGCAGGACACTCGAGATCGCCCAAGGTACCTTTTCAGTTCAGCGTTCCCGCGCACTAGATCCCTTACACAGCGCTCTAAGCTCCTGACAACAACGAAGTACATTTCTCTCTCCGTCATTTGCGGCTATATGCATAAAGCCGCCAGCCACAACCGCCTTATGCCGTCGTCGCTTTTCTTCTTCTTTTTCTTGTGATTGTCGAAGCTCCGCCATCAACCTTTATTTTGGTACTCTTACGTGAAGTGGATAGACAATACCTCGGAGGCAGTCATCCAGCTAGCTTCGCAAATCACACACTCTCTCATCTTGCATCATATCATATCTCACCCCTCCTCTTCACAGCTTTTCAGCCCTCTAGAACGCATAATTCAGACAACTAAAGCCGGCCACCATGGTTCGCCCACGGCCTATCCAGAAATTCGCTGCAGCAGTTGGCCAGTGCTCAGCTGAGGTCGGGTTCTCTCTTCATGTTCATGAACATAGCTTTAGTGGCAAACGTACTCATCAAAACACAGGCCTCATTGTACGGCAAGTGCATTGTTGCTGATTACAATGCCGTTCACAAGGACAAGTGCTTGAAGGAATTTCTAAGGTTAAAGGACTGTTATCTTGTAAGCCTGCCACCATTTTGCATCTCCCTCTCCACCTGTTTCTTGAGTCAATTACATCACTAACATCGGCCCAACCACAGGTCGCCACCCGGAAAGCAAAGTGAGCAGAATAGGAACACAGTAGAGACCAAACGCAATTGTAAGATTGTATATTGATGTTTTCCTCTCGTTGGTTCTATGAAGTCTTTATCCGTCACAGCAAGTAGTCATCCAGTATGCCTCTGTTGTCAGTAAGCGCTTATCAAGTCCGAAATTCTCAGTTCTACAACTCAAGCAGCCGTAACAAGAACGTCGCATGCTGCACTTCCTGCTCCTCCTCCATAATCACCCCCTTCTGCTGCTCGCTCGGGATCTCACCCTCTACCTTTGTGACTTCGTGCTTGTCGACCGGTCTCCGCAGTGCCTTCTCGATGACCTTGGTTTGCGACACAAACACCTCCTCGAGACCAATGTTGTCTGGATCACTGATGACTTTGTACTCCATCTTGATGTCGTCCGTCGGCTGAAGTTGCGCCTTCTTTCTCAAGCGCTGTACACGGTTGATGATCTCTCGGGCGAGACCCTCGTGCGCCAGCTCAACATACAGCTCCGCGTCCAGAATAGTGAGCACATCGTTGTCAGAGTTAGTCTCTAGGTTCTTAGAAGACTCGTCCTCCTTCAAGCCGCGCCTCACTACAAGGTCGCCCTCCTCCAGCTTGATTCCATCGACAAGGATCTCCTTCTTCTCCGAGTACTCCTTGACAGCGTCACTGCTAAGAGTCGGGAGCGCCTTCTTGACGCGCGCCATGTCCTTCTTGAGTTTCTTGCCTAGCACTGGCCAATCTGCAGTCACGCTGTACTGGACATTGTACTTAGCCTCGTCGGACGTGAGGACCAGGTCTCTGACATTCATCTCTTCCCTGATGTAGGATGAAAGGGACTCGAGGTCCTCCAGGTACTGGGGGTCGCGGTGGATGACGACGAGCGTCTTGAGAGGCGTCTTGAGACCAACGGCCTTTCTCTCACGAGAGACTCTGACCAGGTCGATGACTCTCTGCATTCTACCGACTCTGCGCTCAACCACTTCATCGAACAGCTCTTTTCGCACCTCGGGGAAGGGCAGGAAGTGGACGCTTCTCGCGTCCTCCGCCTCGGCCTCCTTAGGGATGAAGGGGCGCAGCTTCTGGTAGATGGTATCGGTGATGAACGGAGTGAAAGGAGCAAGACCACGACACAGCGTGAAGAGAACCTCAAACAGGGTGTTGAGCGCATGCTGAGTATCCTCAACGCCGTTCTCGCCCTTGAGGCGTCTTCTGTTCAGCTTGATGTACCAGTTCGTAGTGTTTTCAATGAGGCCAAGCAGGCGCGGGACGACGGTGTAGAGGCGGTATGCTGGTGGGTAGTCGGCAAGTCAGTGAAACTCAATATGCAGGCGGCAACGGAGTTCAACATACCACTCATCTCCTCGTTGACGAACTGCAACAAGCTCTGGCAGCTGGCCAAGATCCAGCGGTCCATAACGTTCTCATTGTTGGCCAGAGCCTTGGGGTTCCAAGCATAGTCGATGCCCTCGACCTTCTTCAACAGGGACACCTGGCCCTCAAAGAATTTATAGCTATTCCAGAGGGGCAGCAGAACCTTTTGCACAACCTCCTTTACACCGGATTCCTTGAAGCGCAGCGGCTCGGCACGCACAACAGGGGAGTTGATGAGGTAGAGGCGCAGCGCATCGGAGCCATACTTGTCCATGACCAGGTCAGGCACCGGGTAGTTCTTAAGACGTTTTGACATCTTCTTTCCATCCTCCGCTAGAACTATGCCGTTGACCACGCAGTTTTTGAAAGGAATGCGACCGAAAAGATGCGTGCCTAGCACGAGAAGGGTGTAGAACCAACCTCTGGTCTGGTCCAAACCCTCGGCAATAAAGTCACCAGGGAAGGACTTCTCAAACTTGTCAGCATTCTCAAAAGGGTAGTGCTGACTTGCGTACGGCATGCTGCCGGACTCGAACCAGCAGTCAAAGACTTCCTCGATACGTCTCAGGGTGCCCTTGCCCATCTTACTGGGGATCGTAATGTGATCGATATTGTCACGGTGAAGATCAGTCAAGTCACCAGTGTAGCCACTCAGCTCCCGCAGCTCCTCAATGCTACCGACGCACACCCGCTCTTCCATATCCTCACTGACCCAGAGAGGGATCGGGGTACCCCAGTAACGGTTTCTCGAGACGTTCCAATCACGGGCGTTCTCGATCCAGCTAGCGAAGCGGCGCTCCTTGACGAAAGACGGCACCCAATGCGAGCCCTTAATGTTCTCCAGCATCTGAGGGACGATCTCAGGGATGCGAACGAACCATGACGGGACAGCGCGGTAGATGAGAGGGGTGTCGGATCGGTAACACATGGGGTAGGAGTGTTTGAGCGTAGAATCAACCACAACTTTTCCGGCGGCCTTCAGTTGCTTGATGATGTGCTTGTCAGCCTCCTTGACGTGCATGCCAACGAAGTCAGAAACACGACTCATGAAGTGGCCGCTGTCATCAATCGGGTCGGGAGGGGGTCTGTTCTCAGTGACGATGCCGGCGGCCAGGGCGACATTGTAATCATCTTCACCGAAAGCGGGCGCCTGATGAACAATACCAGTACCGCTATCATCAGTAACATAGGTGGCGTTCAAAACTTTGAATGCAACGTCCTTGTACTCCTCATAGAAGTAGTTGAAAGGGGGTTCGTACTTCCAGCCAAGCATGTCCTTGCCCTTGATCTTTTCGAGGATCTTAAACTTTGCCTTCTTGACGTCTTTGTAGAGAGTGCCAAGGAGCTTCTCGAGCAGAATGTATTTCTTCCCGGACTTCTCGTCGACGATCTTGATGTACTCGAAATCAGGGTGAGCGGCCAAGCCGAGATGAGACGGCAAGGTCCAAGGAGTGGTCGTCCAAGCCAGCAAGTTGGTCTCGGGATCGTCCAGCAAGGGGAAGGCGATGACGATGGCAGGGTCGCTGACATCCTGATAGTTCTGATTGGCCTCGAAGTTGCTCAATGCCGTCGTCAAAGCCGTCGAGTAAGGCATCACACGGTGTCCCTGGTAGACAGCGCCCTTGTCGAACAGCTGCTTGAAAACCCACCATTCAGACTCCATGAAGGTAGGGTCCATAGTCTTGAGGGGGGAGGTACGTTAGCACCAAGAGGTCGAGAGAAAGGCAACGGGGATGAGAACTCACCTTGTAGTCATTGTCAAAGTCGATCCAACGGCCGAGTCTTTCAACGGTGTGACGCCACTCCTCGCTGTAGCGCATGACGATGGACCTACATTCGGCATTGTAGTTCTTCAGACCCAGCTTCATGACGGCGGCCTTGCCAGAGATGCCCAGCTTCTTGTCAATCTCGTGTTCGATGGGCAGGCCGTGAGTATCCCAACCAAAACGTCGCTCGACGTGGAAGCCCTTCATGGACCAATATCTCGGGATGATGTCTTTGATGGTGGAGGCCAGTAGATGGCCGTAGTGAGGAAGACCGGTAGCGAAGGGAGGGCCGTCGTAAAAGGTGTAGAGGGGTTTGCCCTGGGTCAACTCGAGCTGCGAAGGGGTTGTCAGTATGACAACCAAAACAAAAGAGCCCAAACTGTGGCCCACATGGGACTAGCTCACCTGGCGCTCAAAAGCCTTGATCTCGCGCCATCTCTGGAGTACAGCCTCCTCCTCCTTGGGGAAGTCGATAGACATAGTTTTAAAGCAGGATAATGTTGGTATCGAGGCGATGGGAGTATATGGTGGGATTTGTGACTTGTGGTTCGGGCAAACCAAATATTCACACGCCGAAGACGGCGGCGGGGCGGAATTTGGTTGTCGGTATTTTGTCGAGATGAAGAGGGGGAAGAGGGGTGAAGGACGGTATGTTGCGCCGCTGCCTCCTGCCGATGTACGTGGTCGAGTTCTTGAAGGAAAAAAGAAAGCAAGGAAGCGGATCAGGAGGAGCGAGAAGACTCGGAAAGACAGAGTGACTCGAGACCAAAAGAGTGTTCTCAGGATCTCTCGGTGTGTGACTCTGGATGTAAAGTCTTTGGAGGGGTCGTTGGATCTTTTGGTGGGAGAGGTGAGTCAGTGGGGTAATTTTTCTCAATTGACTTAGGTATGTCGAGCGCGGGGCAATTGGCCGGGCAGTATGAGTAACTTGACCTTGGCTTACTAAGGCAACCAAGGTACTTGGTTGGAGAGTCTGCTGCGGGGTGAGAAGAGGTCCCTCCCAAATCCCCATGTCTGTACCATGCTTGAGTGCCGGCTGCTGCCACTGAGAGCGCGGTCCAGGCACCGGCACAGGCCCTGCAGCCGTGCTACTTTGCGGTGCTCCCCTTCCTGTCACCGCCTGGACCTCGTGGACTTTGTTAGCCCAGCTAAGACTACTAGACCAACCCAAAAATTGCCCAAACAAGCGGAGTACTTCCTGCCTCCAGAAGTTACCTATGCATTAGGAGGTGTCTTAAAGTCTCCAAGCAACCACCGTCATCGCGCGAGCAACGCCGCCAAATCCTCCCCGACCAGAACGTCGTCCACTCACTCCCAGGACAATTATCGTAAACACCACCCGATTCGACTTGGCCCAAACGCCACATCGGTCGTCTTTCCTCTGTCTGACAACCCCTGGGGCCTTTTCTCGACTGTGTACCCTTACTCCATCGTGCTCGAGCTAATACCAACCGAAACCGTACGCACGCTTCATCGACAAAGCCCCTGATACAGTACCCCTCTCTCGAACTGATCGCTGGGGGTTGACCGACTTCATCTCCAGTGTCAGGTATCATCCTCGACAATCCCGATCCGGGAGCTGCCCGTTACCTACTGCGCTCAACCTGCATCTACTCATAGCCCACCCGCTCGACCGATTCAACTCGACCAGTCTTGATCCTACCTTGCAGGACCTGCGAGACGACACCGTCCATACCGTCAAATTAGTAAAACCCAAAACTGCGAGTACTTGCCCATTCCTACCGCCATGTCATTTCTTTTTGGCAGGGCCAGAACGAGACCCGCCGTCGACCTGCCCAAGCAGGCCAGAGATCATGTGACGAAGCTCGAAGGACCAAATGGTACCGCCAAGGTTAGCTCCATACCCTCTGTCTTGTCCGAATCCATTCTCAGACTACTAACGTGCTTCCTGATGAACAGGCCGAAGAGCTCGCCAAAGTCCTAAACCAGATGAAGTTCATTCTGCAAGGCACACAGGGTACCTATGCTCCTCTTATTCTACGCCTTCTCGCCTTCCCAACCCGCGACTAACCTTGGTCCAGAGTCCGACAGCAGCCCCGAACAGATATACCAGCTCGTCACTGGCCTCATTGAAGAAGACCTCCTCTACCTGCTTGCTGTAAACCTCTGGCGCCTACCTTTCGAGTCTCGCAAAGATACACAAGTCATCTTCTCCTACGTTTTCCGCTTCCGCCCACCCACCGCCTCTCCAAAAAGCGATCCTCTGGCCTTGTCCTATGTTGTCAACAATCGCCCTCAAGTACTGCTCGAGCTGTGTCGAGGCTACGAACACAAGGAGAGCGCAACACCTGCCGGCACCGTCCTTCGCGAGGTTCTCAAGTCGGAGGCTGCCGCGGCTATAATTCTGTACGACGACGACGAGGAGTCTGGGTCCAGTAGCAAAGGTATCAACCTCATAGACAGGGACCGCCGGCAGAGCGGCAACGGTGTCTTTTGGAGGTTCTTCGACTGGGTCGACAAGAGCTCCTTCGAGGTGGCGGCAGATGCTTTCACCACATTTAGGGTATGTCTTCGTGCCCAGCCAAGGAGCCGACCGCACAGGCTTCTTTTTGTAATACTGTTTGTCTAACGTAACCTGCTCTATAGGAATTGCTCACGAAACACAAGGAGCTGGTTCCGAGATACCTGTCAGTCAACTTCGACTTATTCTTCGACAAGTATAACAACATCCTCGTACAGTCCAACAGTTATGTTACCAAGCGGCAGTCTATCAAACTCCTTGGTGAGATCCTGCTGGACCGATCGAACTACAGCGTTATGACCGCCTATGTTGATCGCGGGGAGCACCTCAAAATCTGCATGAACCTTCTGAGAGACGATCGCAAGATGGTGCAATACGAGGGCTTTCACGTCTTCAAGGTCTTCGTGGCTAACCCGCACAAGTCTATTGCCGTGCAGAAGATTTTGTTGATGAACCGGGAAAAGCTGCTCACGTTTTTGTCTCATTTTTTGGAGGACAGGACCGACGACGAGCAATTCATTGACGAAAGGGAATTCTTGATCAAGCAGATCAGAAACATGCCGCCAAATCCAGTGGCGCCTCAGAGGCACGGCATGCCGGGTGGTGGCTAGATATAAAGTAGAGCGGGCAGGAAGTGTGATTGTCGTCTCAATGGTGGGATGCGTAATGGGGCAGATGAGACTTGAGCTTTCTAACTCTGTGACACAGCTACAGAGCCGATCTGTGTGGCTGGATCGAGACTGAGGATGAGGTTGTGCGGCGATAGGACATGCATTGGCATCCGGCGTTTGGGGTGACGGGGAACCCACACGGCAAGGCATCAAACATAAGGTTCATCATGACTGTATTCATCTTCATCATTCGGCAAATGACAGCGAAGGCAGCAACGTGTTTCTTTTGCTAACACGTTTCGGAACACTCGTTCCTACTCAATGCTGTTTGGCAATCCATGCTTGTGCTGCCTCTTTGTAATCCTCACGCCACCTGCTCAGGGGCGGCCGTCCCTCGACGGCATCTCCTACACTCCAGAGCATTCTCTTGCGATCCAGTTCCTCCGTTACCTCGTTGTCCGGGCAGAGGATATAGAACAACCCTACGGCCATCTTTTGCTCCAGATACTCGGCGACCTGCTCGGCGGTCCACGCGCCCGCCGGCTTCTCTGCGCCAGACCTTGAACCGGAGAGTCCGGTGAATGTCCAACCAGGGACCAGGAGGTGCACCGAGGTGGCCGTGTTTCTCAGATCGAAGGACAAATGCTCAGCGAGACTCTTGACAGCCGCCTTGCTAGCGTTGTATGCTGGATTGCCCGGCGGATTTGTGATGCCCTGCTTGGAGCCGGTGATGACGATGGCCGACTTGGTCGACTGCCCGTTGCCTACGAGAGGTAGCAGGCTGCCGATGCCGTTGATGACGCCGTACAAATTGGTGTCAAGAATTCGGCGGAAGCTGTCCAGGTCTTGCCAGTTGGACTTACCTCCTACGCCAGCATTGAGAACAAAGAGATCGATACACCCTTTTCAGTCAATAGCAGTTAGCTTTTGTGAAGTGCGTACGTCAGTTGTCATGCTTGAGGGGCTGACAAACCTCCAAACAAACGTGTGGTCTCTGCCTTGAGCTTCTCCCAGCCGTCGGTTTGGCCCACGTCGAGCTCAAAGGTGGTTGCGGCCTCGCCCAGGTTAACCTTGGCGGCTTCCAGAAGCTCTGTGTCGCGATCGATGACTAGGACTTGCATGCCGTGGCCGACACAATTCTGGGCGATGGCTAGACCGACGCCCCCACCGCCACCTGTGATGACGGCCGTGTTGCCCGGAGCGAAGATGGAAGTCATGTTACTTATACGAAAGAGAAGAGAGAGAAAATTAAGAACAATTGCAATGTGGAAACAAACGGTTACAGCCTCTGAGATCAGGTTCACTCCATGAAATCAAGTCGTGATCCCCAATCTCAGGCTCTTATGTACTACTCCACGGGATGCCGTCACTGAGCCGGCCAGATTTGCGGGGAAAGGGCCGCAACGGACTTTAGCTTTATCACCGGATATCCCGCCCAAATGAAGACTTCGACAGCAACACCTTGACGGATCGGTACCATTGCCTTCGCGGAGAAAGGCATTTGTCGATTGCCGTCTCATGGACAATCCATTGCATCAAGAGGAAACAAGGTAATATTGCACATCGTCCAATGCCAGCCTCACCATTGACGCCCCTCATTCCTAGCCACAGTCTCCTTATCAAGGGACGTCCCTTTTAACCAAATCAGAATAATACAATAACGCGTGCTGAAGCTTGCCTTAACGACCTCGGCACTATTACCTCGAAGCCTGCGTCGGCTGCTTGGCCAGCATGACGCTAATGCTCTCGCGCGCATTTGAAGATGTCCACACGCTATCCTTACCGCCCCGTCTCCAGTCGTCTCCGGTGGCATCTTCACCGCCTCCTCTTGTGGCCTCGCCCATAATCACCTCAAGATCCCGCTTCTGCGAACTCATCCAGTTCCTCACAAAGTTGGTGGGATCTTGGCTCATTGACGTGAAGAACGAGTGCTTTGCTTTGGAGTTAGCGACTGCCGAAATTAACGTCGCTAGCTGCTCGTCCATGGCGACAACCTCCTTAAGGGCGCTCGCATACGCAGGGTTCGTTACAAAGGGCACCAGTCTGGCCCTCAGAGGGTCATCGACCGCTACCCGCACATCATAAATTGTAGGCTGGGGGTCTTTGTGGAATTCCTCGTCAACCCGAACGGTATACGGCAAACTGACGGGAGGCAGCGGTGAGAGGTGAGGCTGGATGTAGTCGTTCAGGTTGGGGATGATTCCAACATCACTACCGTTGACGATCTGCGATAGAGGTCAGGTTCAGTGAACGGTGGAATTCCAGTTTGGACAACCACTTACCTTTTTCAGGAGCTCATCGCAGCGGAAGTTGCGCTTCTCCTCGTCCTCCTGCAGACCCATCATCTTGATGTACTCCCAGACAGCCAGAACGGCCTCTTGGCGAGAAGCCTCCGTCATGTCTACAATGTCAGCCAGCTCGGGGCTGAGCAGGTATCGCTCGGGGTCTTCCTGGCGATGCAGGTTGATGGTGATATTCATGTTTTCGTCCCCGCTGCGTTTGAAGGTGAACTCGTCGAATTCTGCGCCGGCTGCAGCGTTCGGTGCAGCTGGCTTCTTCCATTCAACGGTTTGATCCGACGCAGCCCTCGAGCGAGTACGATCAAAATCGACATTCAGCGCTTTGAAGAAATGAGAGAAACGCTGTTTCTGGGCCGTAGGCGCGAAGCTTTGTCGCCTCGAGCTGGCGGGGCCGTCTTCTTCCATGCGATCCGCGTTCTGCGTAGATTCCTCGGGAGCATCTTCCTGTCCATCCTCGAGCAGACGGCCTTCAATTTTAACTCTATAGGAAGGCTCGGCGCTCGGCGTGAAGTCGAAACTATCGACACTTAGACCGCTTCCCTGCCATACCTGGTCCTCGACTGTGTTGCTGATCCAAACGCGAAGAGTCTTGTAGCGCTGAAATAAACATCAGTCGCAGTGTCGCGTGCAACAGACAAAGACGCCCAGTGAACTTATGCTTACCTTTGCATTGCGACCAACGGTTTCAACAATGTCCAGTCGCTTGCGCGTCATGGTTGCGTCCAGCCGGCGTTCAAAGTCGCGTAACTCCTTGTATCGCTGGGCGACCTCGGCATCCGTGATGCAGTCCTCGACACCATCGGGTAACGTCTTGTCGGTGGGCTTTCGGCTTCGGCGCTTGGCCAATTCGCTCGTAAGGGCCTGACCAGGAGGGTGATGCTGCGCCATGGCGGCCTGGTTCATGGCTGCTTGGGGATGGTGGCCTGGAGGCATAATGGGTCCTTTGGGCGGCATGGTCAGCTCAGGTTGCCGTCGCATTTGCTTCGTCTTCGCCTTGTCGTATTTGAACTTGCCAGGGAGTAACGCGCAGCAATCTGGGCAAGGGCAAAGGCAAAGGCTACAGTGAGGGAAAGGAAGTTCAAGCCTCTCAAGACTAAGGAAGGTAAAGAAGGAACGGGCATACCGATGCCGCCTCTCCGTTGATTTGGGGCATGTGGAGCCCGCTGGGGAACTTGCGGCGCGCCAGCATGGCCAGCATATTGGCGGTATTGGGGCTGCATTTCTGGCGGTTGCTGCCGATCGAGAAGTGTGCAGAGCAGAATTCACTGGATAACTTGTCACTGAAAAAGTTTGATTGAAGTCGTTATCGACTGTCAGAAGTCGCGTTGTTTCCCCAAACGCGCATATGCTAAAAAGTGAATGGCCAGGCGGCACAGGCGGCAAGCGCAGGGTGCAGACGCAAGGCAGCGTCTCAGCCAGGCGCAATTGGCCAACAGGGGCAGTCACTGTGACCCGTCTCGCGTTGGATCCACTCTTTTTGCCTGGGGTCCAGTCCCAGAGGCCTTAGCCACTGGCTTACTGCACGCTGTAGTGGCTTTGGTCATCAAGCCACACTTCCTACTTGAGAGATGTGATATGGCCTCACGTTTTTGGGGCCTGCTCACAATCTCAGCGCAATCATCTTCGTACGGCAAGGACCCTTCCGTAGGGCCATGTCAATTTCCCCGCCCAATTCGAGACCATCTTGTGCTAGAACTAAGCATACACATCATGATGGCTCGCAAGCCGCGAGGGCGGGTCCTTCTTAACGATCATGTTGACCTCTCAAACTCCCAATAATGAGACCCCTCCGCTGGTTCATGAATGCTTCCACCGAGCGGTGCAAACCACAGAAATCCTCTGCCAAAGATGTAAAGTCGTTGGAGAGTGCATACCCGACGATACGCCACGCTCCTGAATGCTTACTGTCAAACCGAATTCCGTCGCATTACAAACTTGTTGCATGTCTCGCAAGTCTCCTGTCTGCTTCCTGCTCGAAAGCTCCGAGGCCCTCTCCTTTTGGAGGACCGCGGTCTCGATAAGCATCTTACAGAATGAAGCAGTACGTTTCAAGATCAAAATTGTTGGCCGAGCCCGTTTTTAGACTGCCGCTTGCTGAAACGATTGCGCTTGGTGTTGGAGGTCGGATCCTCCAGGCTGGCCTGGCTTTTGCTGAGGTGGTTTCTACCGGACCGGTCACTGACGCTGAAGCCGTCGGGGTATGCCCCTCGTCCGCCAAGGGTGCTCGACGGGCTCGAGACTGCGGATGACATGTCGAAGCCGTTGTCGCCAGCGTAGGAGCCAGTAAGGTTTTGGGACAGGGCCAGCTCCTTGGCCCTTTCCAGAGACTCTATCCAGTCGTTGGCCGTTGAGCCGTTTTCTGAAGAGTTGGAACTGCCCTTGGGTTCCTCAAATGTGTAGTGGACGCCACCCTGTCGGATTTTAGATGAGCGGCGAGATTTTTTGTCCAGGATACTTACCGCATCGACACACCAAACCGTCTGCCCCTTCACGTCAAGCTGAGTTCTCCACGAGCAGTCGGGTGCAAGTAGTGATATTTCCTGCTTGGCACGTTTTTCCTCTCCGCCGGCGGGCGCCATTAGGATGCGACCGCTCGACGTCACCATGACTAGCCTCTGTCTCTTCTTCGTTGTGCTGCCACCAAAGAATCTCGACAGCTTTTTGTGCCCCTCGCCATGCTCGCCGCCCTTGCCGTGGCCACCGTTGGGCAGCGGACTCGAAACGACCATCAGGTCGCCGAGTTTGAGAATCCTCTCATTGTTCTTTGTCAAAACTGGCGACCATTCAATATCCAATTGAGTCGGAGGCGGTAGCTCCGTAATGATCCTAGCCGGTCGAGCGCTGCCATTCATAGCCGAGCTCTGTGGCTGAGGATTTCTAGGCGCAACGACAGGATTGGGGCTGTTGGCCACGCCGTTAAGTTGGATTACAGTCGGTTCCTGAGGAATTGGGTTGTAGGGCCGCAGCCGCGGTGCTTTGGTCCTCCACAGGCCTTTGCCAAATTGCTGCCCGTCGAAGAACTCATGGTTCTTAATGTGTTCAACCGTGAGACGACGCGCCGGATCCAAAACCAGGCATCGCTCAACCAGGTCCCGGGCCGCTGGCGGAAAGCCGGCGGGAAAGTCGTACTCCAGATTGACAATCTTTTGAAACGTGAGATATTCCGTAGCGGCCTTGAAGGGCGGGCGACCAGCTAGCAGCTGGTATACTATGCAGCCGAATGCCCAAAGGTCGCTCGCCTTGCAGGCGTTTTTGCTAGTCAAAAGCTCGGGGCTGACATACTCGGCAGTACCCACGAACGAAGCAGCTCGGCTGTCGTCTTCCGCATCGCCACGGCTACTTTCCGGCAGTCCCTTCGCGCCGTCGCCCGTGTTTTGTACCTCTCTCGGATCTCTGAGCAGCTTGGCCGTGCCAAAGTCGGTAATCTTGACATGCATGTGGTCATCCAAGAGGACGTTCTCTGGCTTGAGATCGCGATGAATTACCCCCCTGGAATGCATGTAGTCGATGGCGTCAAGAATCTGGGCGCCGTAGAACCGTGTGCACTCCAAATCGAAGGACCCTGTTTTCTTGAGCACCCCCAAAAGTTCGCCACCGTTGCAAAGATCGAGGACGTAATACAACGAGGCCTCGTCCTGGAACGTGTAGTACAGGCGTACGATGCCCGGGTGTTCAGTCAGACGGTTGAGGGTGTTCTTCTCAATATTGACGTACTTAATTTTCTTCTCCTTGATTATGTGCTTCTTCTCGAGGACTTTGATGGCGTACTCCTTGAGAGTCTGTCGGTCAGTGGCTAAATAGACCGTACTGTACGAGCCTTCCCCAAGCACGCGGCCGAAGCTGAAGTCTCTAACTCCCTTCTTGACGTGCCGAATGACCGTCTTGCCGTTCGCATCTGTTTCTCTCCGCACGCCGACAGCGGCACCACGATCCTTCCACTCTTCACTGCTGCTCGGCAGCGGCATCTCAGGGCCATATGGATCTCGCGGACCTGGGGGTGCTGCGGATGCTGAGACATAGCCACCACCCATGCCTTTGGAACTCCTCCGTGGGGGTAGGGGACCGGAGGCAGATGGCAGCTGGGACTGGCGAGCAGGATTGGCAGAGCGTCCCCTGTGGCTGGGCTCCCTCGTTGGTGTTGAGCCGTCCGGGTAACCTGGAGCATTGTTCGAATCTTGCCTCGCGAGCATCCCATAGACCGAATTCCGTGACCGGTCGGCCTGAGGGTGCGCTTGGTGGGGTGCCCGGCCATCATCAAGGACCACGGGGGGCTGGTTGTAGAGTCCAGAGATGGGTCGTGGCGTCGGGGACACTGAGGAGCGACTACCAGCGGCTTTGTCAAGGTCCGAATATGGTGATACGGGCTGGCGATAGACGTCGGCTCGCATCGCGGCGCTGGGACTCGTTCGGTGGGATTCGATGTGGCTGGACGAGCCATCGTAGGCGGAAGATGGCCCCTCGGGCGATTGGGTGTGGGATACGGGTGACAGGAGAGTGTCTGACGTCGGAGTTGATCCGTAAGGCGTCGTAGCCCGTTGTGTGGTCGGGTCTTCGAGGGGTGCTAAACGGGCGTCGGATTGATGATCGGTCTGGCGGTCGGTCGGCGGCGAGAGGATGTCGGCATTTTGGGCATTGCTTGGAGAAGCATCGGCGTCATCTGGATTGGCTATTCGTAATCCTCCGAGGGCCCTCGACAGACTGAGGTCCCCATTCATGATTCGTGTTCCAGAGCGGACAGTGGGAAGGGAGGAGGGTAGGCGGGACAGCAGCGACAAAATGAAGATGGGCGAGGATGATTGATATATGAATAGTAGTGAAAGGGCAAAGAAGAATAACGAGTGTGGCCCGGGATGCCTCGTGGGATGAGCAGAGTGAGGTGAGGGACAACGCGGCGCAGCACAATAAAAAACGGATAGGAGAGAAGTGAGGTCGTCAACCGGACCAGTAGGTCAGGCAAGGTCAGGTAAAGTTAGGTTAGGATTGGAGTAGTCAACCACCACCGAACGTCTGATTCGGTCTCATTTGGGTCTGGTTCTGCAGTGCAGTGCTGCTGCTGTGGTACGTGTGCAGTAAGAGTGGTGCACAATCCACCAAAGTGCAATTGGTTGATAGCTGTGGCCAGGTACCCAGTGCAGACCACAATGAAGGGTATTGGAGGTAGCAGTCGCGGTGGCAGCGGTGCGGTCGGTAAAGCAGGCTCCGTCAATGGCAACAGCGATGGCCGCAGGTAGTGGTAGCGGTTTGGCAGTGGTTCAGCGGCAAGGTGGTAGTGGCCGCAGAGTATGAGTGTGATTGGACGATGGAGCTGGGGTCAAGGAGAGTTCATTGTACCCAGTTGCTGTCCCACTTCTCCTCTCACCAGAATCACAATTCAGTGCACCATTTGAATTACCCCAAGAACCAAGCGGTGGGATGAGTGTTCTGAAAGAGGCGTACTGGAAGCAACCAGGTCCTTTGGGGGTTTGTATTCTTCGAGTTGGGCAATTACAATTTGACGCCTTGGCTGGTGAGCCCTGTGTACATGCTGCTTGTTGGATCAATGTCAAAGAACAGGAACTGCTGCACCTTGAATATGGACCGGAAGGAAGGGGCCTGGCTTGAGTCTTCGTTTTTGGACGCCCGGCTCCTGGAGTGGCACCATAAGTGGATAGTGGAGATTGGGACCTTACCTATTTGGGAAAAGGGCACTGCATGTTGAGAAGTTGAGAACTCGAGGCTGGCCTAGGACAGACTCATCAGCAACATCTTCCCTCTTTCTTCCTTGCTCCTTGGTCCAAAAACACCATGTGTCAAGCTGTGGATAGGCGTCTTAGCAAGCACTTATTGTATAACGATGTACCACCAGTCACTCTCTCAACCCCCAAATCAGGTAGCGGATGACCCAATATAGCAACTCAAGTGCCGACACATCGCCCCAGTCTCTGAGATACGTTACAGCCAGTAAAATGTCTTCTCAAGAGAGCCACCCAAACAGCGGAGATGTACTTTGAATGGATAGACGTTCATTTTACGAAGGGTTGGATGGATGGAAGGCTTTGAGTTGGTGGCCAGAATCAGATATGCATGGCATCCAGGAGAAACGCGCTGTTCGGTGATTTCCTGATCCGTAGGCTTGCGTTTCTCGTTTCCAAGGTCCGAACATCCACTTTACTTGCCGTATCTATTTATATTCGGTCATTACGAGCCTGCTCAATTCTAACTGCAACTGAACGTTGCTTTCCTGATTCTCTGCCCACCATGTAAAGACATGGAGAGTTCTTGCTGCCTCCGATCATACTCACAGACCGCGCATTCACCCCGAGGTACTCTTAAACGCCTCGGAGATATGCTACATACATATCACACAAGGTACGGTCCACTGTTGTCAACGATAGAGCCCACGAAGTACCTAAACCCCGAATCCCTGGCCTTCGGTTGAACAATAAAGGTCGACATGCTACGACTGGACGCAACATTTATCCGCCTGACCCTCTCGGAAGTCAAAGCATACGGGCGACAATATGTATCCCAAGACCATCGTAGACAAGCTAACAGCGATCCATTGAGTATGACAGCATCGTCCAGAACGCGACGGCAGCCGCTATCCGAAGCGAGAGACTCCCAATTTACGCATCCTTCTAAACAACTACTCGCTCTGCGGCACAATCCCTCATCTACTGCAGAAGGATTCGGGATATATACCGGCAACAACGATAACGAGGACGAAGAGACCGAAACAATAACCAGCATCAACGCCAATGAGACAACGACACTGGCCATCGAGCAAGACACCAACATTGCAGGGAGTACAGCCACCCCAAGGCTGCCGCTCCCTCCTCCATTCGCCGCAACACCAAGAGTGTCTTCACCATTCGGCCAGCCTGGCACTGTATGTTGGGGCCTCAATATGTGGTTGACTGTGCAGTCGGCTAATCGGCGTCGCCTAGCGCTCGACCCGATCATCAAGAGCCGTTGCACCGAGCGAGGCGAGCCGCGTCGCTCATCCACTGCTTCAAACTCCATCGAGACGATCGCTAGCCGCCACTTCGCCAAATGACCATGGCGCGTACCACACAGTGGCAGTGAGAGCATCGCCACGACGACTGATCATCTACGACGACGCGGTCACGGCGACAACCCAACCTCAGACGCCGAGGAATGTCCCCGAAGCCCGACACCAAAGCCGGCTGCATGGGTCCTACACGGCACCAAGCACCAGGCCGCTTGCCTCGGAGACGTCGACTCCCAGTTCAAGGTCGCAGCGTCGACGAGCGGGGGTGACGAGCCCTGCCGGAATGGACACCCCGGGATTTGTTGGGCTCTATGGCGGCATGGAGAACTCGGACGAAGTGGTTCTATACGATGAGGAAATGCGGCGTTGGTTTGCAACTCGCAGGGACACGCGAGGCAGACAAGATAGATACACATGACTCGGGATGATGACAAAATGCGAAAAGCTGGCAGTAGGAGTTTGGCGAATGGTTGATCAAGAGCGGCATCGGTTGACAAATTTGCATGAGTCCACCCATTTGGGAGACTGGTTAATGGCTCGATACCAAGCCAATGTATTAATAGACAAATGCTGAAGCCGAGTTTATGGCGGTGATATACTACCGTTATGCTGCTCCGAAGGACAAAGTAATAGAGCGCCTTTGCACCACCGCCCACCAGCTTCACCCGAGCGACGACACAAGGCTATAGGGAGATGAATCTGTTTTATTTCCGGAAATCCAGCTTCGCCGTGATCCGACCATTATTTTGCTTCCTAGCATGGGTATTGGCTACGTAGGCAAGCAGCCACCATTTCGAGTCAGTCTGTAGGATGCGTCAAAAGTTTGCGAAACTGGCGGGACCGGCGACTATTGCTGAGAACCTGCATAGTTGATGGGGAACCTTGCGTGTTCTTGCCGCTAACGATTCACGTCTTCCAGGTATAGACGGATGGGGAATAGACTCGCTCTGGACAGACGGCATTTCGATTTATCCGGGCGCGGCCTGGAAAAGCCATGAGGATAGATATTCCAGTGGCTTGAGGTACGTATCTCCATGTCCGTTGCCCAGTCGAGCACAAAGATGCCTCACGCTGGTGGGCCTTCAAGCCTCGATATCCAGGTGCCGAAACAGAAGAGCATTATACCTCAGCCATGAGGGGCCTTCTAGGTTAGCTCGGATGATGGCCTTGCAAGTTCCGCCCGCCTTACGTACCTCCCGAGTCGATCACCTGCAGCACGTAGATGGGTCGTTGATGTCGTGTGTATGTATGGACTAGTAGATGGGCCAGTGATGTGATGTGGTCAGCAAGCCCGTTTGCCCAATCTGGGTTGATGGGCAGTTGAAAGACGGGGGTGAGGTGGAAGAGGGTCCCTATGAGGTGTGTGATGGTATCCGTCACACAGAAGCACATTGGGCAAGAGAGTAGCTTTGCTGCCACGGCAGGGCGGAGGGCTTCGTCTTCTCCGACAGAAATGCTCAAGGTGCTTGTGAAAGCTGAAAATGCAGGATTGTTGGACAGGATACAGCGCAGAAGCTGCTCCCGCTTGATTTCATTCCCCAATCGCCAGGCCTCCAGGCCACCAACCAGCGAATGAGTATTCGGAACCTCCAAGACTGCACCCATGGGTCTAAGGCGCGACACCGACGGGCTGCAGCTGTAGCAACTGCGGCGACCAGCTTGCCCAGCACCCCAGCCCAGCCCCGATTTGGCAAGGACGAGAAATGACATGGAAGGGTCCTGGACCCGAGCGCGCGAAAGAGGGATACAGAGATGCGCGGGTGTGGTTTCGCGCTGACGATACATGCGACGCTGACAGACGCTAACTTTGCATCCAGGACTGTACTCATGAACGGATCCTACAGTACCATGAGCTGTCCCACACTTCCGCCCTAAATTACAAGTCTCTCCTCCAATGGCCCCTTGTACCTTCTGATAGGTAGGGATATTCCCGATCACCCTGGCGCCCGTTCGCGACGGACACGCAGTGAGGTACGTACCTCTTCGCCTTGGACTGGCTAACGCTCACACTTTGCTTCCCACAAGAGGCTCTCTCTCCGCAGCGACACACTCGCGCAACTAGCAAACTTGGGGGTGGGAAGGCTCGAAAGGCGGCGTTCCCTTGTCTTCCGCTCCACGTCCAACCTTTTTCGTCGACCCTGTCCCGTCCCGTACCTTCTCTTCGCATGTACTGTCCTCGCGTTTTCCTTCCGTCTGCCAATTGGTCTGTAGAAATACAAAAGGATAGCTCCTTCTGCTCCCGCCCACACCCCAACGACCTTGCCTCTTCTCCTCCTTCCTTCCTAACCAGTTAACCCTCCTGCTTCAACCTCCACCTCTGCCTCGTCTCTTCTCTTGACGATCTCCTCCCTTCTACTCAAGATCCTTTCCTCAACTTCAGTTGATGAACTCGATACCAGCTCAGCCACCCGTTTATTGAGCTGTGCTTCAACGTCCATCGACCACCCCCATACATTGCCTCCTACGTACCACTCTAGGTCTGCCACTACCTTATTGCCGTCCAGTCCATTGTTCATCGTTTATCTACTCTCCATCTGGATTTCCAACACGTCCTTAGATACCAGGACACCAACCACATATTCTGCTCGGCGACAATTCGACAATCCAACCTACACCTTGCCGCCTGTCACCAGTCCTTGGACGGCCAGCATACCACTAACACATCTTAACTTGTAGAGGAGCTATCTGAAGCTGTAATTTGAACTTACCTTACACAGGTCTAACACTGCAGCCATGTCATCCTTCGGCCGATCCTTCACTTCTGCCTCACCCGTGATGGCTCTCCCACCTCAGCCCGCCCACCAAGCGAGCTTTGGCATGGAGTCGTACGCACCCCAAGCCGCGCCTTTTGGTCAATCCCAATCCTTCCAACGCTGCGCCGTGCCGTCCGCCATGCATGCTGGAAGCCCCCGAGTTGCCGGTCGCAAACGTTCGCGCGACGAGGCCGCTCCCAACCTTACAACCGACGAGCCTGAGCCACACTCCAGCCCCAAAGAACCCGAGGAAGAGTGGGAGTACGGCCCCGGCATGGTTCTCATCAAGAAAGGTGGCTATGTTGCGGATGCTAGCAGCCAGTCGGGCACCTGGGTTGAGGAAAAAGCCGCCCAGGACAACGCCCGCAAAGTCAAGGAAGCAATCACTCGTCTCCATGAGCAGCAACAACGCCCATCCCTCCGCAGTAACAAGTCTCAACGCTTGACCCAAAACGACCTCCACAGTCTTCAAGCCGTCACACAGCCGGCAATTATTTCCGCCTCCGAGACCCTCCCTCTCGAGAACTTGGCGCAACCCGTCGTCGACCAATTCACACTACACCTTGGCATTGGCTGGAGACGCATCAGCGAAGACCAACATATTCAAGCTGCGGCACGTGGCTGGGCCCGGTACATTGAGAATCACTATCCAGTGTGTTCGGTCGTCATTCGACTCGAAAGCAAGGGCCTTCAATCATATCTCGTTGAGGCCGCGGAGGGCTTCTTCCTCTTTGCCGAAGATCTTCGTCAAGGCCGGTTCGTCAGCAAGGATGTGGAAGGCGCCTTGAGGAATCTTAAGTGTTCGCCTCCCGTTTTTGACGGCCAGGAGACTCTATTCGCAACGGAGTCGCCAGCAGCAACCGAGTTGAGCAATACAGTATTCGCAACGGAGGCCGACAGTCACATGGAGATGTAGAACGCAAAACGCCAGACACAGCGGCGCAATCAGTTTCATTTAACTTTTTCCTTGGGAATTACATTACAAAACGGCAGGGTTTGGGGGGGCGCATCTGTCTTTTTATCGAGGAGCTCGCTTGGTGGGACTGGGTTCGGTAGGATGAGCACGCGCGTGTGCCGTTGTGTGTGCATCAGCACGACAGACACAAGACAATGAAGGTCGGTCGGCGTACAAGAGTTTTTTTATCCTACTTGGGCGCAACATAACAGGAATTGGCCTCTATTGACCAGTTTGGTTTGTTTCGGGTTGTTTGCTGACCTCTACGAATTCGGGGTCCATCTGCGCTGCTCAAAGTAGCACCTACCTGCTTTTCCAACAGTATCAATGCATTCTTCTTATTGAAGTGTCTCTTGACCCGACAACGTGATAACATTGTGTAGAAGTGATGGTTCGTGTGTATATGGCTGGACTAGGGGAGGCTGATGGAGAGGAATGCGATTTGCTACGTCGCCGGGGGAGCCCAAGAGCGTTACAAGACAAAAGCTAGATGGGAACCGACGCAAACTTGAGTCACGACGTGAGGGCACTTGGACACAACGAGACGCGGCGGACAGGCCTGTTTTAGTTGGTCACGGTGATGGGCTGGTGCTGGTGTTAGTGCTGGTGCGGTGTGACACGCAAGACAGGCGAGACAGATGAGACTGACAAGCCAAAGCCAGTGCGGAATGGGCAGCAACTGTGTGAGAGTGGGCGTGAAAGTCGTTGAGCATTGAACATCCACACTATGTTTGAAAGCGAGACCCTGGAGATGGTCACACTCACGCCGGCGGAAGAACGGCAATGTCTAGGTGTGCCAGGCAGGCTTTGCTGGTTGCCTCGGCCACCTTTGGCGAGTGGCTGGGTGGTTGGACGATGCATCTGGCGGCCGTCGCGGCGCCGGCTTGACTCTAGTGGCACACGGAGGTCTGCCAAATGCGGATCGGTCATTGGTTGGGGGGTGAGGGGCCAACACAGTTTGGAGTGTCAGTGTGAGATGCCGGCACTGGGCGAGTGGTGAATACAGCCAATGGGATAGGAGGTTAATGACCCGCTGTGGGTTTCGCACGTCCGGGGTCCGAAGCCTATGGGCTATTGGGAGACACGAGCTGAGGGTAATGGTGCGATACTTCTATCAGCGCGTAAACGGCTCACAATTATAGGTGCATCGATAACAATTTCTGTCCAACCAGTAAACGACGAGAGAGCTACTCGACACCCCGCCACGACCGCAATAGAATCTCTCGCCTGTCCGCAATTCGGATCAAGCGACATTCCGCCGGCCGAAAGGATGTCTAGCTGGACAGGACGCATTCCCTTCCCGCTGATTCCCACGTGATGAGGAAGCGGTAAGCGCCCGTTTGGAGACAAATGCCGTCACCAATACTGGGGTCAATGCCGCCTCGTTGAGGGGCAGAACCACGAGGATTGAGGCATGGAGACTTGGCCGGCTAAACTGAATCGACGTCAGATATCTCTTGTAGTCACTGGCTGGTTGAGGATGGATTACCTCCTACTCGATACATCAGCACGTTGAAGTCGGAGTCCTGAAACTGCAGATGCGTCAACTCAACCCGAAAGTCAACGTCTTCCACAACGACACGCTAATTATTGTCCAACGCAAGATGACATTTGGTTCTCACAAGACCTTGGTCAAGCCTCACAGATGTCAGGTTCAGGCTCATCTACACGTACATACTGGCACATAATCAATCAAAGGCAGCTCTACAGGGTGGTTAACGGGCGCCCGCCCATTGGTCTAACATTTGCACGGCGACCACATTTTTGATGGCAAAAAGTAGCGGTTCATTGGCTCTCGCTATGGCACCGGGGGGTTCAGTTCTCTCGGGCCTCTCCTCCTCGCGTCCAGTCACGTACTGCCTTTCCGCTGGCTTGGCCCGCTGTCCTCGTGGTGCCTTGTTTCTGTCGCAAGCTAGGTGGTGCATGTCAGTCAGTCGCTGATGTACATGGACCCAAAGATGCCAAGATGAGGTGCATGCGTGGGTAGTGCCGAGTCTGCCTTGCCATCATGTACCGATGATTGCCCCCTGCGTCTCTCGCCTTTTTTTTTTTTTTTTGAAGAAATGGTTGGACGGAGATGGAGAGGCGATTGGGCTGCATCAAAACACACAAGTCATTTGTGGTGCTTTTGCTGAGGGGGAAGGCAACATCGCCGCCAATCCCATAGCCTATGGAGTCAAGTGAGGTTGCTGACATGCGACTCATTGAGGGCATTGCGCGGCATTCTGTCCACTGATTCCCCTCCTCCCTACCATTTGCGGTTCACAACTCTACAGCGTTTCTGAAGCACTGGACCAGCCTTCAGTGCTGGTGAGTGAAAGATGCGAATGAGAGTGTACCCCCATGTCCCTGCCCGACCCTCGTCGTATTACCCTGTTGTCGCGTCCACATCTGTCTCTGCAACTGTTGCGCGCTGTATAGTTCTAAGCTAGCTTTTCTTCCTTTTCCAATGTTTGTTTGGGTCCAGCTTGCTGCTGTAGACGTCCAAGCTCCTCCATGGCCTTTCCTTGACCTCCTTTCGTAGCTCGCATCGCGGGGTGCTCGTGACTTGTTCGTCGCGTCTTCGCTTCCTCAACCCTGGCCGCCCAGGTAGGTGCAAGTCGTGCCTGTGTCATGTTCCTGCCTTTGCATCTTAGTCTCGCACACCCTGGGTTCCTCACCTCACCTTGATTACCTCACCTCCAATTTCATTCGATCAACAAATCACTTAACCTTCCTCTCATCTTCTTTTTCCTCTTCTCTGCCTCACTTTCATCCAAATCGCCCTATCCTATCTCAGTCCTCCCACAGCTCGCCCACATCGTCTCACTTTAGCTCCCACATTCGCGTATACTATCTGGGCACTTGCGCACGCACATACTCTCCCCCCGCGCATCGCGACACCATTAAATACTCGGCTGCCTTATCCCTCTATATTCGTCACACTGTCCTAATAACGCCGGTCCTCTACTACCGAGGGACTTATCTCGCTTCCGCTGCCTTGGTTCGGCACCTTCCACCTGGTCGCACGCTTCGTTTTCGTGTCCGCCATCGCAGAGTTCGGTCCTTCGGCGCTCCAAACTAGGCCGGCTGCCCAACGCACAGAGTGACCTTGTTGGTTGATTCGGAGAATTCGATCCCAACGTCTATCTTGACCTCTCTAAACGACTGCGCGCTTTTTGCGCTACATCTTCATCACACAACTATCCGTCTGAAAGGTCTCCTTGCAACGCGGTTCTCCATGTACAAGCCAGCGTAGGCTTCTCGTGCCTTCCCCCGACCACCCGCAGCTTTGGTCTCGAGACGTCTTCTTCATGGTCTCGCAGCCCGATTCCGCGTCCTCTCTTACCCTGCGAGGCCCCTCCTCGGTCGTTTCGCGTCCCTCCCTCTCGCGCACGAAGCGATACAACAGGTCCCACGTCGGCGGTACCACCTATATCCCTCAGAATGAGTTCCCCGTCTTCAGCAACTCGGGCGATGTCGAGATCATAGTCAAGGCGGGGAGCCACCACAACCGCTACCTGCTGCATCGTCACACTCTTACCCGATGTTCGGGTTTCTTTGAGGCCAGCACGAGTCTCGAATGGTCCAAGCCAGTCTCCGATGGCGCCTCGGGTGATCTTGCCCGCATCAGCGACGGCTCCTCTGCCGACTCGTCGTCGATTGCGCCAGCTTCGAGCCGGGCGCTGACCACGTCGTCTAACACACGGAAACGATGGCGGTACGAGTTGGATCCAGGGACGGGGGATGGGGATATTCCTATGCTGGTGCAAAAGGACGAGGACCGCTCCAAGGGCTCCGGTAGCCATTCCGGGTCTTTGTTCGGTCCTGGCGCTGGCAGCGGCAACCAGCCCGTGCCAAATACGCGAAGCAAGACATCGAGCCATGCGCATTCTTCGTCCACCAACTCAAGCCATGGCTTTTTCCGCTCCGTAGCCAACTTGAGCCTCGTGTCGAGCTCGGCGGCGACGACAACGACAACGGCCCAGCCATTCTTGCAGGCCGACCAGGACTTGCTACGGGACTACGACAACCTTTTCCGCATCTTTTACAACTACCCTCCGATCTTGGACGGCGTGAACATTGCCGATGCTTACGTGCAATGCAAGTCACTCATCACCCTGGCGGACCTGTACGATGCACTGGCCGTGGTCGGCCCCAGAGTAGACCATCACTTGCTTCAATTCCAGTCGCGGCTCTGGAAGCAGATTGCCAAGTACCCAATCTCCTACCTTCGCCTTGGCTACCTTGCCCGCAGCAGAGTCATATTTCAAGAAGCACTCATACATGTTGTTGGACAATGGCCGGCGGGGGAGCGCAGCCTGCGTGCTGCTCTTCCGGACGTGGTTCTGGACATTATTGAGGACAAAGCTGACGAGCTCGAGGAGATTGTCAGTCGAGTCGAGGGCCGTCTCTTCAGGCTGAACTTGATGACAGCCAGAGGCGAGCGCGTTACCCCCAGTACATCCTACCTGGACTGGCTCGCAGTCAGTTTGTTTCGCCAGTGGCTGGCAGACAACACCAGCCCTCCGCCTCCCGATAGGCGGATTCAAAATTCACGCGACGGCCGCAATGGCAACCCACAACAAATTGCTCTCCCCGCCGTTGTGTCGCCTTTGGCGACGGTCGGTCGCACCTACCGTACTCTTGGCGCTTCCTCGTCGGCTTACCTTGGCCACGACGAGTGCAAACGGTTCCTGAAGCTGACACCCGAGATGTACAGCCGCGATAATCTGCGTCGCTTTGAGAAACGCATAGATGAGCTAAAGTCGATGGCTCGCGATATTGTACGGCCGCTGATGGGAAGCGGTCTCGAGCTGGACATCAACAGTGGGAGAACGGCCGATGGAATCGGCTACCTCACATGCGTAACAGTGGGGGATCGCGATCTTCCCTGGCATATGGAGCATTAACATGACGGAATGCAAGAAATACGCTGTCAGGACGACAGCGAGATGAGAAGAGAAGCATTCTGGTTCTTCTTCCGGCTGATGATATACGAAACTGCTCATTTGATCTTTTGAATGTGGACGGAAATAGCCTTGGATACCCAATTGATGAACCCGTGTCTCGTGTCGACACTTTAAAGAAGCTTGCGCTCCGTAGTCATAGCACTAAACTTTGGACATAATCTATTGTCGGGGGGTTTTTTTTTGGTTTTTTTTGGCCACAGAACAATGCAGTATTGCTGTAATAGTAGTTTACAACAGGGTATTGCTAATCGTCATCTCCAGTAAGGTCTATGATGGAAACTTCGCTTTGCCTGCGTGCAGACTTCGTCGAACGATTTGGGAACGTTGTCTTTCTTCCGTTGTCTTCTTCCACATTACTTATTTCGACCACTTTGAAAAACCCGCCGACGCTTGTCCGAGGCACCATCATCCTCTTCGGCTGTCCTGAAGCGCTCGGTTTGGGCGCCGGTGGGAAATCATTATCGTAATCTCTCCATGTTGCCGAAGCTTTGGTGATCCGAGATACACTTGAGCTGATTTCTTTATTGTACCCAAAAGGGCTCAACGCATTAGTCTGGCCAGCGCTGATATACATCTGCGATCCATCCCTCTCCAAAGCGCTTGGTTGAGTCTGATTCTCTCCGTTTGATGACTGATTGGGGGAACTTATGATAAAAGAATCCACCCGCGTTTGCTTGATAAAACGTTTGCTCTTGAACGGCGTGCTAGGGAGCGGCGGGGATGATTCTCTCATCGGCCGGGTCTTGATGGGCTGGTGTCTGCGCGAGACTGTCTGTTGGCTGGGAGGTGCGGAGGGTTTGGGAGGCTTAGACGGTTTGAAGAGGTATGCGTCGTCAGGGCCAGATAAGTCTATGATGTGCTGAGGCGGCGGTGGACTCATCGACGAACAAGCAGGCGCAGGCGACGCGCGCATGGGACTAGATGACAGAACAATCGGCTGTGCGGGCTGTTGAGATTTGGTAATCCTAGGCATATGTTGTGAGCCAGCGTATGCCCAGGGGTTTCTGTGCCCGATCGGTTCTGCGGCGGCCGTCGCTTTCCCGTTGGAACTGGATTGCTTACTTCGACTGACTGAACTCTGCAAAGAAGTTGGCAGTTGCGACGAGGCGGGGACCGAAGCAGATGGACGTTTCGATGGACTCCGGCTGCGAAGTGCCGGTCGAGTAAGCGGCGGCAGTTGGGTGTCATTGCCATCAAGGCTCTTATCTTGTGATTTTCCGCTGGACTTCTTCGCTGCGGTCTTGGTAATTTGCACCCATTTGTCAAGAGCGCCCGCTTCGTGTGGTGCAGCCTTGGTGGATGTTTTGTTGTTAACATTTGTGGTATTGGCAGTCTTGGCCGTCTTGCGTGACGCTCGAGGCAAAGATTTGGAGCGCTGCTTTTCTTCCCAATCCTCGACCGTTAGAGGCGCGCTTAACTTCAAGAGCGATTCTGGCAGCCAAATCAACTCAACAACCGTCGGGTCAAAAGTGCTCTTTGCCCTGGTTGTGCCGCTCGCTGTCTCGGCATCACCATTCACACCTGCCTCGAACTCGTCATCACTGTTGAGCGCCAGTCCCTGACGATCAAAGGACACAGCCTCGTCCAGTTCCTGTGACAAGTCCAAGCCGACTATATCGGCTGGGATATGGGCCACACGTAGCTCTGGTATCCCGTCAGTGCTGTGGTGACTCCGCCTTCCAGTAATGCGCTGTATCAAGCTCGACTCTTCCTGCTCCATCTCCTCTGTATTTTGGCTGTTTAGCCTGTTGGAAACATGTCTCTCCAGCAATTTGCTTACCAGCAAGCCGGGGGAGAGAACCCGCGTGAGCTTGACAGCACCAATCTTGTTCACCCAGTCAAACGTCTCTTCGACAAAGTACCGAAGGCCTTGCACGTCCATCTGCTGGCTCCAGCTGACGTCCGTTTTCAGCTTGTTGACTGTAGTTGCATTTGAAACGACCGGATGGGTGTAGTGTCTCAGGACCTGTCGGCTCGGAAATTCGTCCGGGATGGACAGCGCCTTGTGTCGTACTCTGAAGAAGCCACTCTCGTTGGTACGGAGCTCGTGTCGCAGATTAGTCCTCCACTCCTCGAAGTGGACGTCGTCGTCGCTTTTGAGGCGGCATAGTGATTTGCCAAACCCGGCCTTTGCCGCCTCGCAGGCCAGCTTCACTCCGCAGCCGGGTACACCCTCAGGGATGTAGTCGCCTCCACTCATCAGTGCAACCAGAACCATGCCCTCCCGGTCCAAGCCTGTTCCAGCGGACAGCAGTTCATCGACATCATACAAACTGACGTGTGTTGGCGTTTTGGCCCCGCGGGTTCCCTCTGCTGTCCAATTGCGGAGTGTTCGGGTGCAGCCGAACATGATGGTGTCAACATCCTCGCTCAGAACGGCATCGACGATTCCTTGCTGTTGTAAGAGGGCACATTCGGCCTCTGCCTCGCCCGGTGCGTCATGTATGGGGAACCCAAACAAGCGGATGGCTCTCTTTGCCATGGCTGTGGCAACGCCATCTCCTCTGCCAGAGCGTTTGTTACGCTTGAAGGCCGGTTTGTGGGGGCCGTCGAAGACGAAGATGGGTTGTATTCCGAGACCAAGAAGTCGAACCAGACGATAGAATAGAGTCCTGATGGCAGGATTCGTTCCGCCTAAAGACGATGTCAGATCCATGAATGGTATGGGAGTTAATAAGTCTTACCTCGCGCAGCTTGTGTCTGAAACTGCCAGATGGCGATGTCAACAGCAATGCGCAACGGCCTGCCCGAGCTTTCGAGTTTCTCCATGGCCAATCTGGCGAGGGATATTCTTTGGCCCGGGCCAAGTTCACGATAGATCCTACAAATGCGATATGAGCGGGGATTCTTTGCGGGTGTGAAAATCGGACACAGGGGTTCTCAATACCCTTTGATTCCCATCGTAATTCTGTTTAGCTTGAAAAGCCCCTAGCACCAGAAGTCGATCCAGCGAGGACTCGTCCTTTGCGAAGTTGTGGGAAAGTTGAGCGGTAGAAGGGCATGTGGCGGATTGCTTCAACGATTCAGAAGGCGCATTTTGGGGCAAGATGAGACAAACTCCAACGCCAGGTTGATGAGATGTTTCCACTGCCTTGCTATGAGCTATTCATGATATTCAGTACTTTTCGTTTGAGTTCGTCGCCGAAAAGTCTCAATGCTATAGTCGTACACACGTGTCTAGCGGACCGTCGCAGCCAAGCATGCGGATGTCGTTGAGAAAGGGTTCAGAGTGCTGGTTACTCTGGCTACGGCGAAGTGTTGACTTCCAAAGTAGAACGAGACAATAATACATAATACTAAGGTAGTGCCTTAGTGGATTACCCAGAATTATGCAACACTCGGGCGGGCTGCCCCGCAGAGGTGCAGATGCACTGACCTTAACGACTACCTGCATACAGAGCTCCCCAGCGCTATACCTCTTCCAGTCATCGCCCACGCTGGAGCTCCAACGTTTAAGGCACGACTTTCCGCAGTTGTGATTTGGCTGCTATCCCAAATGCTTGGGCGCGTTTTCGACATACGGGCTTACCACCGATGACATAGCAGCAAGCTCGCAAACAACCCGACTTCTTTTGTTCGGCACACCTATAGTCGCCACCCTTGTCTGCGAGCTGTCGAACGAGCTGATACATTCAATTGTATCTTGTCAACCGTGAACTACTGCAGGAACACGCGAAGCATGGTCTGCTAGGCCCCAAGGCTACGCTCCCACATCCACTTCAACTGTCTAAAGCCACTGCAACCTCTAAAATGTCGTCCACCGCGGCGCCGAGCCTCCCCCATCGATCTATCGCAAATATCCGCACCGAGACTGGCCCAAGTACTGGCGGTCCTGCAAATCCACACACGCCTTCGCGCACCGTCTCGTCAACCTTTGGTTCCCCCTCTAGTCTACGCGCCGAAGATGACAATATCGTTATAGAGTTGGGTTCCCGCTTCATTAAGCTTGGATTCGCCGGGGAAGCCGCACCCAAAGCAGTCTTGTCACTTGGACCCGAGCAATTACGCCGTGTCGGCGACTTTCGCAACTGGGATCCTGAACATAAGGATGACTGGAGACGGCGTCCAACCGGCAAGACCTGGGGAGTCGACCACGAGCTCTGGCAGTATGATGTACGGACTGTGGATTTGGGTCTCGTGGAGGACAAGATAGACCGGGCTATTCGAGAGGCATTGAATAAGTATGTGCTCACCTCCCCCTCAACAACCTACCCCTGTGGCACGTTACTGATTGGTGTCATTCAGATTCCTGCTCATCGACTCGCGACCCCGACGAACCTCTCTCGTTCTTTCTTCGTCCACCCCCCTCCCGTTACTATCCGCCACACTTGACGTCCTCTTCTACCGTTTTCAGGCACCGACTGTGTCTCTCATGTCCTCGGCAGTCATGTCTACCGTCGGAGCGGGCACTCGGTCGGCGTTAATCGTGGATCTTGGCTGGGCCGAAACAACTGTGACTAGCGTCTACGAATATCGTGAAGTTCGTACAACAAGAACAGTTCGTGCAGGCAAGATGCTGGTCAACGAAACTCATAACCTCCTGCAAGATGCGCTTTCAACTACACCAGTCCACGCGCAGAGGACACGCTGCGAAAGAGACCAGGGTCAACATTCTCTGAGCTTCGAGGAGTGCGAGGAGCTGGCCTGCCGTCTTGTTTGGTGTCGTCAGCTCGACCGAGGGGATCTTCCTGGTCTCGGAAAGCGGCAGCAACAGACCCAGAGAGATGTCCTACCCACAGTCGAAGAGCAGGATGAGTCCGTCCCACCCTCTCCCGTTTCCCAAGACGAGCCAAAAGGCGATGTCGACATTCTGCTTCAATCTGTAGAACCGCCCGAGAACCTGACTTTGCCGTATCAACAACTGTCTGAGCCATGCGAAAACACGTATTTTGCGCCGCAATACTCGCGTAGTAGCTTCGACGATGACGAGCTTCCCATTCATAACCTCCTCTATCAGCATCTTGTCCAGCTGCCTATTGATGCACGGGCTACATGCATGTCCCGCATCATCTTCATCGGCGGTTGCTCCCGGGTCATTGGTCTGAGGCGGAGGATATTCGATGAGCTCTCAAAATTGGTACACGAACGAGGGTGGGATCCCGTGCAAGGGCGCGCCCCGCAGCGATACTTGTCCAATACGCTGCTTAAGAGGGCTGCCAGCAGACAGGCATCTGAGGGCCCAACAGATGTCGAGCTGCCTGCCAAGGAGGTGGAGGAGCTAAGAGTCGCAGATGAAGACGCCCCTCGGAACGCGGCGGATGTTATTGAAGATTCTCTTAAGAAGCGAGAGAGCCATCACCCAAAGATCCAGGGTGTCTTGCGGCCTTTGGGATCACTTGGGCCTTGGGGAGGGGCCAGTCTGGCCTGTCAGCTGAAGGTTGTAGCCATGGCCAACGTCGACCGTGACATATGGCTTCAACAAGGAGCCAACGGGGCTTCGCGGCCCAACGAAGTCGACGTCAAGACCCAACAGCGTCAGAGCATGGGGCCTGGCGGTCTTATGAGAGGAGCTGCAGGCCAAGCTACTTGGACTTTGGGTGCATGGGGACATATTAATACAGGTGCTGAGAAGATAGTGAGAAGACGCAATGAGTTGAGTTTATAGCATCGTCACGGCAATGATACCCCGAGAGCATAGCAGTTCCGAATACAGAGAAATGAAAACAAAACCAAATCGATTATGACACGTATATCCGCTGTTTGCTTTCCTCTCGTTGCGTGATAACTGAGCAATCGTAGTACAATTAACATCGCCGCCAATAACAATTCGATGCATTAAACGAGTGAGCGGGGCCCTGTACCCCTGCTCATATCCCTGTAAACGATTCAGTCAAACATCACATCACCTTCAACTCAGCTCATCATAGCTCATCCTGCACGGGGACATTCGGATACCCTCACCTATTAACCATTGCTTCTCATTCTCCGACCATCGAGATGGGGAGAGATATAACTTGTCTGCTTCGTCACTCAGTACAGGCGGCGAGGCCCCTGCTGCGCCCTACGCCCTCACCACGCCTCGCCAACCGATTCGCATCTCATCATCGCGCCTTCGCCGACGTCAAGCGGCCGTCGACGGCACCGAAACCAATCATCGATATCCGACACATTAGGGATAACCCAGAGTTGTACGAACAAAATTGCATTGATCGTAATTACGCCGCCCAGAGCAAGAGCCCCGCGCGCATCAACGAAATCTTTGCGCAATGGCAGGCCCTGCAGAAGGACAGCCGCGCCGTCCGTGAGCGGTCCAATCTCTTGCGCCGCCATATCGCCAATCCGGCATCGAGCCGCGACGACGCCGAATTTGCCGGCATGGAAGAGATGTCGCGCGAGGAGCTGCTCGAGGAGGCACGTGTGCTCAAGCAGAAGCTCACGGCTGTAGAGCAGGACGAGGCGCGGCTCGTTGAGGAAATGGAGGCCCTAGCCCTGAGCATCCCCAATCTTACCAGCGAAGTCACGCCCGTCGGCGACGAGCCCCACGTTCTGAGCTACATTAACGAGCACCCGGTTGAGATCCCAAGTGCATCGGACAAGGTGTGGCGGTCCCACGTCCACATTGGCTCGGAGCTGGGCCTACTCGACTTTGCCGCCGCCGGTAACACATCCGGCTGGGGTTGGTACTACCTTCTTGACGAGGCCGCCCAGCTGGAGCAGGCTCTCATTCAGTACGCCCTCGCCGTGGCCACGAGACACGGCTGGCGTCAGGTCGCCCCGCCCAGCGTTGTATACAGCCACATCGCTTCAGCCTGTGGTTTTCAACCACGAGACCAGAACGGCGAGCAGCAGGTTTACAGTCTCGCGCAGTCCCAAGCCGACGCGGGCCGTGGCAAGCCGGAGCTCTCCCTTGCCGGCACCTCGGAGATCCCTCTGGCCGGCATGAAGGCCGAGACGACTCTCGACGCTTCCGAGCTGCCCATGAAGCGCGTCGCCGTCTCGCGCTGCTATCGCGCCGAGGCCGGCGCCCGCGGTGCGAGCACAAAGGGTCTGTATCGTGTACATGAGTTTACCAAGGTTGAGATGTTTGCCTGGACGCCGCCAGACGCCGACGAGACGATCGACGTATTCGAGGAGATGCTGGACATTCAGACCGAGATCCTAGGCTCCCTGGGCCTGCACTGCCGCGTCCTCGAGATGCCTTCTGCCGACCTTGGCGCCTCGGCGGTGCGCAAGTGCGACATCGAGGCCTTCTTCCCCTCCCGTCAACAGCAGAATGACGGCTGGGGCGAGGTCACCTCAGCCAGCATCTGTACCGACTACCAGACGCGGCGGCTCGCCACGCGGGCCAAAATCGACGGCAAGCTTACTTTCCCCTGGACTGTCAACGGCACCGCACTCGCTGTGCCAAGAGTGCTGGCTGCTATTTTGGAAGCTGGATGGAACGAGAAAGAACTGTCCGTTTCGATACCAGCCTGTTTGCAACCGTGGATGGATGGGAAGGAGAAGATTGTCAAGAAGACCACCTCTTAATTGCGGTTCGTGGCTAGTCTAGGCGACTCCCTACGGATCCTGTATATTGTAACAACACCATCATTCACTCTTGGCATTATGCACATCTGGCGTGTCTAAAAAAAAACAGCGACTCAATCACTGGGGCGAACAAAAGCATTCCACTGCGACACAAGTATGATATGGCTTTAACTCCTGTATTTTACTACTAATTTCAACAACACACTATTTACAATCCTATAATGTTGACTGGGTTCATCCTAGCGCTATCGGTTACAGGGACGAAGAAAGGAAACCACTTCGCTCCAACTTTTGATACAATCTGCCATAAACACCAACTGACGCCGGAGCAAGCAAACTCTCACATTATTCGGTACCTGTCAATAATAGCTCATGCCAGAGCCCTTTATGTCGTCATTCTCGCTATTTCAAGCAGTCTCCCCGTATGCCACGACCTCATTGTTGAGAGCCTCCTGGCTGAGGTCCGAGCCAAGATCGGAGCTCATGTTAGAGCTTACGGCGCTATCTGTCCACTCGCTCTGGAGATCGCTCTGCAGGTCGCTCTGGTTGTCATCGTAGTAGTCCGAATAGTCCCCGTCACCAGTATAGTTCTCGGTGCTCTCCGTGACGACCGTCGTGCCATGACTACCACGGCTGATTCGGCTGCCGTGACTGCTACGGCGCAAAGTCTCGGTGTCGCTCGGGTCGTCATCACCCGTCAGAGAATCCGCTACATCTATCGGATCCTCGCGGGGCGCCGGAACGGGACTCGGCATATTCTCCTCCTCGGTCTCCTTCAGCGACATGTTTTCCTTATCGAGATCCCCATAGCCCTTGGAAAAGCCACCCGCCCAGCTGGACTTTCGGTGGCCCTTGGCACCAGCAGTCCTAACGCTTTGGCTGCGCTGTACACCGCCGGTCGGGACATTGTTCGTGATCTGGCTAAGGGACAAGATGCGGCGTGCGGCGCCCGTTTGCGTTGGCGGCTTCAGGTTCCGTTTCGCAGAGAGCGCCAAGTTGACGGCTGGGGGTGCATGCTTCTCAGTCGACCCATTTTCCTGGCCTGGCTTTTGGTCTCGGACTCGTTTCCGGCTCATAGCGTCACGGCCCTTTGTTGCCTTTGACATCAGAAGGACTCGAGAATGATCCATCACACCCTCCAAGATGCGGCGCTCCAAACCTTCAGCACGTGTCTCCATATCATGAAGTTCATCCCTACGGATATGCAGTGCGGTCTCGAGGGACGATACGTCGGCAGTCAGCCTCGTCTTCTGGCGAATTAGACTTTCTTGCTCTGTACGGAGACCGAGCACGGAATCTCTAAGCCTCTCCTCCTCCTGCTTGAGATTCAGCAGATTGGACTCGATCTGCTCCTTGAGAGTCAACTTCCGCTCCAGGTCAAGGGTGACTTCCTGCAGGACCTGCTCTCGGTCGTCCTCCTCTTCCTTGATTTTTTGGGTCTGGTTGGAGAGGAAAAGAGAGATGTCTGCGGCTGTCTGGATAACTTGTTGGTGGACCTTCTCAAGTGTGTTGAGTTGGGAGAATGCCTTCTCAGCAGCATGAGTATGGTCAACAAGCTCGTCCAGCTTGCCGTGTATGGCAGCGTCATTGTACGTTTCGGTGGGAATCAGCGCCTGTTGCTCAGCAAGCTTGTCTAGCTTTTCTTTAAGATCTGTGTCGTCATATTTATCGGTCGGGATCAGAGACTGCTGTTCGGCAAGTTGGTCCAACTTCTCTCGAAGAAGGGCGTCGTCGTACTTCTCGGTTGGGATCAACGATTGCTGTTCGGCAAGCCTGTCCAACTTCTCCTGGACTGCCACGTCGTCGTACTTCTCCGTCGGAATCAACGACTGCTGTTCGGCAATCATGTCGAGCTTCTCCTGGACCATCGCATCGTCATATTTTTCGACAGGGATTAGCGCTTGTTGCTCCGCAAGCTTGTCAAGCTTCTCTTGAACGATAGCATCATCATATTTGTCAACCGGTAGCAGTGCCTGTTGCTCGGCAAGTTTGTCCAGCTTCTCCTGCACCACTGCATCATCGTACTTCTCAATAGGGACCATGACGTGCTCGACCAACTTGTCAAGTTTCTCGTGGACGGGTTTGTCGTCGTATATTTCTACAGGCACCGAGATATGCTCCACAATCTTGTCGAGTTTCTCCTGAACAACCGCGTCATCATACTTTTCGATTGGGGCTGTGGCGTTTTCGACAAGCTTGTCAAGCTTCTCGTGAACACCAGCGTCATCGTACTTTTCGATGGGAATCGAGGCATGCTCGACCAGCTTGTCAAGCTTCTCGAGGACCATTGTGTCGTCGTACTTTTCGGGGATTGGCGGGAGTGCAAGCTCGACTGGTTTCGCGTCTTCAATGGTTTTCTGAATGTCGTTCGTCGAAGTTTTGGCATAGTCGTAGTGCTGACCAACGATCATCAAGATATCCTTGACGGACTCGAGTATCTGAGGCTGAAACTCTCCAACCTGCCCTTGGAGACCTTCGACGGCTTCCTTGAAGTGATCCCGAGTCTGCTGGTGCTCAGACTTGCCGTCCGCATGGTTCTCCTCGGACTTGGTCATGAGGTCCTCGACCTTGGTGAAAACAGTCTTAGACGCCTCCTCCATCTTTTCCATTGAGTCGGTGACTGCAGCGCCAAGCGTATCGACCAGGGACTTAAGTTCTTCGGCCACCGCCTTGGTGCCCAGCACTGCCTCTTCAGTGCTGGCATCCCGGGCCTCTCCTGCCTTGGCACGGTCGTCGAGGGCAACGTGGAACTCGTCGTATTTTGTCATCAGCTCCGCAACCTTCTCGTCGATCTTGGTGGCTAGGGCTTCGGTCGTCTGCTGGAACTTTTCATCCGACTCTAGCTTAGCACCCACCACACCGGCTTTTGACTCCTCGAATTCCACCTTCATTAAGTCGGAGAGATCCTTCAGCTCCTGGCCAACAGTCGCATTGCTCTCCACGGTTGTTGAGACGCCTTCGAAAAGCTTTGAAAGCATTTCGATACCAGTGACACCCTCTTCGAGTTTGTCTTTGACCAGGCCTCGGAACTCTTCGAGGAAGGTCTTGACTTCGGTAACCCGTTCACCGACGCCAACGATCTCAGCCTGACGCTCTTCACCTCCTTGGGCGTGCGACTCGGTCAGGGCGTCGAGACGGGTCTTGAGTTCCTCGAGCGGAGACTTGAGGTCCTCTAGAGAGGTCTTCAACTCAATCTTCAGCTCATCCAACGGAATCTTAAGGCTCTCCTGGAATCCGTCCTGCAATCCCGCCAGAGGGTCTTTGAGTTCCTCTAAGGCTGTCTCTGTCTTCTTTATGTCTTCCTTGCTGGCAAGTGTGGCCAGATCAGTCTTGAGCATTTGGTCGAACACGTTCTTGATGTCGAGACACACGGCTTCGACAGCCTCAACGTCTGTCTTGGTAACACGCTCAGGATCCTCAAGCTGCTTAGCGGCGCTCTCCTTCATCTCTTCGAAGCCTGCAGCGACCTGTGTTACCAGTGCCTCAACAGAAGTCACATCATCCTTCTTCGAGAGGCCGTCCATCTGAGTGGTGATGAGATTAATAGCCTCCCTGGTCTCTAGGATAGTGTTCTCGAGGCTATCCAAGTGCTCTTTGCGCACAGCTTGCTCGTTATCAATAAGGTCATCCAGCCGGCCCTTGGTGTTACGCAGAATGGTCTCGATAGCTTGGACGTCCTCCTTTGTCGCAGCATCGGTGCTGGCGGGGCTCTCCTTGGAATTGACCCACTCTTGGATGTGCAAGACTGCCTCCTCCAGGCGTGCAACGTCCTCCTTGGACACCGAGTCTTGAGCATTGAGCAAGACCTCCTCAATGCGGGAGGTCTCGTCCTTGGAAACCGATTCTTGGACGAGGCGAAGCATGTCCTCGAGGCGAAGGATATCGTCCTTGGATGCAGACTCCTGTAGGGAGCGTAGCATATCCTCCATCCGTGTGAGATCATCCTTAGCGACAGGGTCAACGCTGGCAGGCTCCATGGCCTCAATCTTGATGCGTAATTGAGTGATGAGAACTTCCAGGTTCTTGATGTCGTCTTGTTTGAGGCCATCCATTGGGACAACAGAACCTGCGTGCATTGTTGTCAAGGCCTTGTCGTTCTGCCCTTGTTGCTCCCGGAGGCTGTCGATCTCTGAGCGAACATTATCGAGGCCGGACTTCAGCGCATCCAAAATCTCGTCATTGGCGGTAAGGTCCGCGGGCCGGTTCGCAACCTTATCGATGCTGATGCGCAGGTCTGCCAGGCCGTCGTGAAGAGCATCCAGTATATCAGTGACCCCAGCAAAGGGTCTGCGCAGCTCGGCACGCACGCTGTCGATACCGTCTCGTACAGCCTCGATGATCTCCTTTTGGTTGACTTGTGGAGTAGCTGGCACCATTGAGGAGTTGACAGTGTCTCGAAGTGACTCCATGTGGCTCTCGATTGTCGACCTTGAATCGCTTGAGACGCGATCAACCAGCGAAGCCATCTCGTCCCTGAAGGTGTCGAGAGTGCCGAGTAATGTCTGGGTAACCTCTTCCTGTCCGGCACTGCTACTCAGATGACTGATATACTCCTGCATGTCGGCACGCAGCTTCTCCAAGCCGCCCTTCGTGGCATCGATGATGTGTTCCGTATCGCGGCCGTTGGCTACAGCGTTTTGCTTTGCGTCCTCTGTCACGGCACGGAACTCGCCACGCATATAATCAAGGATGTCTTGCAACCGAGTGACGATCTCTTCGTTGTTGTTCTGGTGAGGGACGAGAGCCCCTGTGGTGGGCAGATCGTATTCGCTCAGGCCCTCCTTGACCGCGTGAATCATGTCTTCCCTGGTAAGCTCCTGGGTGAATGCTGACGGGGCCACAGGGAACTCAAATTCCTCCAAACATTCGCGGACAGCCTCGAGAATCTCATCCCGGGAGAGGCTGGCTGGCGTATCCACGCGCGGTGGGGAGAAGTGCTTGAGACCTTCGACGACTGCCTGGAACACCTCCTCCCGTGAGGCTCCAACAGGCTGTTCGTCCCGGCCAACATAATCTTGCAAGCCCTCTTTGAGGTATTCCAATATTTCCTCCCGACCAAGTCCCGGATCGTGGGTTTCGACTTCCGGCTTGTAGTTCTCCCATGCATCTCTCACAGCTTCAATGACATCTTCTCGACTCAGGTCGGGCTCTTTCTGTTGTGAGGCCTGCGAGTCTCGGAGTGCCGCTCTCATGGCATTGTAAATTTCTTGGTAGTCAACAGCAGTTGCTCTTGACGAAGCGGAGGCAGCAGACTGGCGTCGGTGATCACGAAGAAGCTCGTCCATGTGCTCTCTCATCTGTTCAAGGCCCTCGTGGACGATCCTGGAGATTTCTTCATTGTTGGCTGGTGGCTCGGCGGACATTGACTGCGTGTTGACTTCGTCAAGTCTCCTGCCAATCTCCCGTCCCATGCCCAAGACCTCTCCGCGAAGTTCCCGGACAAGGGCCTTCACCTCTGCAGTGAGGCCACCACCTTGAGCGACACTGTCCTTGACAGCGCGGATGATTTTGAGTACTTCGTCACTGACGAGCTCCGAGGCGTTGGCAGACGGGCCCGCAGATCGTGAGGAAGATTCTTTGTGCAAGGCTCTCTCGGATCGATGTGTCAGCTGACTGGCGTATCCAGGGTCGAAGTCGAAGTCCAAGCTGCCAGAATCGTCGTCGAAGCCGGCTGCACGAGGTCGGTTGTTGTTGCCGCCTCCATTGCCACCGCCTGCTCGAGCTATCATAGCATCCTCTGACTTGGCCTTGACGAGCTGAATCAGCTCGTCCACTTTTGAGGCCGGGGCAACGCCAGCCAGCTTTTCGGCAACGTCTGTCAAACGAGCAAGAAGGAGATCATGTCCCTCCTTGGTGCCCATGTCCCTGATAATCTTGTCGAGTATCGCTATTGTGGCAGGAGATTCTGAGTTGCAGAGCGAGGGCGTGCTCAGGTTGTCTCGGTCGATTGATGCCGCGAAGCTGTTGGGCGAAGGAATTCTAGGCAGAGAAAATGGACGAGCGGCTTTGCTCGGGGGAGGGGATGTGTGGTGAGGCTTGGTGTCGAGGAACAAGCTGTTAGCGAAGGGATCCCGGGAGCTCGGTCTGCTGTTTGTGGCGGCATCCTGAGCGTTATTGATGAGTTCGCGCAGGCTCTTGCGGATATCCTCATCCCGGGCTTTGGTAGCCTCCTTCAGACTGAGCAAGTCAGTTGCATTGTCCCGACTTCGTCGACTCAGTTGGGCCATGTCCTTTTGCAAAGCTGTAGCGATGCTGGTAAGACTCAGGATCTGCCCTGAGAGAGCTTCGACCTGTTGAGGGGCCCTCACGAGGGCGTTATTGGAGGCATTGGTGACGTTAGTAAGGGCGTTCTCCTTTTCCTGCTGACCCTGAAGCGGCATATTCTGTATGGCAAGCATGGTCGCAGATTGTGGAGGCGGGTTCTCGCCCAAGATACTCTGTTGCTGTCTCTTGATGGCAGGGCGCACGACTGGTGTCTGGCTCGTGACTGAAGACGGCGTGGTGGCTTCTCTCTCTGTTGACCTTGAGTCGGCAAAGCTATCCCTCCTGCTGTCTGCGAAACTGTCTCGCCTCGAGTCGGCGAAGCTGTCCCTTCTGTTGGCCCCGGGAGTAGAAGGTCGAGTCGTCCGCTCGGGAGACTTGGACGGCGATGGTGGATTGGATTGCTGGCCACTCTCCAGAAGCAGGCTGAGGTCTCTGACGCTTCCTGGTTGTAGCGACTGCATACGCTTGTGGTGGGATCCTTTGATGAGGGAGCGTTCCGGCGAGATGTCGGTGTTGCGCTTCGTCAACGGGCCGGGGACCATGGCGCTTTCGCGCGCTCTTTCAGTCAAGGCTGCATGAGCAGACTGAATGGCAACAGAGGTCCCTTTTCTAGAGGTTGTAACGGGCGATTGCGGATTCAAAGGCAAAGGCGGCGGTGCCCTGTCGGGATCTGAGCTATCCCACCTGGTCTTCATTAGTCGACGCCAAATAACAGACATGACCAGCGCATCATGGAGAAGGTGTAGGGAATGGTTGATGATGGAAGATATTTTGTATTCCTGGGCACTTACATAGGCACCAAGGCTCTGCCTTGATCAGAGGACATTGAATGTTGATGTCTCAGCGGGCGATCCGCATCTCTCGAAGCTTCGCGCTCCACAGGAGCCATTGTTCTCGAACTGAGTTACTCAGTGACTGGAATGCAGTTTGAGGCCCAGTAGGTGATTGTGAGTTCAGTGTAAGAGGCCACGGAATGCGGGTATCGAGGGGAAGTGTAAGTCAATGCAGTACGGTTCAGTCCAACCGGCGGTCGCCCTGATCTTGACAGGATGAATACAAGCAGTAGACGTGCTGCTGCGCTGCACTGTACTGCCTTGTCCGAGGAAGTATTGGACAGCGAAGAACAGACTATCCGGCGCGAGAGCTCTCTCGAGGGAAGGCAGAAGACTAAAGGTAGCAAAGCAATGACGCAGAGCAAAGCAGTGTCAAGTCAAAGGTCATCCGGGAATGTCTGACCCAGGGTGGAAGTCGGTGACGGTAGTATGGGGGGCAGTCTTAAGGGCCGGGTCTGAATGTTGTTACCCCGGGAGAGGTGAGTGTACATGTGGGTGTCGATGCGGGACGAGGGGCCTGGACGAGGGTATGTCTGTGGTGTGTGGATGTGACGTGGTGCGGTGAGATGTTGTTCGGGGCGGTCACAGTGACGAGCCCCTGCCAATCGACAATGCTAGCCGTTTGTTTTGTTGCTGTTGCGGAGCAACCAGTCGCAGTCGTACTGTTTGGAGGCCTGGCCCTGGCGCACTGTTCCTGTTGTGTTGTCCGATGTTTGGCTGCGTTGATCGGGCACCCACTCGCGGCTGCATCTAAGCGGGGCCCGCTAGTGAGGCGCCTGTACCCAACGAGCCAAATTCGGCAAGACAGTACTTGATGCCGATAAGATAAGGGAGGCTTTCAGTCGGGGGTGTCTGCGAAGAAGCAAGAACAACTCCAGTTGCGCCATGTCCTCTACCGTAACTGGTGTTTGGTATTGGTAACACGGGACTGCTGGCTATGTTGTTGTCAGCAAAAGGATGCGAGTATGATCTGGAGGATGTCTAATCACGTGGAAGATCTTTACCGAGCTACTAAATTGGGGACACAGGGAGATAGTCGGATGTCTACTCACTGATAATGAGCGAAGTTGGTTTGCATATGTACGTGAACTTTTAGACTTTGCCATACCAGCTTGAGATATGGTGTCTGGGCCGTCATAGGAATATTCATTTTTTTTCTTTCAAATTTCGATGAGACGTCATTATCCCAATTGACATTCGTATGGGTCCTGTCGGTCTCGAGCTTGTTTCTCAAAGGCTGACTCAACAACCGTTCAGCGGAGAAGATGAATAAAGAGAAATCATGAAAAAAACATTGTCTAAACCTTTGCAAGGTATATACACTAAGGCTGGGTTGAAAAGTAAAGGGATCCCGGCTGTCCGGAGAGTCTCTGATATTGTAATTTTCTTGAGGTGTCTCCTGCCGGTTGCTTGCCTTTCTGGGAGTTTTGTAGCGTCCTTAGCTACAGGTGTGTTCGTTATCATGGAATTTAGGATATGTCCAACAACCAGTGTCAAAATACTGCTTACTGGTACGGAGGAGGTGCTCTTAGAAAAGAAAGATGGAAAGAGAAAGCAGAGAAAGGGACCGAGTGAGGAGCAGAGTGCAAAGAACAAGATATGGTAGACTTGGGCACGGGATATCTGTCCCAACCAAGTCGACCCAGAGTCTTGAGCTAGAACCATAAGCCCCGGCACACACCAAACCATGACATCGGTGATCTCGTATAAAGCAGCTGTGTCCGTGATCTAGCTGTTCGGTTACAAATTATACGGAGATGTCGCGGAAGAGTCCAGACTGAACAATCTGATTCCTAGCATGGCCTTATGGTCTACCAGTCAGTGGACGTACACCGAAATGTTCCCATACACTTCCTACTGTCGGGTGGCTTAAGGATATATGCAGGCTATTCTCTAGGGGCACACAAAAGTTCATGTTGTATAAATAAACCTTTGATATAACTACTTCTTCGAACAGGTATTATGACAGGCCGGGTTCACATCTTCCCGAAGACTTTCTGTCATCTGCGCCTCAGGTATGACAGCATGAGGGCCGGAACTCACCCTCAGCGCAGTTGTCAACGAATAAATGGTTTCGTCGCCCGTATCAACGACGATGTAGAACTACTGGGATAGGTGGACTCATCCATAAGCTTGGGCTAAGGGCAACAGCAACCCTCCCCAAGCTCGGCGCAGACTGTGGATGGCCTTGAAACTTTGTCAGACAAGCGACAGTTGTCAACGTACAAGTCATCGGGAAATGAGGGAACCAACCCATCTTCAAGCATTGAAAGGCAAAAGATGCCAAAGTTGAATCCAGACGTTTCGCCATCGGGCTGTGGAAATATCCAGTCCACTCAGGATTAGCCTATTTAATGATCGCCGCGGGGGATCCAATGTCTCTATTTTCGGATCCTCGTCTCCACGATTGCGGGGACAAATCTACGGGTGCAGAGGCCGGCGAGGGGAAGGCAGCTTGGACGAGAAATATACCCTACGAGGTGCTGCGCCGTGGCCGACGACATCTGCGATTACTCCTTTGCAGACTGGCTGACGTTTTGGGCTTCACGCATCGACTTGTAAGTCGACACACGGCCTGGAGCCATATTTCGCCATCAACCAAGCTCTGTAGAGATATTTCAACTGTTGATAAAAGCACTTTGTGTGTACCCCTAGAGAAGCAAAAAACTGCAGCTGCCGCAGGCCATAAGATGATTTGCGGGCGTCACATCGCAAATGTGCGCCAGACGGATTGGATGTCGTTGCTCCAACTCCAGACGCACTGCCACACTTGAATACCACGGTTGAAGGGAGTGGCGCAACATGTGTTGTGTCTGTGGGCTGTGGTTGTAACTCTCATTCTCTTCTGCAGCTTGTTGCAAAGTTCTAGAACAGTTCAGAACAGCACGGCCATGGTGTTCAGACGCGCAGGTCACTTGGTTTGCGCTCGGGAAGCGCCCGAGAAGGGGATTGCAAGGCAGCGGGGACGGCAACAAGTCAGCCAGCTTGAGCAACCTCCTCAACTTGGACCACCCAAATTTGGTTGCAAACACGTTCCTTCACTTTATGACTCGGCAAGATCGAGCTGAGGGGATCTGCGTTATGCGGCCATATTCAGCAAAGCATCAGACCTCAATCAACGACAGGGAGACCCCCGCTCTTGAACGGCAGAAGCCAAGCAAGGTGTGATCCTCAGAACGAGCGGGATCAATGCGCCGCCACACCGTCTCATTCGATGCTTCCCTCCGAGACAGAGTTTTTCGATTGACGGAACGGGGCAGGATGGGACCTCGAGTACCCGAAAGGCGGATGCCAGCACACGACGGCTTGATTGGTGGCGAAGAACGGACAGCCACGATGGCAACTGCAGGAAGGGCCCACGGCGAGGTGGCCAGTGGAAGTGACGAGAGCCCCCCAGAACACTGTTGCCGAGACTACGGGGGATTCCTTGCTGGTTGAAGGGTGCTGTTCACCGACGAACCAACCTGAGGCTAAGCCGTAGAGGGCCTTGTCCAGGCGAGTGCGGTCTGAGGAGCGGTGGACAGACGGCAAGTACCAAAGATTTCTCAATTTTCGGAGATGGGCATCTGAAGAGCGAATGGGCGAGGCAAGACACCTTGACGAGCGGAGCCTGGTGCATGGCATGCGATTGCCGATGTCCGCGCAGGAGATACAGATAGGTAAGATGGCCTCATGATGATCCGAATGACAAACCCTCGGAAGGACAAATAGCAGCAGCAGTAGTACAAGAGGACGAAAACGGAGGCCGAGGAGGCCTTCCCGGGAGGTTGGGGCAACGGGCGAGGCTAGCGGCCTTCCTGTCCCGGCTTGGTTCCGTCTGTTCCGGCCTCAGAGTGAGTGCGATAGGAACCTCACCAACGACACGTTGCAATACGATGAAAGGCACCTCGAGGAACCGCACGATAGGTTTTGCTCGCCGTTGACAGATCACCCAAGTTGCGACCGCAACGCTGGTTCAGACTCCCTGCAATCGCGGGGGCAGCCTTGTTACCTGATTCCCGACAAGCGGTAGTCAGCCTGCTGGGCAAATGTGTGTTGGCTGGCGGCTAACAGGCGTTGAAGGCGTTTGGCAGACACGTGTAGGGGCAACATGCGGTCTCTGTCTTGAAAATCAAGGGTGTACAGGGGGCTGCCATGAGGGTAGGATTTGTATTTGGCTGAGACGGACATTTCGTCGCCAGGGGGGATGATCAGCCAGGACGTATGTGAGCTAGACTTTTGCGTGCCATTGTCGGAGGTTGGCGACCGGGCGGCCTGTCCAGCGTTCGGCTCGGGTTTCTCTGTGTGATACACGTTCTTGGTATGTAACCCGGTGCCAAATCGATATGTTCCGGCGCGGGTATTGGATCGGGCCGGTATCATGCGAACATGAGGTCATGAGTAGGTACCCGAGAGGTATTGTAATCTGTTCGAGCGCGTCGGCTCTTCGATAGCAATGAGAGGCGGGCTGTGACAGGCTGTAGAGACTAGACCTCTTGGTTGCGGGTAGCGAGTCTGTGCGACGCGGGTCCTCGGGCATGGCAGAGCAATGATCTACCTAGGCGGTTGTGTGGGTGCATCTTTTGATTGAGAGAGAGCCTACGATAGACGAAGCGTTCCTTGTGGTTTTTATGCCCCAGTCGCTTTTGCGATGCCAGGCGGCTGCCTCGGGGTTGGCTGAGGTGACCATGTTGGGTCTTGCATCTGTGTCAGTTGAGGCCGTGGCCGTGGCCATGTTGCAAAGCAAAGCAATGCAATGCACAGCAAAGCAAAGCACAGGCTCCGGGGTGCCACATGCATGGGACAGACGTGGACGCCAGTACCTACCAATGTCTCTGTGGCTCTCCACCCACTTGCACTTGGAGTAAGGTAAGGTCTGAGTGACGCGGTCTAGTCTGAGATTGGCTTCGGATAGGACATACTGATGTTTCTGTCTCGGCCAAAGAGATGCGTTGGACGCACAGTGAGTCTGCTGATAACAGCGCTGACTCTATACAAGAGCAGAGAAGAGGCGCACTGGCTAGATCTCTTCTAGAATGTCGTGGGAGAGCAAGGCCGAGCTCCGAGTCTGAGATGACGCGCAAGGAACAAGGTGTCAAGCGACGTTCACAGAGCTCGCAAACGGGCATCGAGAAATGGCGAGGGAGCGGCCAAGGGAGCGATAGCAGGGCCCGAGTGAAGAGATTGCCGGCATTAACAGCTGTGGCAGTACCTATGCTGACAGTGATAGTGCGCGGAAGGGAGGTACGAGATCGTAGTGTGCTTGGAGCAGGGCGGGTTTCCCAGCGCATCGTGCATAAAAGTAGCCAAATTACCGACAAATTGCTAAAGCCCGGCTATCCATTACCCCAAGATCGCGTAATGTACTATGGTACGATGGCGCTTGCTTCTTCCAGTTCAGCCATCCCCCTGCTTTCTTTTCACTAGCAGTCTCCTATCCTGATGCTGTCTGTTCGATCGGCTGCGTCCAGCTGCATTGGCATTGGGATTGGCGGACGCCACGACCCCGGGTTTTTGGGAGGCCTTGCGAGCTGTGAATCAAGATTTGAGAACGACCGTGGGAATGATTGAATGATTATGAAGATGAGAAATGTGAACTGCTCGCAGGCGGTATGGCGGCACCGGCAAGAGCCTCTAACTAGATCAGGCCAAGTGCAAAAGAATGGGTAGCTAGCTACGCTGTCATCTACCATGGTGAGAGAGGTAATTCCAACTCGTCACAGCAGACGAGCATCAATCATCCTCTTGGTGCTTTAGATGCCCAAGTGCCCCTTGTCGCGTCTTCAAATGTTTCGGCCACGAGCTCGTCTGTCCTCTACTGTCGCGGATAATCGAGAGGGGAAGCGAAAAACGCAGCCGAATGAGCGCCGTGCGTGCTTATCCCACTATACACTACCTCGCAGAGGGCAAATTGAAAATGAAGGCAGGGAGGACCGGGGTCGCCAAATTACACTTTCAAGGACCCGCCAATTGTTCGCGATGCGCTTGGAAACCTTTCGTCCCAAAAAGATGCTTCGTCCAATCATGACGCCTGCAGACGCACTGCGGGAGCGCCAATTGGTCTAGCGTCATCAGCGGGGGTGATGCGTTTTATTACAACGGTACGTATCTTCCGTCTCTTTTCCTACTCTTGCCAGTTTGATGTGCCCAGCCCTGTCGCCCTGGCGCACTACCTTGGCAATGTACTCCCAGTACGTATCGCTCATCACCTTGACGTGCTTGCCGTCTACGCTGCTCCCCCCCACCGTCTTTTCCTTCCAAGGCAAAGCTGTGAAGCGAGGAGGTGTGGCAGGTGTGGCATGGATGATGGCCCTCGAAAAGTACCTCCAGTACCTTGTTCCTGCCTTAGCATTCTCATCCTGATCCTAATCGTCTCCTCTCGTCTCCTCCCTCCTCCTCGGCGCTATTACTGGAAGAGAACGGCACAAAACCTCTAATGGACTAAAGGCCTCCACTCCCTACCAGCTTGACTTATATTGTCCCACCGCCCACTGCCTCCAGCATCCCTTGCGCCTTTTCCGTCAAATCGCGCCTGCTCAAACAGCTGCTGCACCCGCAACCTGCAACTGCAACTAATCTGCGCCTGCACCTGCTGCCCACTGTCGTCCCCGTCCCCGAGAAGCAGTCACGACCTCGTTTCTTTATCCATCACAAGTCGCAGTCGCACCGTTTTCCAGTTGCGCATTCATCCGCGACGACTGCAGCGACAGCCCAGAACCAGCTAGGACGACACCGAGGGGGAGCGCTTGTTGAAAAAGAAGACGAACAGCTGCCTCATACTTGCCCGAGAGGAAAGTTGCATCGCGACGGGGGGGACAAATCAATACGAGGCTTCGAAACGAGGACCCGCCCGCACCCTTTCGACCAGCCACCCGACAACACCACTGTATTATTACTCCCATCAACATCACCACCTTGCCTTGCAGGCACCTGTCAACCCGCCCGACGAACGAGCGAGGAGGATTTGGATCGTAATCATCGGCCCTCTGCTGCGTCTGTTTTGCAACCTCGCCATTACATGTTCAGATTTACGACTCGGCCCTAATACTAGTTGCGCCCCCTCGAACTCCCCGTCGTTAACGAGACATCCAAGCCATTGCCCTTCGCTGCGACACGGATTGGGTTGACAAAGTTGAGTTGAAAGGAAAAGAAACTCGACAGTTGGCACTTAGCCATTAGTCCCATCGCAAACGTCCGCCACAATGGGGTCAACACAATTCGGCAACTTCTTTGTAAGCCATGCCCACCATATCGATCCACGCGTCCCATCATGCTGATCGCTTCCACAGAACTTCTGCCGAGACTCGACGCTACCGGTCTGCAATGTACGTCCAACCCGTATATCAAGATGCTGAAAGCCTTTCGTAACTGGTACTGACTAGCCTGGTCTCAGGTGCTCTCCGACAGCCACAGTCAATCAGGGCCATGGGGAGGCTGTGAGTTGACGGGAATCTCCCTTAGCGGAGGTCGCAAGCTGGGAAATCTTGGCTCCATCCTCATTGCTGCCTTTGCTATCATCGCATCCATCTACCTCTTGCTGCGGTCAGAGCGCAAGAAGGCTGCAGTAGGTCGAAGGTAAGCGTGTGACGTCGCTCAAGTATTGCGCTCGGGCGACATGCTAAACTGTTACGCAGGGAGATGCAACTGTTCCTTGTCAGCTTCATCATTATCGAAATATGCGAAATCTTTACTGTCGGAGACTTCCCGCTGGCAGAAAACGTTCGCATTGTTAGTCCCCGCCATTACGCGCCTTCGAAAAGGACCAAACTGACCGATGCCTAGGCCTTCACTGGAATCCACATCGGCATGATTATTGCGTCCACATGGATTCTGATGCTCAATGCCATCGTGGGGTACCAGATTGTCGATGACGGAACACCGCTGTCCATGGGCTTGATCATTGCCTCTGCAGCCATTCTCCTAGGTGGCACGCTCTACATTACCCTCGACACCGGTTTCCAATGGACCAACTACTGGAACTCGTCGTACCAGCCGCCAAACCGCCACATCGCTCTTTATGTCTTGTATCAGCTGGCGCCCTTGATCTTCCTCGTCGCCTTCTTCGTCCTCGAGGCCATCCTGGTCATCCGTGTGCTGGGTGAAATGCGACCGATGCTCTATCTCACCGCTGCTCTGCTCCTCTTTGCCATTGGACAAATCTTTAACTACGTTGTGAGCTCTCACATCTGCAACGGAACCAACGGCGCAGTCGACGGCGCCCTCTTCGAGACTTTTTTTACACTACTCGCGGTTGTCGCTGTATGGGTGTTTTGGTCAAGCATCACCGAGGACGATTGGCCCATGCCTGTCGGAAACAACTTCCCCTAGAGCGAAAGTCATCTTTCCGAGAAAAGCAACGGAGGCAAGGGACTCCTCAAGCCGTACAAAACCAGATTCATCGAGCACTTTGATGACGAGGATGAGCCTGAGCCTGCGGTGTGCTGTTGCTGTTGTTAAACTAATGATATCGGAGTGGTTGCAAAGCCATACCCTTGACGCTTCTCGCCACGGGTTAGCTTGCCTGGAGGCCTTGAGGCTCTGAACAACATCGGCAGTGCTTAAATACAGCACTGGAAGAAGCTGGGTCCGGACTGTATCGAAACCTTGCCCCGCTACGAACAGATACTATGCAAAAGACCGAGCCATTTGCGCTGGGCCTACGATGAAACGCAACACAGGAACACGCCATAGTCGGGAGGGGGAAAGACACCCGAGGCTCGTGTTGCAAACAATTCAATTTTCTTTACACTCTTTCGCCGACCAACGGCCTGCGAAGAGGCCGAACGATAGGAACGAACATTCGATGCCGAGGGATGAGACACGCATGGTGGTTTTTTATAATTTCGATTTTCCGACAACGGAGTTGGGAATGACTATGAAGCAGACAACTGCATCGTCCGTGTGATGCAGCAAAGAGATGAGAACAGGCCTTTTAGGCATACTTATGAGGTTTAGGAGAGTATTGTTTTGGTCTAGTGCCGATGCACAAGACGATGAATGGGTGGATGAGACATCTGTTTAAACCTGTATAGCGTGTGGACTTTGATATTCAAACGTAGTAGCGGATAGTATACCCCGGTGGCGCGACTAATGTACATGAAGGTCGAATAATAGAATTGGCACATACTTGGTCTACTAGATTTACTGGCACTCCTCCTCGCGATGTATGTCTGAATGTAGAGAGGCTCAGTTGTTGCTGGGTTCCTTAAGCGGTTCTGACATCGTACTGAGTCTTGATTCTCCTCCAGGCTGATCTTCAGCGCTGGCAACACTTTGCCTGTCTTTTCGATAACTGCTACACAAGAACTACACAGGGGATCTTGGGAAAACGGACGAGACCAAGAGCTTAGCTACATCGCGATGCTTTGTCCGCAGTGTTTGTGTCCGGCATTTGTAGTTGTAGGCTCTTGGTCTATTGGAAGTAAAAGGAGACGAGTTCAATTCAGACGTGGTTCCGTCATCCAGATTCGGGATTGTAGGTGTACACCTACAAGACTTCGACGACATTCACCGTCTTGTCCAGTTGCCCTCCAATACGCCGACCCTGGGGCACCGAGGAATAATTTGATCAGCGCAATGTAAACAAATAAAAACACGAAGCCCATAAAAAGAAAGACAAGAAGGGAAAAGGCTGAAATCATTGACATGATTGCTGCTGGACTTGATTCAATAATATTCTGAAGCGACTTCATGATGTTCAAGATGACCAGGTATGATCCCCTTTCTGATTACGCTAGTGAGGCAGGAATCTGCATCCAGTACACTTAGAAACAAAGCTGGTTCGGACCTAGATAACTAAAATATATAAAAATGCGTAAACTCGTAATTGCCAAAATCAAAGCATGTGCAAAGGGGATCTAGGCCAGCCTTGTAAGCTGTCAAAGAGAAAGAATTATGACCATCGAGCCAACAACGCACAACAGCGACACCCCATGCAAAGATATTCCAGCTTGGCGGGTCTCGATAAGTAAGAAGCAGTGATAAATAGCAGTGCTCATGCAGTTTTCTCTTCGTCTCTCTCTCTCTCTCTCTCTCTCTCTCTCTCTCTCTCTCTCTCTCTCTCTCTCTCTCTCTCTCTCTCTCTCTCTCTCTCTCTCTCTGTTTGCACAAACTCGCTGAACCTTGACAAATCTGCATCTTAATCGGTATCCACAGCGCAGCTTCCAGCGATCTACTTGTCATAACGATTAAGAAGAGAAGCCAAGCTTCTGCTTCTGCACCCGCGGGACAATGCCGACGAGGATCAGGAGGGCGGTGACAACGACAGCCCACAGCTTCAGCTTAAGCACGTTCTCGTTAAATGGCGTCTCGACGGCTGTCGCCACGGTCACCAGCAGGAGGACCAGGACGACGTAGCCGCTCCAGCGGTGGTATTTCCAGATAGACTTGGCCTTGTCCTCGCCGCCGTAGAGCTTCGGGGTGGCCCACATGGTGAAGCCGACGATGTACTGCAGCAGCAAGATAACGGAGACGATGACGCCGAGGTAGCCGTGAACGGAGTGGAAGTGGGAGCCAGGGCCCTGGCGGAATTTATTGTACTCGATGATGGTGATGCCGGCGACGAGGAAGAGGAAGGCGAGCAGGTTAAGGACAGCGTGGATACGCTGGCCGACGCGTTTCTGGTCGGAGGTGTGCGTTGGCTGCAGAGAGAGGATGGATTGGGTGAGGGTGAAGATGGCGAGGCTCTGGGCAAGCGGGTGGCCCGAGAAAAGTATCACATCCTTGGTGAGGACGGCGGCCCAGATCATGGCGACGAAGATGACAGCGCCAAACTGGGCGATGATGCCGGTGCCTGAAAGGGGTCGGAATTAGTTACAGCAAAGAACAAGGGGAGAGGGTAGGACAGTCGCTAGGGGGCGTACCGAGGACGAGATTCCTGGCGATGAATTGGCCCGGTGGTTGTTGGGCATCGCCGGGTCGGCCAAGCAGAGGCTCCAGCTCATTCTGGCCGCTGTCTCGTTCTCGGTCTTGGGAGACAGGGGGTTCGGGGAGACCTGTCGCCGAAGACATTGTCTCGATGGTTGTCTAGGGTGTTTCTGTTTGGGAGGAATATGCGACGGTTCGCGATGTCGTTATTTGAAAGAATTGAAGTTGAACGGTGTTTGTGTGTCTCGGCGCCAGTCAAGACAAGAGCAAGGAGGGTTACGCAGAGCGTCGTTGCAGTTTATGTTTCTGCTGTGGGCAATGTCTGCCAGGTTTGGAAGGAGGGAGAAGGATAAGGATAGGACGGCGCCCGGGTGGTCGGTGGGCATCAGAGGTCATCGATGGCGGCATCGATGACGGAGAGCTCGTCTCGAGCTGCGGCCTATCGGAGGCCGTGTATTTCTGATTGAGTAGCGGCAGCAGCGGTGGGGGGGAAACATCGCAGGGAACGGTGCACTAATATGTAGAGCGATGGTGGGGTAGAGGTCGCTGGAGATTTGGGGTGGGAGCATACGCTAAGCTACCTACCCCTGACACCTTGAAGGCTACTAGGTAGGTGAAGGAGATCTGGCCCACACCTTCACAGTCGCCCACTCAACCCTCACCACATCTCATCTCCCATCTCATGCGATGAGACGCCCATCCTCAAGCTTTCCCCCAGAGTCCGGGCAGATACGCATTGCGGTGGCGTCTTTGGTCGTCTATGCACTTCCGCATGGCGGCGCTCGGCTTCTGTCTAGCAACTGTTGCACATCTAAACGTTATGAGACCAGACAAGACAGAGGCCAATGAGCCGAGAGCGATGAAAAAGATAACGGCGTTCGAAACGCATTTAGCATTTGACAGTTGACATCTGACACTCGTCGAACTCCGGCCGGATTTCCATCGTCAGCGCCTGCTAGCATATTGGCCCAGGCATTGAAACTTACGGCGATAACGCCGTACCAATCAATGTGCGTGTCATCCATCTTGCGTGAGGACAACACAAGGATGAGATCTCTACCCATTAGATCAAACAATGGGAACTTAGGCTGTGCTGCAGTCTGGATCTATTGCAGCTTACGTTATGGATTGAAACTTCTGCATTGCTCGCAAAGGCATTCATTGGTATTGATTTTCTCATCGCCATAACCGCGATACACAATGTCCCATGATAGCATCTTGCTGCCAGCCGATGCACAGTAAGCAGCATTCTGCCCTTGGGACGAAAGCAAATATCCGATGCGAATTCTTATCAGATCGACACCATTACAGGATCATGGATGTCTTTATGAAATGTGACTTTGATGCCGCAGGCTGCCCGCAAAGTTTTGTAATCAGCTTGTCAATCGAGACCCGGAAAGCACCATCCACGGGAGTCGGCCTAAGCCCGGCATCGCAAGAAAGCGCTAAACGTATAGCAATCGAGACAGACGGTACGGAATATTTTCCGAATGGCGATCTTCGAAGAGCCTTCAGTCCGGCCTTGGCTCACGTCCTCGAACCCCCAAAATTCTCGGTGTCAGCTCTCCCAAGACCGCCCCCGCCGACCCGAACAGTCTACAGCGGGGACAACGCGCACTGGCATCGGTTGGAGATGCGGGGAAGAGAGCAGTGGAAGCCCAGCGACTCCGTTACGCAACTGGGGCTTGCAACAGCAGCAGATTGGTCCGCCGCATGGCTGTTAGCTAATTCACTCAAATCAGGCGCCTTTGCTTATCGCGGACGGCGGCGCGCTTCTGGCCGCCGGCCGCAACTCCAATTCCTTGATGCGGCCGTCAGCTGTGGCCGCCCGACGTCGGAACTGGCCGCTCGGCGCGCCCCCCTTTGACGAGCCGCGGGTGGCAGGCCATGACTCTCCTCGTCTTTTCCTTCTCCTCATCGGAAGATGTTCGCAACTCATCCAATTTCTTCTCAACTCTGCAAAAACCCCGACGCTTTGGCTTGACTCCAAAACATCTCCATAGGCCTTGTCTTGGTGAAGCTGCTGTCTCATCACTGCTTTGCCCCTCACCAACCCCTCCATACCCCGCCATCCAACCTTCATCATGGCCAGCGAACAGGAATACACGCTGGAGCAGGTCAAGAACACTAGGATCGCATCCGATGACATTGACAAAACATTCCGCTCAAGCAGCATTGGTGAGCAATCCAGCCATCTTACCGTCCAGACAATAATACATATGAATGATTACTGACACGATCAGACTTGATCTCTGCTGCCCTGGGTGGAAAGATCCTTGCCTTTTCAGATGAGTGGTTCGCCGAGGCCGCCAACTTGTTGACACCCACCCCTCCCATCAGACAACCAGGCAAGATGGTCTACACCGGTGCCTGGTATGACGGCTGGGAGACGAGACGCCACAATACTGAGCCCTTTGACTGGGTCATTGTCCGTCTTGGTGTTGCCTCTGGAACCGTCGAGGGTGTGGAGGTCGACACGGCCTTTTTCTCTGGTAACCACGCCCCCTCAATCTCAGTCGAGGGCTGCTTTAACCTCAACGACGACGAGGTCATCTCGTGGAAGGGCGGCCGGGGCCAGTGGGAGACCATCCTTGGCAACGAGGAGTGCGGCCCCTCGCAGCGCTTTGGGTGGAAGCTGGCGGAGCCCAAGCAGAAGCAGTATACCCACGTTCGTCTCAATATGTACCCCGACGGTGGCATTGCGAGGTTCCGTCTGTTTGGCCACGCCGTGCCCGTCTTTCCCGACGACAAAGAGGCCATCTTCGACCTGGCCGCGGCGCAGAATGGTGGTGTCGCCATCTCATGTAGCGACCAGCACTTTGGCACCAAGGACAACCTTCTACTGCCGGGCCGCGGCAAGGATATGGGCGACGGCTGGGAGACGGCGAGATCGAGGACCAAGGGCCACGTCGACTGGACGGTTGTTCGCCTTGGGGCCCCGGGTTACGTGCAGAACATAGTCGTCGATACGGCGCACTTTCGCGGCAACTTCCCGCAAAAGGTTAAAGTTGACGCCCTTTCCTGGGTTGAAAGCGGCGAGCCCGGGGCGGACGCAGCCGGCTGGACGGAGATCGTAGCTCCGAGCAAGTGCGGCCCGGACCAGGAGCACGATTTCCCGAGCGCTCTCAGGGACAAGGCCGTGACACACGTTAAGATCACCATTATTCCAGATGGAGGAGTCAAGAGACTGCGTGTCTTCGGAAAGAGAGCCTAGTCTTTGTTTGAGATGCCCTAGTGTTCAGTGTTTACTGTACGATAAAGCTGTCTTATAAGCATGGAATAGGGTGGGTTTGCAATCGGAGAGGACACGATGGAAATGAAGTAAATGAAGCATTAAAAATAAAACAAAACAAAATAAAAGCCCCTTCTCAATGTAGAAAAGACACACCTGCATGTCTACCAGGGTCTGCCATGCTGCAAGAGGTCCATGGGTGCTTGAAACTGTTGTATCTTTGCCGTAAGAGCCGGACGAAGAGCTCACTTTCTTCAACGGACTTATGTTTCCTTTAGATGCTTCAAAAATCTTCCTCAAGGGATAAAATGACAAAACATACCAAGTTAATATTACGCAGGAAAATGCACATGGGGACCGGTGCTTCTGCTCAGGTACCCGTGTGGTAGAATTAATTCCGTTAAGGTAGGGGAAGCTTAGTGGAGCGTCTCATTGCTGAAGGACATGCACGGTCCACAAGATTCCAAGGCTACTCGCACACTGACGACGTTCCTTCAGCACCTCGCCGCAATCAATTAGTGACATCAACAAGCCGATCGCTCTTCGTTCATTTACCTAAACTACCTAGGCTCCCCGCTGGTGTTTGGCGTGGACCGCTGCGGGACTCGGGCACCGAGAGTCCTTGCTTTACCTTTACTGGACAGCACACACGCACACACAACCACTCTATGCCTCGACATCACACGACATTAGCTGTGCCGAGACTTTTTCGATCCGGAGCCTACGACACACGCACACAGAGCTCTCGACCATAATCTCGTCGCAGCAGCAACTCGCCACGAAACTTTCCGTGCGCCATCTGCAACAGATATCCTTCCCGCATCTCGCATCGCATAGAACGATACCCCCGTCCCGACTCATGCCTACTGGGCCTCCTGGTTGCCCCTCCTCCCACCATGGACTTCGAGGACGCTAATGGTGGTTTCGGCGACAAGAAGTCACGACCACTGCCCGATGACTTGCCCAAGTCTCTCGACGATCGCAGTCGTCGCCCCGTCGAGCTAGTCCCTGAGACGGAAATGTACGATGGCTGGCAAGGTACGTTCCTCATATCCTTTCCAATCCATGCCTTGTGCCCACGAAGGGGGAACCGCGGACTGACGACAGCCAACCCTTTGCGCAGGACAATCACAGTTCCTAACCACGCCCGTCCTTGCAAAGCCACTCAATTTTGGCGACCTAAGCCTAGACGACCGCACCTACGATGAGGACATCACAACAGGTCCCAAGAATAGCGACGCGCGCCTCATGGAGATGATTGCCGCCCAAGCCGCCCACCGAGTCGGTCCGGGCTTCGACGACGAGGAGACCATACTGGCAGACGAGAAGCTGTCTGAGAACGAGAAGAAAGACCTGTTGCAAAGGGCGTTGAACATGGCTGCTAGCAACGGCGATGTCGAGAGAGTCACCAACATTGTCGGCGGCAAGGCCAAGGCCTATGTCGACATCAATGCGCCGGACGAAGACGGAACACCGCCCTTAATTTATGCGAGTTGCTTTGTGAGTTGAGGCATAACGCAGAGCTTGGGGACAAGTCGCTGACCTCGGATCAGGGCCATGAGGGCGTGGTGCAGGCTCTCATCGATGCCGGTGCAGACGTCGACAAGCAAGACCGAAACCAGTGGAGCGCCCTTATGTGGGCGATGACGAATAGGCATAAGAGCATCGCCAAGGCTCTCCTCGATAACGGTGCTTCGGCTGAGCAAAAGACCTCGTCCGGTCGCACCGCCTTCGACTTCGTGCCGCCAGACAGCGACATGTCCTTCTATCTACACGACAGCGGTTACAACATTGGCAATGCGGGGACAGACGACTTTTACAACCCCGGGTTCTCACAGGATCGATTCGAGGAGGAGATGGCCGAGAACGAGCTGCGGAGACGAATGATGATGGACAGCGCCCGGGATCTTGAGGTTGATCTAGGCAACGTCGGCATGGACGACCAGCCAGAGGTATGCCCTGGGCAAACGTTTCATTTGATACTCTGTATGCTGACGCAAGCAGAACTCCGACGAGCTTGAAGAAGAGCAGCCTGAGTTCGACTGGACCCGATGTCTCCACGATCAAATGTTTGTATTCCAGGAGCACGAGCTCGACCGCATTCTCGACATCATCATTACCAATATGACCCCTCAACGATCGCCGGCACAAAAACCCGTACCCGCGAACATGATATTCCTCAGCGCAAGATACGCGCATTACCACTCCAGCCCCGATCTGCTGGCCAAACTCATGATATCGGCCATGGACAAGATTAACGATGTTGTGGAGCACTACCAGTGGGACATGACGATTCTGGCCTTTTGGATATCGAACGCCACCCTACTGCTGCACTATCTAAAGAAAGACGCCGGGCTAGTAGAGGCCACAGTCGAGTTCCAGGCCCAACTGTCCGAGCTCATCAACGAGATCTTCATTCTCATCGTCCGAGACGCTGAGAGACGCTTAGACAAGGTGCTCGATGCAGCGATGCTGGACCACGAGACGATACCTGGGTTCGAAGACATCGCATTCCAGAACGAGTGGAGGATATTCAAACGAAAGGCGCAGGTCAAAGAAGAACCCCTGGAGAAGCGCTTCCGGCCCCCGTCCCCGAAACAACGGGCGAAGCCTGCGCCGCGCAACGTTACCTCCCTACTGTCGTCCACCTTGTTCGTTCTTGACCTTTATGATATCCACTCAGTAATTACGGCGCAAATCATCTCTCAATTACTGTACTGGCTCGGCGCAGAGCTCTTCAACCGCATCATGTCCAACCGCAAGTACCTTGCACGGACAAAAGCTATGCAGATTCGCATGAACGTCTCGACGTTGGAGGACTGGGCTAGGACCAATAACCGCCAGCCGGAGCACTACGAGGGAGGCGAGACAAAGTCGTCGGGTGAGACGACGGTAGACGCTGCCAGGCGACACCTGGCTCCCGTCATCCAACTGCTGCAGTGGCTTCAGTGCTTCTCGTCACTCGGCGCCGACGACCTTGAAGCCCTCGTCGGTACCCTGCAACAACTAAAGAGGCTGAGCCCGCAGCAGCTCATCCACGCAGCATCACACTACAGGCCCGAGGTTGGCGAAAAGGGGTTACCTAAGAGCGCCCTTAAGTACTTGAACGCGATCCAGGCGGAACATGTGCGTAGGAAAGAGGACCGCAAGAGCAGCGCGCCGTCGACGCCTGTCAAGGGGAAGCCCACGAACGGGGGCATCATGGATACGCCTGGGAGCCAGGCGGCGACACAAACACCTGGCGGCAACGAGAGCGAGGAGGAGGAAGACGACGCGCCAGCAAACCTGCTACTGGATCCGGCGCTGATGCTGCCCTTCACGCTGCCATCTGTCACGGATATGCTGGTTTCGTACGGAGCCGGCTTCGGGGGGGTCAACAGAGAGAGAGCACGCAAGTACATTCCCACGGTGCCACCCGAGTTCCTGTCCAAGCTCGAGGCCAGCGGCGCACGGAAGGGACCAATGTTTAGCGAGAAGGATTGGGAGAACGAAGAGGTCTAACGGAAATTTTCTCAGTGTGGGCGGTCTTTGGGTTATGGGCTCCAGTGTTTGTACGTAGAGGTTGCTCACTGCGTTTGGCGTGCCAAGCGCACAAGACCAGCAGAGAAGTGAAGAGAAAGCATGAGTCGTGAAGTCCATACGGGGGCGTGGAAGCGATGTAACCCAATAAGCATAGCGATTGATTCGACGGGAAGTGTCCAGAAAGGGCGAATAGCACGGGTGCAAGGAGCAAACACACGGGAGGGGAAAGGCGTCGGAACGTTGCGACACCTCTCCAGATTGGGAGGCCTCGTAGACGAGCGCAATTCATGGTCTCATCAAAGGTCTCAATCACGGCCGGAAGATGCCGCATGAGGAAGCCAGCAATGAAGAGTCTTTGTATTAATTACACACTGTGCCGGACGGATAGAGCAGTAACAACGGCCAGGACTGGACTGGGCCAGAAGGCAAGAAGTGGAGGAAAGACTTGGGCTATGCCAAAGAAAGCAAATGTTTCATACGCCGAAGACTGGGCTCGCCGTTCACGATCATGGTTGACTCATTGGAATGTGGTGGCTCTGGGGCTCTGGCTCCCCGGTTTGCTCGCAACGGTCCCTTTTGGGGCGGAGGCGGGGGAGCGCAGAGGAGGTCTCTCTATCCCCCCCTCCCCCTTCTCTCTCCCTGTGTGTATGTGTGTTGTCTTGTTATCAATCCGAGTGGGTGGAAACAAGGCCACGTTGACGGAGCATGAGAGTCACAAACGCCGAGGTTGCGAGTCCCAATGTCTGTGGCCCACGCAGAGTCCGTTCTGTCTCTGCCCTATACTCCGTGTCTCTCACACATCTGACCCGTCGTGACTTGGAATGAGCAGTTGAGGGGAAAGACAGAACGGTAGAGTCAGTCTCAAGGCAGATATTCCGAGGCTGGTGGGACGACCCAGTGGCACGGATGGGGGGGATCATAGTGTGGAGAAGACCCTGAAGAGCGGTTCAGCCAAAGGAACCCAATACGGCTTTGGAAGTCGAAGGGGTCTTGACCAACAGAGCCGCCCAGCAGCAGTTGGGAACCGTCTTGAGTCCAGGACGGATGACCTGGCTCAACGTGCCACGTCAGATCTTTGTTCCTGGGCCGGTGGACCGCAATCGTATCTTTCTCGAGAGAAGCGGGCGGCCGTCGAGGATTGCAGCGCAAACGCCGCTAGTGCTTTTGGGCACGACAACGGCCAGTCGTTGCTGTTTCGCACAAGGCACGGGGGAATAACATGAATGTGGTGTTTTCGGGCCTGTTGCGCTTGGCTCTCACGCGATGGTCTGTCAGAATCGGTTATTGTGGCTCCGGGAGGGGAAATGGTCGCGCGTAGGTGTGCGATAGAGAAGGTTCATGCGGATTCGTTCGGCACTATTGGAAATACTCCCGAAAGATTCATCAAAGTGATTGCTTTTCTTCTCCCCAAATCGGAATGTTACTCGGCCGAGTCGATTCCGATGCTTCTCGCTTCCTTAGCCTCTCGCTTCAGCCGATCTCCCGGGAGCTGATGATACAGCGAGCTGCTGATCCAAGCGGACCTCAATCGTCAAGCAGGGTGCTGCTGTTGGTGAAGGGCCAAAGTTAGGATCAGTTTCTCGGAAAGATAGCGAGCGAGCAAGCAAGCATGTGCTTGCTGGTCTAAGTTTAAATTTTGGTGACATCGCCCTGTTTAGAAGGCGGATCAGCCGAGGTCTCATGCTGATTGAGTTTGCCTTGAACTTTGGGGCAGCACCCAAGACATCTCATCTCAATTGATGGACCAAACGGATGAGTTAGGAGACGAAGAGGCTAAGACACGGGGTATTCTAAATTGTCCTCACTGAGATGGACCAAGCCTGCTGATCAAGGGATGTCTTGATTCAGCTGCACCATGGAGCGATAATGCGCGGAGCGGCTTCGGGGCCTAAGAGCAAGGAAGATGGGGACGGGAAGACGGCTGTGAGATTCCGTGATGGAAGGTCGCCGAGGTGAAGATGATCCATGTCTGTCGCCCAATGAAGCGTGGCGACAACTGTGTAGTAGGTCGATATGCTCAGCGCCCCGGGCGCCGTGAAGTTAATAAAGAACAAATGTCGCAAACGAAGAAGGGAGGGGCCCCTGGTGTTTGTGTTTGTATTGGACGCTGTTTGTTAGAGGCCCATTCTTGTCCATGTCACATTTCTTTTTGTGAGTACGGGCGTAGGCCAATGGACTGGACATTGTTGACGGGCGATCTATGATGGCTACCACGCTAGGAGAAAGCTCAGACCCATCACTCTCTGAGAGAGACAGCTGGGATGAAGAGCCGCAACTTTGGCCCGGCCGGGGGAAAGGAGATATTGGAGGATCGAGAGATGGTATTGCTTCTTGTCCTCGAACATGTGTCATCGTAATCTCACGACCGACCAGCCGCCCGTGCAACCTTGTGAGATATGGGCATCTCAAGTACACTAAATGGTAGTAATGCAGGGCGTCGATGGACCAACCACCAACAGCAGGGATTGCGGTATCGTCGTCGGGACCCATCGATTTGGCGGTCATAAAGGCCTGGCGATGTCCGGCCCACCATGCAACAATGTGGGCTCAGGATTGAATGGCCCCGAATAGCGGTAACGGCTGCAGAGGTGGACGGAGAAAGAGGGAAAGGGAGAGCGCGCTCACCGACTTGATGGCATGCCATGTCGATGACTGAGGAGGTGACCCTTTTTTGGGTAGGGATGCATGGTTAGATGGCGGGAACTGGGGAATTACGGAGCCCCTAGGTGACATGGCCGCTGGCGCCTTGGACCAATGAACCCATCACGAAGCGTTCGTTGTGCTGCTTCACATGGGCCATCAACGATGTGGCTGGCTGTGGGTGGTCCCCCATCGTCGTTGCTTCTGTTGTCTGCTTACCTCCCTTGCCTCCCAGGCACTTGCACATAGGGGGGGGGGCTTCTGTGCCTGACTACATAGTACGACGGCAAAAGAGGCCAAGCTTTTGGTCTAACCTGGCGGTGATGGTGGTGGGAAGGTTCCGACGACAACACCCACTTGCCAACCTGAGAAAATGCACCCATGGACCCACACGGGCTGTCCCATGCCATTGCTCGGCCAATGGGACTGATGCGGGCCATGGATCTCCAGCCCGTCTGGGAGGCTGCCAAAGGTACGTGTTAGTGCGTAGCCACTCTGCAGGGCACGTACTCCACCCCCGACCGCCTTGTGGTGCCGGGCCACTGCCACCGCTTCCTGCCTTTGCGACGCGGCCCTGCTGGGCTGGGAAGAAGACCGCCAAACTCGTCACTCATGCCGCTTTTCTATCTTTTCCTGACGAATTTGGCAAGGTCGATTAGGGAACGGAGGTAAGAGAGAGAGAGAGAGAGAGGATACGCAGTGAGGGGCGCTTCGGGAAACATGTTGCGAAGAGAGAGAAAAGAAAGCAGGTTCAGCTTTCCAGTTCCTGCTCTGTGTCCGTACCCGTTGCCCTTTGCCTCCATCCCAGCTATTTGGCTTTGCATCTTGCGTCCTGACGCCCCCCAGAGTATCTCACACGCACACATCCTCTTCCAGCTCTCAAAGGGTTCCTCTATCTTTTCTTCTTGTGCCCCCGGTACTTGATATCAACTCTCCCCAGATTCCCTCTAGCACAATCACATTTCAACGCCGTCCTCCCCTTCGCACACACCCGGCCGTGTCTTGGTACTCTCTGCGGCTTTGTGCGTCCCGCCAACCCTCCAATCACCCAACGAATCTCTTCAACTCATCCACAAAAGGTATGCCATGTTACCACCTCCTCTTATACTCCCTGCTATCTTCCTTCCTTTCCTCTTCCGCCATGCATACTGTGAGGCAATCTCTCAACGTCTCTCTCTCCGCGGTCCTTCCAAGCCGTCAGCCCTTGTCTTGCTCTACTTGTTTACCCTACGCAAGCCCACCAGTCACTTATACCACCGCCACGCCCTCCTCGTCGGCATCACCTACTACTTATACAACCCTCAACCACCAATACACGACGTCGCAAACCAATCTTGCCTTACCTGACCTCGTCTAGTCTGCCAGAAGGACATCGCTCTTACCATCCAAAGCTTCTCGGGTCGCTTTCCGAATCGTCGTTACTCCCCTCAGGGTCTTAATCTTGGTCCCCTCCTCATCTGACTAGCGCCCGCCTGATCCCTTACGCCCTGGGATTGGCACACCTGAATCCGAAGCTCACGGCACTCGGCGCCCAACGGTGAGCCACTGAACTTCCACTTACACCATTACAACACTCGCCTTGGACGCCTGCGCCGTTCATTTTTGGACCTGCTGTGCTCCTACGGGCGTGCCACCCACCGCAGAGCAGCCCTCATTCCTACGTTGCGCCGGCGCCCTTGGGACTAGTCGATCTGCCCGCCATCAAGCACGGTCGGATCGACCCCAACTTGGCCATTCGTCTCCCTCCCGCCCCATTCGGAGCACCCTAAACACCGCGCTATGGCGCCACAAAAATTCGCCAGCATGCGCTTGAAGTCCCGGCCTACGCTCGTGCCTTTTAAGGACGATACTAGCCTCATCGCCCTCCGCTACGAGAAGACGGTCCAGGCAGAGCCTCCCATCCCTATTCTTACGCGAGCCCCCCCGAGATCTCTCTCCATCTCGACGGGTCGCACTTCTACTTCTGCATCTTCGTCGCTCCCGAGTCCCCCTTCCAGCCCAGTCGTCGTGGCTCCTCCCCCCGCTATCAATCAACACCCTGCATTCCGCTCCCGCGTAACTGCTGGCAACACGACCCTCAACGACTGGAAGAGGGATTCCGGACTTGCACCGACTGCATCGTCTTCGGCCACCATTGCTGAGGAGTGCGAGGACGAAGAGCACGCATACGAGAAGATCGCCGCCCTGGGGATCGACCCGGTGATCACGCAACCATTGGTATTGGAAGAGCCTGTGGCACCTTTTGTTTGCGAACTCGATTCCGTCTACTCCACCACCGCGTCGTCTTTCAGCAAACAACATCAATCCGGTCGATGCACGCCTTCAGCTGGTAACCAGTCCGCTACAATGGACCATCATCATGTCGCGCAGCTTGGAGTGTCTGAAAGAAAGGCGTCTGGCAGTGCAAGCAGCACATTCTCCATCAGCCTTCCCCTTGAGTGTCATGACGGAAGCTTAAGCGGCCTGTCTCCTACTCCAGCACCAGTGGCCCCCCACCCGCGGGGCTCTCTTACAGCCTCCGAGAACTCGCCTAATCTCTCCCCTGTCAATGTCCCCGACAACCTCGATCTCCTGAGCAAGGATGCCTTCGACTTCTCCCCCATTTCAATCTCTATCCCCACCGACAGCCTCCTCGACGATGATTTCCTGACGAGCTTGTCTTTCTCTAATCGAGGCAGTCTCATGTTCTGTGGCCGTCGTCCAATCCCCACACAAACCACCGACGGAACAATGACAATGGAAGACAAATCGCAAACGGACGAGGCCCGCGCGCCCGCGCACCATCTTGCTGAAGCCCCTGCAGCACCCGCCCCAACCCTCCACGTTGTGTACGAGGAGGAGCCCCGGAGTCCTGCCGCCACCACCACCACTGACGCCTGCGCCAACGACATGAGCGCAGCCGGGACGGCCACGACTGTAGCAACCACGGCAGAGGCGACCGCAGAGTCGGCGTCGCAAGTCACCGTGACAACCCCCAGCATTCGCGTCTTGTCCGCGGACGTGGAGATGGAATCTCAAAAGGTGAGATCGCTCTATGAATCCGGCGAAAGCCTCCGATGGGAAGACGGAGGCAGGCCGTCGGATGTTAGCGAGCGACTCGAGGCGACCGCTGAATGTCCGACGGAGGAGTCTGAGAACGATCCGTATGGTTTCCTTTTTTTCCTAGTTCAATCTCGCAGCTAGTGTGCTAACCCACGTCTCGTCTACAGCGTCGCCGAACTACAACCTCCTGCATCGGGTACGCCAAGGTCTGGAAGTTCCTACTCCCAAAGGCCCGAAACGCGCAGCGAGTATGAAGTGGCGGGCGGTCTGGAAGACTGGGAGGATCTCGAAGGACAAGACGTCGATCGATACGGCTTCATCAGCCCGCGCAAGCCTGAGCCAAGAGGCAGCACCTCGATGGAGCTCAAGTCAACACAGTACGCTCCTAGGAAGAAAACTGGCTTTTCGAAACGAGATGTCTTCGGACTGGGGGTGCCCTCCAGAGGACCCAGTAAGAAAGTGTCTGCCCGATCTCTCAACACCCAGAACTCAAAGGCATCTGTCGCATCTCGTCGGTCGGCTCGATCGGTAGTGAGGCAGGCGGGAAATCTGCTTCCTTACAACCAGGATCGGCGCTGGATGGACGATGCTGGAGGCATGCTTTCACTTTCTTTGGATGACGAGGAGAAGGTCGAGCAGATATCTGAAGCTATAAAGAAGAAGGAGTGGGAGAGGTCTGAGAAGTGGCGAAAAATGGCTAGGGTCGTCAAAAAGGGAAGAGACGGCGAAGGCATGGAGTTCGAGTTTGACGTCAAGAACCAGAAGCTCATTGATAGGACGTGGAAGGGCATCCCCGACCGATGGAGAGCCTCCGCTTGGTACTCGTTCATGGCAACCCACGCCAGGACCCACAAGAACTCACCGTCAGAGGACTCAGTCATCACAGACTTCCATCGCCTTCAGTGCAGGGGATCGCCAGATGACGTGCAGATTGATCTGGACGTGCCTCGCACCATCAGTAGGCACGTCATGTTCCGCAAGCGCTATAAGGGCGGTCAACGCCTGCTGTTTCGGGTTTTACACGCGCTGTCGCTCTACTTTCCAAACACTGGCTACGTTCAGGGCATGGCCTCTTTGGCCGCAACACTGCTTTGCTATTTTGACGAGGAGAAATGCTTTGTGATGCTCGTCCGCATGTGGCAGTTGCGAGGACTCGAGAAGCTCTACAGCCCCGGCTTTGATGGACTGATGGCGGCTCTGGACGATCTGCAGACCAAATGGTTGGACGGCAAGGACGTCGCAAAGAAGTTGGTAAGGCACAATTCTTCCTTCTCGGCCATGATGTCGTACTGACCTTTCCTAGACCGAGCTATGTATCGACCCTACAGCCTATGGCACGCGGTGGTACTTGACGCTTTTCAACCTCTCCATCCCCTTCGCCGCCCAGCTCCGCGTCTGGGACGTCTTTCTGCTCCTTGGGGAGAACCCCTCGGACTCCCCCAAGGCGCCCGATTCTCCAACCACCATGAACGGCATCGACATTCTACATGCCACTAGCTCGGCTCTGATACACGCGCTGCGCGAAGTTCTCCTCGACTCGGACTTTGAGAACGCCATGAAGGCTTTAACATCTTGGATCCCGGTTAAAGACGAGGACATGTTGATGAAGGTGACCCGGGCAGAGTGGAAAACCCGACAAAAGAAGAGGTCCTAGAAAGTCCTGCTTCCTGGGGCCGCTTGAAGGGTGACCGTGCTGTTCCCGCAATTTCTTTTGTTTCGATTCCAGCTTTATGGACATGCGTGCGAGGCGTTGATGGAGTTGGTCGCGTTGATCTTGACGCAGGTAGTCGACCAATACCCTGGGATTAATTACAGTTTTGGGCTTTTCAGACGAGGAGTGGTTTTCTTGTGTACCTTGAGACGACCGAGATACTGTCGCTTGTGGGTTCTACTGGCGGAAAGCGATTGAAGTGGAGTTGGCTCACAACACGACTTTTCATATACCCTTTATACAATGATAATAGCCGGGGAGTATTCACCTAAAGCGTGGATACCAATGTATAATGTATTATTCGAGCAAACTTACTGCTACATTTCTACATCATTTGTGGTTCTCCGCGTGTTGACGGAAGTGAGTTCTCTATGTTGAGATTGTTCAACTATGTAGCGAACTACTTGCGAGATCAGACAAGCCCGCAATACTCCTGTCATAGCAAGTGTGACAAGGCAGGCTCGAAAACATAGGGCAACTGGTTCTGCCTGTTATTTTGGTATATCGAGCAGCGCCAAATCTAGACACTGGTTGTGTATGCCCCCAGGCGCGGCATGACTGTTCAGACTCGATGTTAAACTGTGACTGCAATGTGCTGCATAAGTTCTCAGAGTTGGGAATGCCATGAGGACTAAACAGTTGCTAGATAACCCGTTTACTAGCAATATCTTACCGTTGGTCCTTGTCTGTACAGATCTCGTGGCGACTAGCAATCGTACCGAAGCTTGGGTGCCCTGCCTGTGGGGGCTCAATTGAAGTCAAAACAAAAGTACGTGGGACGTTCCCGGCTACTTGTTTCCGTGGTCTACAACCGGACTATGTTGGAGCGCCTCCAAAACAGCTGACAACGCCGTGACCATCCCGCCAGAGGCTTTCAGAATGTCGAATAGGCTCTGTAAAAGGACGGCATGGCCAGTTGACAGGCAGTCGAATGTCTGCAGCCGACATTCAACTTTGGTTTCCGATGTGCTGACTGGCTGCTCTAGGTATACTTTGCAGGGAGAATTATTCTGGTTTGACCATATGCTCAGCTTTCATAAAGGAAAAGGCCACAATGAGGAGCCGCGAGGGTGCTGGTGCTTTGGGTCACGGCAATCTAGTTTGACCTTCTGGACGGTTGGGATTCGCGTGGTTTACCTCTGTCATAGCTGGGAGATTTGGCCATGACCAAGTAAAGCTGGCAACGGACCAGCAGGGACGGGCGAGGGAGAGGGAGGTTTCTCATAACACCTTAGGCTCTGTACCTGTCTCTCGTCGTAGTCGGAAATGCGAAGCAAGCGTCTACCGAATAGTAGTCAGAGAGTAAACGCCAGTTCAGTTGATCACCAGTATAGAGTCTTCGGTGTCGGTGCTTATGGTGACATTCTATAATTGCTAATTCAAGAACAGTTTTAATAATCATTAGGTATTGGTATCCCAGTAGCGAAACTAAAGTATATTTATCTATCTGACGTTACTAAAAAGCACAAAAACATACAACACCAGGTATTCGCTGGTCGTCACCGACCCAACTACTAATCCGGCCCTCACTGGCTTATCTATGGGAGAGCGGACGGGATCCCGAGTTTTCCAGTGGGTATGGTCGTATGTGCTCGTTTCACAATGCCAAGTTGCCTATATACTTGGACTTTGAGAAGAAAACACTGAGCCAGGAATCTACTCATCATGGTAGCACTTGAGGTTATCTTCACTGCCTTGCCGTATCACATGCGTATTTTTCGGCTTGTTCTGCTCCTATAAAATAGACCTATCCGTATATTTACTGTTCGTCACAAGAGTGCTCGTGAACTCATGCAACTATGCAGCCAGTGGATCTAGGAACTAACGCGCCGTTCGAACACCCAGAACCCATTGAAACAGGAAACGCGCCCTCGGGTTTCCGGTTTAGCTACGATACACCGCGACTACTAGCTCGGCTCTTTTGATTTCCTATTGCCCCAGTGAACGAGACTTCTGTTACGACCTAGACCGAAGCCTTGCTGACAGGCACATGTTCGAATGCAATCCAAGGACCCCTGTCCTCACGAGGGCCAGGGGTGTTATCCGGACCCGGTGTTCGTCTGGACGTGCCCTATGGGCACCATGTAAGGCACCAATATAACCTCACCCCGTTCGCGACACAGCAGAGTCCGACAAGAAGCCGACCAGGCGACTAAGTTACTGAAAACGCGATTCTTGCCCCTCCTAGAAAGCAACTGTGATATCGTCAGATCGACGTTGCCAATTCCTAATCTCATCCGGATGCGTTCAGGTCCTCCCACCCCCCCGAAGTCCCTCAGTATCAACAAGCCCCAGTCACAGCTTACAGCCTCATACTGGGAACCGGGTGACTGCATCCCCGGGAGGCCTGGCTCGATTCTGATGGCAGCCAAGATCAGCGCCTATTTATTTTGACGACCGGTCTGAATGCATTAGCCATTGCTTGACTCATCGCAGGGCGACAAGACTTTTCCTTGTAGTGTTGGACAAACTGCTGCTTCATCAACTCTGGAAGCCCCACAACGACAAGACCTGGCCGCTGATGTTGAAATCATTGTTTTACTCTACGTGAACCAGCTTCACATGGCCGAATTGGGTAAACCTCGCGCCTCCGTTCAATGACGGCAGGGAGGCTTCTGGGGCCGTGTCCACTAGTCCCACGGTTATATCCATGCCACGTAGGCTCTACAGTCAATTGCGGGAACCGCAACGTGTGAATGAGCTACTGGGCTCGTCATGTTCACGCTGGCGCCGAAGCTGACCTCTGACTTGCAAGGTGAAAACGCCTCGGCGAGAGTCCTGGCTTACGGGTATTAACGATGCTTTTGGCCATGTACATTTCATCGAAGTCGGGATATCGCCGTGAGCAAGACCTTCAAAGTTTGCACTAGGGCTTACACGATGACACAACAATGTTGAAGAATTGCAATGTGCCGACGAAGGAAGAAGCTGGGTC